ATTATTATTATTATTAATTATTATTATTATTAATTATTATTATTATTATTAATTATTATTATTATTATTTTTATTATTTTTATTATTATTTTTATTATTATTTTTATTACTACTACTACTATTATTATTTATAGTTTTATTTTATCTAAATCTGCAACGAATTTAGAGATTTTGCAAAAAAGCGCAATGTGCATGAACTAATAGCAAAAAGTATCGCGCCTTCTATATATGGTTCAGATGATATCAAAAAAGCAATTGCATGCTTATTGTTTGGTGGTTCGCGTAAAAGGTGTTATTTTCTATAGTATTCTGGTCTAAAAAATGGTCTAAAAGTCTAATTTTTTCTCCTTTATTCTGATTCAATTTGTGAATAAGCTTTTTATTTCCCAGATTACCGGATAGTCTTACTCGTCGAGGGGATATAAACGTGCTTTTGCTGGGGGATCCCGGAACTGCTAAGAGCCAACTTTTAAAATTTGTTGAAAAGGTTTTTCTTCAATTTTCATTGAAATTTATTTTCATTTATTTTTTATACATTTTTTGAGATTTTTTGATTGATATGGAGTTAATATGGAAATTAACTTTCCTCTGAAGAATTTCGCATTTTTTTTAAGGTTGCTCCGATTGGAGTGTACACATCAGGGAAAGGCAGTAGTGCGGCTGGTCTTACTGCTTCAGTAATTCGTGATCCTCAGTCGGTAAGCTTCATTGAAAGCTTCATCTAAGTAAAACTTTTTAAATACTTGCTTGAATTTTTGAAATACCGTGATCTACTATTTAGTTTTTTCTTCTGTTTTATTTCTACTTTTTTTACTCATTCTTAATATATAATGTAATTGTATATTATTGTTTAATTTAAATTACAGCGTTCATTTATAATGGAAGGTGGTGCAATGGTATTAGCTGATGGTGGGATCGTATGTATTGATGAATTCGATAAAATGCGTGAGGATGATCGTGTTGCAATTCATGAGGCAATGGAGCAACAAACCATTAGTATTGCAAAAGTATGATTTAAAAAGTATATAATATAATTTCATCTAATTTCATTAAAATTTCATTTCATTAAAATAATTTAAAATTAAAAAGAGATTTTAAAAGAGATTAAAATAAAAAAAATGATTTTTTTTGCAAATTTAAATAAATTTATAAATTTATTAAATAAATTTATGATGAGAGATATAGTACACTGATTTTAAAAAATTCGATTTTATTATAAAATCTTAATAGTTATGAAAATTGTAAATTTTTAGGCAGGTATCACGACCACATTAAATTCTCGTTGTTCAGTGCTTGCTGCAGCAAATTCTGTTTTTGGTCGTTGGGATGATGCTAAGGGTGATGAAAATATTGATTTCATGCCAACCATACTTTCTCGTTTCGATATGATTTTTATTGTGAGGGATACTTATGATGTAACTCGAGATTTGGTTAGTGAAATATTTTTTCTGAAATTTGGGGTTTTCTTGAACTTATTTTACAGAGTATTTTGCTGTTAAATTCAGCTGATTTAAAAATTTTTTTTTGAAAATTACAAGGATAAATTTTTCGATTGATTGAAATTTCAGGTCTTGGCTAAGCATGTTATTTCTGTTCACGTCAATGCTTCATTAAATGTAACCCATGAAGAAAATATCGAAGAAGACATATCACTAGAATTTTTAAAGAAGTTAGTTTTAGTTTTGTTTTAATTTCTTGGCAAAATCTGATTTTTTATTTAGCATAAAAGATGAGAAACGTTTAATTTTTTTCTATTCTCCGGCTAGCCTTATTTCTTTTTATTTTTTTGAACTACATATTTTGATATTAAGATACATTGCCTACTGCCGTGAGACTTGTGCTCCTCGTTTATCTGATACTGCCGGTGAAAAATTGGTCCATAGTTACGTGCGAATGCGTAACCCGCCAGTGGATCCAGCTCAAAAACGTTAAACATGATTTTAATTTTGTCAAAATTTTAATTTATTTATTTTAATTTGTATGCTTTCTAGATTTAAAAGATTGTAAAAATTTATGATTATTTCATTCGTTTTTATAGAATCTAAATATCACCTTCCGGTTATACCAATTACGGTACGCCAATTGGAAGCTATTATACGTATGAGTGAATCATTTGCCAAGATGGAATTATCACCTTTTGCTCATGAGCGACATGTAGAAGAAGCACTTCGTCTGTTTCATGTTTCTACAATTGAAGCAGCTGCTACTGGAAACTTAATCGGTTATTTTTTATATAGATTCTTCATATATAGCGCTGTTTGTATATCTTTTATATTTCAGGTATCGAAGGTTTTACTACGATTGAAGATCAAGAAGCCTTTTTCCGCATCGAACGACAATTAAGAAAACGCTTTTCTCTTGGGACACATGTCTCTGAATATCTTATTGTTCAAGATTTTATTCGGCAAAATTATCCTGAGATGCTTATTAGAAAGGTAGAAGCCTATTTCAAATAATTTTTTATTCTCTCTTTCTCATGTTTTTTTCATTATTCAATTATATCAGGTATTTAAGTCAATTTTTCATTTTTGTTTCAAATTTTTATTTTTATTGATTTGTTCTATAATTACGACCTATAATAATTGTAACTTATATATAAATTGTTGTTATGTAAATTGTTCAAAGAGGCTTAAAAAATTAGATTCATTGGCGATTTAACTTTGCTTTTTTGTAGTTAAAAGTATTTTTAGGTCATTCAGTCACTTGTCCAACGTGGTGATCTTCAATATCGCATGCAAAGAAAGATGCTTTATCGTGTGAGATGATTTATTGTGATTTCAAATAATATTTATAAGATTATTTTTTGAAAATTATTTGCCTTTTAATGGTGGCATGCACCAACAAACTTTCTCCAGTTCGTGATTGGGTCGAAACAAATTCTGTAGAATATTTCTTCTGATAGTTTCATTTTGTTTTAATTTAAATAAAAATTAAGAATATATTCGGTGGAGGTTTACTGTTTATTTCTTTTAATTTTGCTTTATTTTATCCGTTTCCTGTTTACCAGTATTGTTTAGATAATTAGCACTTAAAAGGTTAATTTTTAATTTAGTTCTGTGTTTGTTTGCTTAATACTCTGTGGTTGCTGCAGAGTATTACCTAATATAATCAGAGGATTCCGATGAAGTCTTCATTGAACGGTGTCTCTAAATTAATCTCTGATATCTGTTAAAAATCGGATTGTTAGGGGTCCATTTCATCTACAAATAGCTATATTGTGAAGAATATTCTAATTTCAAGTGTTATTAAATATGGTTAGTAAGGTTGATATTAAAAATCTATCTGCTTTTAAACAGTCAAACTTTTCAAACTGTTTTTCCATGCATATCAAGCTGAGAAAATCTATCATGATTACTTCCATCCTTTGCTGGAAATCACATAATCTACATTAATAATATCGTCATATAACTTCTACATTGGTCCTATGCCTATCACAAGAATGCACCTGTTGCTATTTGCTAAACATAGCGTCAAAATCGAGGAGGACCAATGGAGGCCTAGGCTGATATATAGAAAAAGTTTCAAGCGCAAAGGCATAGGCGGCCTAGCGATAAACAGTGGAAAGAGGAGAGATTTCTGTTATTTTTTTATTATAGCGTCAGGTCGAGAGACGTGTCGAGATAGATGTAATTGAGTATTTTAAGAAAGCAATTTGCAAGGCCAGTTTAACGTTCTTTATTTTTTCAACATAGTACTTTCTTAATTTTTTTTCAAAAATTTCTTAACAAATAAGTTTTATGCATTGTTGTCCAAATAAATACATTTATTTGGTAGTTTTGTCGTTGTTCACTTTGCATGGATATTCAATGAACTTAGCACATGACTCGCAGACGACGCGGTGTAAGCTATCTGGATGAATTTTTGAATGAGATATTTAATTTCTTAATTATATTCAAGAGGGACAAATTTTCAAATATTTTGTATTCTTTTGTACCAGTTGGCTAAAGATTGGACAAAATTCTAGCGATTCTTGCATCTAGGAATGCTTTCTTTCTTTCTGCAGGATTTTTGTGGAACAGCTGAGAGATTGGTCCAAAATCAAGGCTCGATTGCAGTTCTCTTATATTGGCTTGGAATCTGGTTAAGAAGCTAAGAAGTTATCTTTTTTTAAACTTGAGATATTTTACTCGCTGTTCCGCTATGACTTTGCACCTACTTTGTATCAAAAAGCGTAGCCCATACTGGTTAAAATATTAAACATTTAATTACCTTAATTTCGTTCATCGGTTCGGATTTTATTTCGTCCATTTCCAGCCAAAATGGGATGAAATTTTTATAGCCAATCAGCTGAAATAGTTATAGTTTTATTTGTTATATTTAATGAAAAAAAAGGCTTATTTTTGTATTCTTCATTTCATTTAAGTCGTTGCGGTTATTCTATCACTTTTTTGATTAAATTGTCGATGATTGATTATGTTCGATTCAGGTTTTGATTTTCTTTCATAGGAAAATCTTAACTTGCTAGTGGAAGGGAAATCTGAATATTTGATGAGAACCTACGTATACTCTCCCCCTAAATGGCTGTGACGAATTGAAAAAATTTTTGTTGAGGGGTCGTTTCAAAAAAATACTCTCGATTTATTTTTGTGAATTTATTTTTCATTTCTGATCACAATTCAGCTAAGTCGTCTTAAACTTTTACTTTTTTTTCTTACCAAAAACGATTAAAATAAATAAAATAAACTAAAATTAATTAAATTGTATGAATTATATATATATATATATATATATATATATATATATATTTCAAATTTCATTGTCCATTTTATTATTTTTTATACTGGTTAAAATATTAAACATTTAACTATCTTAATTTTTCATCGGTTCGAAAAATTTAATTTTTTTTTTTTGTGCTTGGCAGGAGTAAACCTTCTATTATGTCAAAAATCCAGGTGGCTGCTGGGAACCCACCTGTAACTCTATCACCAAGTGACTCTATGGTGAAAGGGTCAGATACACTTCATACGGCGTCCGCATTCCCCGACGCGCATGATACTTCGAGCCCGGTGGTACATGCGATAAGTATACAATCCGGACTTAAAGCGATCCCAAATAAAATATGCTCTTAAGCGAGGGTAATTGCTCGAAATCTATCAAGGGGAACAGCCCTTTGCATGCGCGGCGAGGTATTAGCCGTATCAGCGTGGAACGTCAAAACGCTTATGGACGTTGCGAGCCAAACAATCACTGTCCACACCCTGTCTAAGTATCGTGTGGATATCGCTTGCTTGTCGGAGGTCCGTCTTCCTCACTTTGGGTCTCGAGCAATTATTAATTCTGGTTCAGAGCAGAGATACTGGCTATATCACTGTGGTGTTTCGAATAACTCGGGATGAAATGGCGTAGCGATTGTCTGATAAGGGCCCATTCTTCTTTGATTGAGTGGAAACCGGTAAACGACCGTATGGCCTATGCCCATTTTAAGAATAAGTTCTGCAGTATCTCGGTCATTAGTATCTATGCTGCAACTCTGTCGGCAGATGACCATGATAAAGATAAGTTCTATGCGGAACTTCAACTGCTAACAAAATCTCTATCGAAACATGATAATCATAATCGGGGGAGCCTGGAATGCTCGCGTATAATGCAGCTGCGATGACCTCAACAATTGGCAAATATGGCATCGGAGATCGGTGCGCCAACGAGGAACGTCTTCTTCGTTATGCCGAAGAGCATGAACTTTTTGTTATTAATATTTCCGGCATCATAGAAAACATTTAGTCACGTGGAACACCCCGGACAACCAACACTTCAACCAGATCGATTATATTTTAGTTAGTCGCCGTTAGAAGAGTTCCGCATTAGATAGTCGTTCCTATCGCGGAAACGTGGAAACAGGCAATCTTCATGGATCTGACCATGTTATGGTTCGAGCCAAGATCCACATAAAACTGACAACTCAAAGAAAACTGCATCCCCCAAGATCCTTCAACTATCTCAAACTAAAAAATTCGGGGACAGTAAGCGCATTTCAAACCGAATTATTGAAGCATCTCGATGGTATAACTATTAATGATTTCCTAGAATAGTAAACGAATACTGGTCCGAACTAAAGGAATTCTATGAAAGTTTCTACCACTTCCACGCTAAGGTATACTAGTAGGAAGTGCGCTAGTTGAGTATCGGAAGCAATTATCTGAAAAAGCTGCCAAAGCACGAATGTCAGGTGATCCTGTTTACCGGGCGCTTCGAAGATTTGCAGTGAAAGCAGCAAGACGGGACAGAAATCACTATTGAAGTGATATGGCCTCAAGAATGGATGCGGCGGCTCGATTAAGCGACAATAGGGAACTATTCTGCCTTCTTCATAAAGCAACTGATTCGGGGAACGATCGTGAAATTTTAAGAGATAGAAACGGCTTACTGATCAAAAGTATTAAGGACCACCTCATAAGATGGAAAGAATTTCTTTGAGGCCAAACTTAACCATGAAGCCCATCTGTTGCCCCTGATATAGCTGATACGCTTGCGGAAGCATACGCTTGCAATTGCGAGCCTCCAACAGAAGATGAAATAATTTCCGTTATTCATAAGCTTAAGGCCAATAAAACTCCAGGAGAAGATGGTCTTCGGGCTGACCTTTTCAAATATTGTTCATCGTCCTTCATAACGCATCTTCAACAAATGTACTCTTTAGTATGGAAAAAATGAATATTACCAGATGATTGAAGCAAAGCAATTCTGCTCCCAATTCTCAAGAAAGGTGATAGAGCATGTTGCGACAATTATCGAGGCATCAGCCTATTAGACGTCTCAGCAAAAATTTTTGCTTCCCTGCTACTTAATAGACTTATGGAAGTACGAGACAGCAGCATGCGCCTTAATCAAGCTGATCAGGGCACGGGTTGTGCTGACCAGATATTCACGTTAAGTAGGGTGTTGGAACATCGCTTCAAATATTTGCAACCCACTGTCACGTGTTTCATCGACTTTGCGGCTACCTTTGATTCAATTGATAGAGCGGCGCGTTGGAGGTGATGGAACATGACGGTATTCCAGCGAAAATCATTAGACTCATAAAGGTATTTTATGAATGCACTTCGGCGCAGGTCTGTCTATATAGGGAACTGACAGATTCCTTCGAAATAAGAACAGGTGTCCATTAAGGTCCTTTCCCCCACAACATTCAACTATGAGATAGACTGGGTAATGGACACCGCTTGTCGGTACTCAAGGGATGTACAAGTAGTCTAGAGATCTTGAATACGCTGATACGTTGATGATGTAGTCATTTTTACTGTTATGATAAAATGCAAATAATGCTAAATAACGTGTCAACAACTGCAGCGAGAATCGGATTCAGGATTAATGTAAATAAAACGAAGGTCTTATGTGCAAAAAGCTGATAAAATGCCTCTTTTTGTAAATTCATTGCCGGTTGAGGAAGTGCCCGATTTCAAATACCTTTTGTCCACTCTAATACCTTTGACCACTCTTGTCTAAGGTACATTTTACGGGTTCCTCGAGCGGATAAAATATCATATGATCGCATCCATCTTCCACTCTCATATCACTTCAAATATCACTTGCATTAATAATGCTATCACACCTTCGCCTTCGGTGGTTAGGGAACGTTCTCCATCGTCCACCACAGAAGTTGTCGCATATTTCGTTACTTGCTAAACCGTGTGATGGATGGAGCCAAAAGCGAGGTGGGCCAATCAAAACCTGGATTGATACGGTCAGGAAAGATTTTTAACGTATAGGTGGACCAGCAATATATGGATTTAGACGATGGAAAAAGGAATGGCTTCCATTACTGTCGACGATGGCATCAGATCGCGCCGATTGGAAGCGTCTCACCCTTGTAGCCGTTGGAGCCAGCCTAACCAGTAATGGTGAGGGCTGTTAGAAGAAGAAGAAGAAAATGGCTGTGGCAAGGCTAATCGCATTGCCGTAATCGTCATTGGAGACAGCCGAGAAATAGTGAGTAATTTTAAAAGGAAGAAAGGCTTATTGCCATTTCCATAGGAATGAATAAATTTTTCATCGCTTGAGTCAAATTCATACAGTATGAAAATGATTATTCTTTTTTTTCAAGAGTATTATTTACAACATACTTAAGTGCACAGTGGGAATGGGGAGACAAGAGGAAGTTGGGATGGCTCATTAGACTTTCGCTCGAGCGCCAATGCTGGGTTTCCAGAAGCATGCCTTTCATAAATCCAGATGCTAACTTACTCACCAATATTTCTGTCCCCTCTGGCGAAATTTTTATGGTCCGGCGGGAGAACGGGAGCGCACTTAGTCATAAATAGGGAATGAATGCTCTTAGAAAAAATTTGAATACGAAGTGTGGTTTAAATATAAAATACCAGTGAATAAAGAAAGAACATACAGCAATAAGATTGTAACCAAACCACAATAAAGCGCTCAGTGTAAACATGATTATCGAAAATATTTGGGCTGGTGTCGCCGCATAATTATTGTATTTTATCGCTTCCATGTGATAAAATATTACACAAGTGCAACGAAATATTTCCAGGAAGGATGCATGCTTTCTTAACTTAATATTCATTAGAATTTTGCAGAAAATTTCTTATTTGAGTCTTTTTGTCGAATTGTGGATAGAAGAGGAAGAGGCAAGGAAAATCTTACAATGGCTTTCGAGAGTAACGAAAAATAATTTCGATTTGTAAAATGGAAATGAGCCCAGCCAGAAAGCGGTCGAAAAATTCTAAAAATGAGAAAAATAAAAATCATAAACAAACTTTTTATCAAAAAATCCACCAAGGCATTGCATAGTTATAACAAAAAACAATAATTTCATTGTGAATAGCGTATAGGAAAGTTGACCTCGATCAAATTCAAAATGAAAAAATGTCGCCAAAAGTATAAAAAAATGGCAAAAACAATAAAGTTTTAGTGGTAAACATAATGGGGGATTGTATTTCACTACATTCGCTTCAATCTACAAAATATTTTCTTTATATTTTTAATTTCACTAATCTAATTATTCAATAATAAAAATACAAATGTTATTTTCGGACGAAAAATTGGCTAATTAAAAAATTTTCTTGGCAAAAATTATCTCATTTTAAGGCCATTACAAAATACTCACTGGCGATACTTTTGTCTATGGACTACTCAGTGGAAATACTCAGCAAAGAAAGCGTTGCTGCATTTTATTAAATTTAAATGTGATGATGCAGGGGACTTGCTTGTGGTATTCCTTCCTGGTTATCAACCAGTGACCACCAATGAAAATATCTTTGAACTTTCATTCCAGGAAAATAACCGGGCGGGTAGAATAAGGCTTTAATTTTTTCGAAACCTTTAAATATATCTTGGCCTTTCTCATCTTTCGTTCGCCATTTATCGAATAGCAACTCTTTTAATACATGAAACTATAAAGAAAACTTTAAAATAAAAATTATCACAGGAAAAAACACAAAATTTTTCACAATTTGGACTTTTCTTTGAAAATATTGCAAATTTATCTAAAAATAAAAGAATTTTCTTTTGCATGAATTTAATTTTTAAAATGAATAAAATAAACTTGTAGCCAGAGTTGATTAAAATTTTTTTCATTTTTAACAATTCCATAAACAGGTCGATCGTCTTTTCTTTCTGCTTCAAAAGTATTGAACAACTTATCCCAAATTATGAACACACCACCGTAATTTCTGTCAATGCAATATGGATTTCTGCCATGGTGCACACGATGATGTGATGGTGTATTTAGAACAATGCCGAGAGGTCCATAGGTATCAAATAACTAAATTGATAAAGATTTATAAAGAAAGAAGGATCATTGGTTCTATAATTATTTTTCTGCCAAATTAAGTGCCACAGTAATTGATGAAACATATCGAAAATGATCTATAATATTAGAAAAGAGCAAAATCTGACAACGCTAAAAATGAAAATTTAGGAACAATATGGGTTTTCGGTCTATAGATTAAGTTATACTATTTTAAGCATATATTTCGGAATTCGTTCCTGACATAAGCTATTAAAAAGTTGGATGAGGTTTTGGAATTCACCTATAATTCCCTTAGGTAATTCTTCGGCGAAAACATCGTGGTCAATAGATTGTCAGTGGATGTCAACGAAAAACGAATGCTAATCACTAACATTAAAAAATAAGTTTATCCTCTTAAATGCATTTTTCTCCTTTATCACTGATTTTTTTTTAAGAGCACTCACTCACTATTTCTTATTAGATTTACTCGGCTGGCTTGCTGGACCTGACGAATTTTACCAGTGAATAACTTGGCGACAAAATGTCGCCGACACTATTATCCGGATTTTTATAAGGTAAGCACTCCTATCGGTGTAGAAAATTGTAAAATTATTATGGCAGATTATTTTTAACTGCTTTTGTAAATAAATATAAAAATAAATATAAAAATTACGCTTGTATGAAGAGTAAATTGATAAATTTCACTGAAATATCTGTGAACGAGAAATATAGGTGGTGGAATAAAAAATGCCTGTAGTACGTCATATATTGCTAGGCCAGCATCTAAATTTTTATTTATAACTTTTGAGGTAATTTAAAAAGCGAAAAATAATTTGAGAATGATTTTTCAAACTTGTTAAATTTTCGCAGCATTGAACTAAAATTTATTAAAACTCTGTGCGGTATTCAGTCCAAATATTTCAAGCTAAACATCAATATTTAAAGATGACCTTGAATCGCAGCTTGACGTAAAGCAGTCGTGAAATTATAATATTCAGAGCTATGATGCATAACGTGAAGACCCCAAAAAAATCCCGCTTCTGCAAAGATATTCATGAATCCTTTCTTTTCGAATTTTAATTTAAAACTTTTCTATCTAAAACTAATGAGAAAAAATCCTTTGGTGCTTGAAGTTAAATTTCTCACTAATTTACCTACCATGCACCGCTCTATGCCCTAAATAATACATAAAATCCTGGAAGAATAAGCAAAATATCCATGTCCATACTGAGTCCCACGGATTTTCAACTATTCGAAAATTATTCCATATATATACATACAAAAATATTGCGATTGTTCGACCACCAAATCTAAATTGAAAATGCAAAAAAAAATCAACAAAAAAAATTCAAATTAAATTTGTTAGCAGAGAACTTGATATCAATTATGCTATTATAAAACCGATAGAACCATAGGGCTTAGAGATTTCCAGTTAGACTTCTCGACTTCTCTTTCTGCTTAATAATGTTAGAAGTTTTTTCGTCATGGTTCATTTGGCCAAATTTAGTTCAATCGTCAGCATCATCGGCCGGACTTTTTGAAAAAATTCTTATTAGAAGGGAGTGCTGGACTCTTCCCTTTCACCATACTAACGGACCCATTATACACGGTGTCCAGTCAAATTTTGACTCAAATTAAATATCAGCCTATCGGCATAACGAAAATATGCAAAGGAAATAAAAAATTTCACTTAAAACATTGTGATAACATTCCAGCACAGATCGATGTTATCGAATCATTAAGAGCAAAACGGTTATCGAATTTTCTGAACTTCAAATATAAAAACTCGAGAACTATAAAAACCAACCACCATGCGCTAACCTAAAATAGCATTTATGAATCACTTTAATATTTATTAAAATATTAGAATAATGTCGCATTATTATGCGATTAACTAATGATTTACTGTGCCATTACTGGATCATTCTACAGATTTGAGTACGAATCTCACTCCTTTCCAGTTTAAAAATGTTAAATTTCCAAACTTTGTCTTTCCTACCATACAACTCCGTCATTTTAGTTCTATTTATCAGAGCCTCCAAATTTTTATTGTTGCATCTAACAAAATTCTTATAAAATAAATAAATATATTTATACATTTCCAAGAATAATTTATGAGCGAAATTTGGCAAGACTGAACAGTAGCTGGACCTGCCTAAAACCTTAACGAATTGATTTAGTTTATAAAAATCGGAATTTTGATAATCATAGTTTTATGGCTGGTTATAATGACTAATTTTTTTTTGAAGAATGTTCGCTACTTCTGGTTAGGCTTATTCCTTTGGTTTGTCAAGGCAGACAAATACAAATTTTGCCAGTCAGATGATTTGGAGATGGAGGCATAGATGGACCATCAGCATCACCGGATTCTTGAAGAGTAGGTTTATTCCCCCAGGAAATAGAATCGAAGCATCGGCACGCCGATATGGTAGCAGCAATCCGCCGACCTATTCGAACTTCTAACGGCTAACTTTTATGGTGAATAATAGAAAAAAATAGATCTCACTTCCACATTATAATTAGGCACTTCATCAATTGTCTCAACCATGCTTTCATTCGGTGAAATCAGATAATAGGTATAACGTAAACTATTTAAATCCAGCCTATACATGAATCGGTAGCCTAATGATGTAGTGGTCCACAGACCATTGTAGATATACAACATCTCATCGACCAAATTCTTTGTGCCAAAGATATTCTCCATTTTCTAAAAATAATCTTTGACTAAAGCTCTTTTAAAATATAATAAGCGAAAATATATGAAAATTAATGAATAAATTTTCAAGTAATTGAAAATCAAGGATTTCTGATATTTCGAATAAATCGAAAAATTCGGCTTTTGCAAAAACATCTGTGGTCGAGAGATTTATCTTACTTAGCATATACTGATGTCTAAACAATCGCTTAAGCGCTTTTAAGTTTAATTAGTGTTAGCGAAAAGGATGGTCTAAAAATTATATACTGATAATTATATATGTACTGATAATTATAAATTATATATTGATAATTACTAATTATATACTGATGGTCTAAAAGTATGGTCTAAGTATGAGATCATGTTATATTTTCCTGTATAATATTTCTTGAAATTCCGTCAATTTCTTTAGCATTTCATATTTCCTTGCACCTGTAATTGAACCTCCAATCTATGGCGAATTAGATTTGCGTTTACTAGCAATAGAAATAAATACAAATGGAGTTATACTTGACTTCGGGGAAGGGAAGAATTGCAATACTTTTTAAAGAAATTTTCGACAAAGTGAAATAGAGGTTTTCTAGGCTTATGGAAGTTTTACGCATTTAGCTCATTGAAAGCAAGTTATTCTACAGATTCCCATTTCTATCGAAGTAATCCTTAGTAAGAACAATGAAAACAGTACAGAGCAGTAGAACAATAAAATATGCGAAAAAAAATAACTCAAACCGATAGACCAAGGGGAATAACTATATAAAGATCCTAGGCTTGGAATGAAACGAAACACCAATATTGGAAGAGCATGAACCTGTGATATGTGGAATTCGGCTAAAAGGATGGTGCAAAAATATGATGAGTGCAAAAGAATTGCAATGGATTTAAGATTTTAAGGAAGAGCAATTCATAAAATAAAAAGTGAATAAGATAGGAATGATAGAATGATTTTTTAGGCCTATAAAGACCTATTAGATTTATAAGATCTTATATTTACTAAAGTGTCAGGAATTGGCATAATCGCTCCTTTAGATTTGTGATATTGAAATGGTTTCAAGACTTTTAAATCACAAATAAGAACAGTGGTAGCCGATTTCAACCAATATAATTACACTGGCGATGGCTACTGAATTCTAATAGAAATTCGTTTCTCGGCAAAAAGTAAACGCTAAATCTTGCCTTTTCTATGACAAGGCTCTCACAAACGGTACTTGTCGTTTTTTGAACGAGCTTTTTTTCTGCGAGATTAATCAATTATCACAGCTGTAATGATGATGGCTACTGAATCGCAACTGTGATTCTTGTTTCTTTCCAAAAAAGCAAATTCCAAATTTTCAATTATGCCTCTTCTATGACAAGGCTCCCACAAACGATACTGGTCGTTTTTTGAACAAGTGTTTTCATTTTGAAATTTGTGATACAATTATAATATTAAAATAGGTAAATATTGTAGAATTAAGAAAAATTTTCGAAAATAAATGAAATTTGTGCAAAATTTCCACTTTGGACAGCGAAGATAAACTTTTTAAAACGAATTATTTTTAACGCTAATAAAATGTTTAAAATTTTTGCGAATAAAATGTTCCAGTTCAGTTGTTTCCCTCCGATTTTCTGCTTTAACTCTAAATCAGCAAATGCTGTTTTTACAATTTTTTGTAGCAAAACATTGAACTCATTAATAATTATTAAGCTTTCTCGAAAATGAAATTCATAAATCATCTCAATATGTTAATAGAATTCATAATATAATATAATTCTGAATTATATTAATTAACTCGATTCAAACAGCAATGGTATTTTCAAATAAATAAAAAAAATTTTTTCCTTTTCATTGGTGCAGCCCTCATAAAATTACCGAATATAAGAAGATTTAGCATATATTATCAAAAACTGTGCCTTATCACTACTGTAAGTCCTTAAAGATTTTGCAAATCTCTCTATTTAAAAATGGAATTAACGTGTAGAATATGAATGATCTAAGAAAAGAAGGCCTTTAAGAGAATATTCCTTAAAAGCAATTTTATTTTTTATAGAATCCGTTTTCATTATCTAATTTTTCCTTTTCCTTATATGAATAAGGAAAAAGGAAAATTTAGTTCACGAATGCAACATTTATACCAGTTTGCCAGAGGAAAGAGTTGTGATAATAAAAAAAAACTTGCAAGAGAATAGAAAATTTCAAAATTCCTAAGAATTTAAATTTAAAAAAATCTGATTGAAGAAAAAAAACTATAAAATTTAGATAAGATAAAGGTTTAAATTCTTCTTTTCCTTGAATTTATCTTCGAAATTACACAAAATGAAAAACTGCGTTAGGAAAAAAAGATAAAAATAAATTACAAAAATGGATTAATTAATCAAACATTTTGGATAAGACATTTAGAATAAGTTTAATTTTACAATAAACTTTATAAAAATTGCTTCTAAAAAAATTTAAGGAGAAATCGATAAGCTCCTTTAAAAGAACTGATAAATCGGCAATCAACCGACTTTGAAATGATAATTTAAGTGACCTAAATAATCCCGTCTTTATCCAGGTTAGTTAATATTTTCACTAAAAATATTTGAATTCATATGAACATATATTAATTTTCTCTAAAACAGATTATTTGCAAATGGCGGAAATATGAGATTGCGGATGCAATTTTCGAACCGAAACTGAATGGTGGTGTTGTGGCGCAAAGGCCAATCTTGAACAAAGTTAGTAATATTTCTTTGGAAGTCAGCGAAATTTGAATCCATGTGTGAATTCTTAAATGAGATGAAATTTATTCTTCAGCGAGTATTTCCTGAATCATTTACACAAAATCTATCAACCTATCAACATTTTAATTTATAATCACATAATGTTTAATACTATTTATAACAGAACAAATTTTTAAGAAACTTGATGATTGCTATGAGGATTTTATGGCCGAAGGATGCATTATCCATATTATCATTTGCAAATTTTTTTATGGTTAAAAATCCAGACACTGCCATTCTTCACAATTAGCATTTTCATTAATTTTTTTGCAACATTATGAAAATACCCTGAAACTATGAGTAATAAGATTCGTTTCATTTTATCATTAACTAATAAGAAAAAATTATAGTATTTTGCTAGAAAACAATCATTTCATTTATTTTACATTCTATTTATTTGGGATAATTTATTATTATTTTTTGTCTCTTCATTTTAATAATTACATTAAAATCTTAAGATTATCCTAAAATGCTGATGATTTGCGCTGGGAATTTTGAAGATTTTAGAAGATATTAAAAGATATTCGAAATTCGAAAAGTTTATTTAGATGACCTAATTATTAAATTATTGCCAATAGATCACTACAAGTATTATTCACATGACATATTTCTTAATCTTTTATATAGTGATCCAAGAGTTTTAATATTTTATGCAAATTAGAAATAAATTTTGGCCAATTCAAATAATTTTTCATTCACTTACATGTCGAATAATAAAAAATTCAGTGGCAGTCGGGAAAACATTTCTGGCTAACTTCGAGTTTTATTCCAGTTTTAACTACATGAAGGACAATACTTAAAGGCATTTAAAGGTAATAATTAGTAATAGTAATTAATATTCATATATTCGCTTCCTTCAGCAAATTTTTGTCCCTTGAAAATAAAAATTAAGCAGCAATGGATTTCATTTTCAAGTCATTTTCAGTGACTTTATTACACTAAAATTATAAGAATTAAAAGCTTAATTAAACGCTTGATAGTCCCAAATTCGTAATACACCACTTGACTTCGTCCTCATAAATGATTCTCTCTAGCTATACTTCCTTATTTTTCTCATATGGTCATAGAAATACCAAGGAACGCATAGATTTCGAAAGAGTATAATTGGTGATAATTCCACTTATTGGAGTTGTTTAAACAAAAAGAAAACTTTGTGGAAAAACAGTAAATATAAGGATAGCAAGTAATGAGGTTTCTTTCTTACTTATTTACTTATTTTTACTTAGTGATTTTTACTTAGTGATATTAAAAAATTTAATATGAAAGAGTTCTGGAACTTCTGTAATCCAAATGAATTTAAGCGATTCTGCTTGGCTTTTTATTTAGTCTATAGAACTTCAAAAATAAAATTTCCAAGATTCTGTTGGCTTTCTCCTCATTCTTTCTTCTTTTGTGGTGTAGTTAGAAAAGCATTTATCTATGTTTCAAGAGTTCATTCAAGAAATTAAAATCCAGCGTAAATTTTGTTTCTTATATTGTTTCAATTTTTTGGTACTTATTTGAAATTCTTGAATTTTTGGGTCTCTTCATTTGGAAGCAAAAGAAATAATACGGATATCTGATAGCATTACGATTTTAGTTATATATTTTTATTCAAAATACACCATGGGCTACAAAAACATCCATAGGATTTTCTAACTGAAATTCGGTAAATTTACGATAATACGGTAATTTACTCCAATATTTACTCATTTTTAGCACTTTCCGTACGAAATGCCATTTTTTTCAGGTTGCGAAATCGCTTCTGAACAACTAAAATGTTTTTGTAAACGTCATCGATCTTTATACTTGCCGAAACTCGAGCGGATACTTTTACCTCGAACTGTTTCCCATGCAAGTCAGAATTAATTACAAATGATAGCCGCAGTTATATAATTATAAATAAGTGGTGCTTGCAAAATATTACTATCATCGACTTTCAAGTTGAACTTATAAAAAAATGAAATTCGGAAAAAGTTTTCTTGCTATTCGAACCTTTTTGTTTTCCTCTTTATTTTTTACAAGCCTAATTATTTAAAAAACTTCAGAAACGATTTAAAATATTACTGAAAAACTACTTTCGCATATGGTAAGACATTCAAACAATAAATCTGCAATAAATTTTATCCTAACAGTTTTCTAACAGCATTCATCATTTCTGGTTTTTAAGATGGTGTTTCTTCTTCCTAAATTAGCTTTAAAAATTGGCTTGGAATGCACCTAATTTTGCTTTTGATGACGTTTTCTCCTGTTCAGATACAGAAATCAAATGCATTGCTTATATTGATAATCATCATATAAAATTTCCATTCTAAAATTTTATGAATCTATATAGGTTGTTGATAAGTTGAATTACTTAAAATATTGAAGAAATATTCTAATGACTTTTACCATATCAAAGCAAGTTGCTGTTTGTTAATGGTGCAAAAAAAATTGAAAAATTTTTGTATCAAGTTATCAAAAATCGTTAGATTATTGTAGAAATGATAAAAATTCATTCATTCCTTCTTTTTCTGTACCATCTTGTACAAAGATATAACTCAAGGTCATTTGTTAACTTTCTTGGAAAAATTTTGCATGCTCTGCTCAAAATCATAATAAAGCAAATAATATATGCGCATGATATTTTTTCGGAATGAATCCAGAAAATTGGTCTTTTTTTAAATTCAGTGCAAAAATACAATTTATATTTTTTTGCCTTCGCTTGGACGAAATTATTTGTATTTGTGTGATGAAAGAGAAAACTGACCGATATGTCTGAGAAAATATTCAGCACATTAATCGTATTTATGGAACTTTTTATGGTTATACTCATCTCAGTTGTAATTTCGTTGATATTCTTATGCAAACTAACATCGATCTAAGCAATGTCAATTGGTTTCGCTTGTGCTTACGTTTAAAATAGTAACTAAAAAAATCTCCCTTAAAAAAAGCATAATTTCTCCTTTTAGCAGAATACATCATTTGACTCGACTGGTTTCAATAGTATTTAGAAAAGCAAATAAAGATTGGAAAAATTCGCCTAGCAATCGAATTTCATTACTAATAGGTTGCTTTATTCTTATCTAAGGTAATCATGATTATGCTCTTAGCCTTAGGCGAACATACGTCTCGTTCTCCACATGCCAGTTGTTTATTAAATAAAGTTTACGTATAAAGTTTTACTAATATTATTGCTCTTTAAGTTTTATATTTTATATTATTATATAACTGCATTAATGTAACTGTAATGTAATGTTAATTAATTTATTTATAATATAATAAATTTATAATAAATTTGTTTTATTTAATACTACATTTGTTTTATTTATATTTATTAATTTATGTTTATCTATGGCATTTTTTTCTTTTGCATATTTTAAATTTGGCTAAAAATAAAAATTAAATATTGAGGTTGAACATTGAATGTTTTTCATTCCAATAAATCGTTTAATTATTTTAATGATTCTCAATTACTTTAAAATGAAAATATAAGTTTTAATAGTAATATATATTTATAATATGATATAATAAAGATAGATGGGTACGACCTTGACGACAGGTGTGACATTCATTTTCAAAGATAGAAACCGGATTATGCGACTTGCATTAGAGATAAAAATTCGTTCATAAATCACATTTGGTAGACGAAAGGAATTCTAAAAACATTGGAAATATGAGAAGCGATATAATGATGAAAATCACGAGGAATGACTGCGAAGGATTATTTTAAGCACAATTTTTGTGAGAGAGTACGTAGATAAAAATTAAATTGAAAATATTGGAAATATTACGGAATATTTTTTTAAATGAAATTGAAAAAGGGTAGTTGAGTAGGGAAAGGAAATAAAGGGTGGGACAATAATGGTTGGTTCATCCTGGTACGCTAAGAAATTCCCCTCCTCCTTTAATCGTCACCATCATCACCTCATACTTTTCCCCAAATCATTTTAGCCTTTAACAATATTTAATATATACACCTGCATCTTACATATTTTATAGCTTATTGCCTTATTTATCTATCATATACTGATAATTAATTAATTATGTCTGCAAAAATTTATAACAGAAGTCTCTATCTTGGCGATACGATTCAGGAAAAAACTCGTACTCTACTTGGATGGAATAGTCATCATAAGGTAAAGCATTATTATCATTATTAGCATTATTTTACTATTATCATTATTTATTTTAATTATTATGAAATTCTTTAAAACTTTTTAAAAAAATTTTAAATGAATAAATATAAGTTCAATTAAAATTAAGTTTTAAATTCTCGTATAATTCAAACTTATGAGCCTAAATAATTATTTTAAATTAAATAATTAAATATTTTGAATAATTTTTTACGAAAAAAAAGAAAATGGAATGAAAATGGAATGGAATGACTGAAATATTGCAAAAATAATGCATAAATTTTTGCAATCTAGTTCGTAAAAGTCAAAAAACTTAAAATTTTTTATGCTATCATCAGGTAACTTAGACAAATCATTAGCCCTTTCTTTCAAATTACCGGCGAATGAGTTAATCGTAATCATCATACCATATGAATACGAAGTTTTACAGATGTCTTATTACATATTTGCCATCGTTGTTTTTATCTATCTATCTATTAGGATACTGAATTCCCATTCGAATTAACCTTGTTGAGTAAATGTTATTAAGTAATTATGGAGCAATTGTATCTGTTAAAAAGAAAAAATTGGAACAATCTTAGATAATTGATTTCGGATAATTCTAGAGATCCAACTTATCTCCAAGTGATTCTTTAACGAAAGATTCATATTATTAATGGAGCCAAACCAAACCAGAAATGGCGAAATGCTGTTTGAAGAAGAGAAAAAAATATAAATTTAAATTTATCATTTGTTTTTAAGCAAATTTGTCTGTCTATTTCTAAAGAATTTTTAAAAAAAGATTTTTCGAGAACTTCGTCAATTATTTGAAAAAATTTTATCAATTTTACAAAATTTTGCAAAATATTTTTTTCATTTTTTAATTTAATCTAAATCGAAAATGCAAAATATATTAATTTTTACACAATTAAAACAAGTATAAATTTTATAAAATTTTAAGACTGGCAAATCACAGAATTAATTAAAAAATTAATTAAAAATTGTTAATTTTTACATAAGGCGCATCATACAGCCAAGGAAGTCTGAATTTCTTAGAATCTTTTTTCTACGTTTTATCCATTTTCATTTTATTTTATTCGTCTTCTCGATTTTTCAATTAAATAAATTTACTTATAGTTTTATACTTATATTTTATATTTTTTATTGAAATTTATTAATAATATTCTTATAAATATTAGTAACATCACTTTTATCAATATTTTATTCATTCACTTATTTATTTTTAATTTCACTATTTGCGGTAAAAAGTCCTGCATCCTGTTTCGACAAACGATTCCATAGAATCCGAAAATTTAAATATAAATTTAGCAAAAATTTTAGAATTATAGCAAAAAAATAAAATTGGTATGCAATGAAATTATTTTATATTTTTTCCTTTAAGGAGAGTAGAGTAATCGCACGGATAGTGACTTAAATTATTATGTTGAGAGGATTAAGGATTTGGTTCATGCCTCCAACAAAAAAGGCTGTCATAAAAAAATTTGAAGGATGAAAGCACCTATCGCCAAATGACTCTACGGGAAAAACTTCTAATCGCACTAACAACAAGTGGTGCTGATATCTTATCAGAAATTGTGAACGTTAACCCACTTATTTTTTTAATAATTTTCGGAATTTTTGTTAAAAAAGTAACCACCGCAACTGTTTGCATAGCATATATTTTACTATTGTAACACAGTGGAGTCAGTGAAGTGCAAAATTGCTTTTTTTTGAATTTGTTTTCTATTTTCGTAAAATTTAAAATTTTACGAAATTTGTAAAATTAAGATTTTAAAAGGAGAAGTATCAATTACAAAAGGAGAAATATCGCCATTTTGCTGCAGTTATCATTAGATTTCGTTTTTGAATTTCATTTTTTAATCCACATTTATTAATTTTCATCATAATCTTGTGAGGTTTTCCTTAGACAAACCAAGGAAGTAAAAAATAGCGAAATAGCCATGTGTATTTGCAAAATAAATAAGGTTCTGGCCAATAAACGCAAGATATTTTTTATAACCATTAACCATTATTTATAGGATTACGCAATCGTGGATCCAATATTGACCAATAAACGTCCATTATCGGCATCATCATTATCATCGTTATCATCATTATCTCATTGTCAAAATACGCGGCCATATCTAATTCCCGTTGGCCGTTCTCGGAAAAATAGTTCGAGCTCATTATCTACATGTAGCGACTATTCTCAACCATCGCCCAGTTATAGTAACCAATCTTATGAATCGCGAAGTCCAGAACCTTACACTGCCGAAATTACAAAAGCATCGAGATTAGCTGAACGTGAAGCTAGAGTTTTTGAACGGTTGCGTCAACTTGTTCCTGTACTTCCAGCTGATCGTAACGCTTATCAAGTAAAGTTTTTTTGCTTCCAATTTCGAAATGTCAGTCAACAATCAAGCATAAAGTTATATTATTATTTAGGTACTAATTGACACCGTATCGCAAGTAATGGATCTTGAACATCAACTTGAGCAGCTCAACGAAAGAACTGAGGATGTTAAAAATAGCCTTCGAATAGAGGAAAATTATTTAAATGTTGAGCCAAATGATGTAAATTATTTTACTTTACATTCACTTTACTTTTACTTACTTTCTCCATCCGGATCTCTCTAGGCCTTAGACCCCTACTGATAACCAAACATTTCTCAAAAATTTCAAGAATTTTCAATAATAAAAGAAATTCAAGAAAAAAAACTTGAAATTCCGATGAGAATAATTGCGCAATTCACAAAAAAAAAGTTTTTACTCGCTAAAAAAATTGCGAAACAATTTTTGTGAAAAGATGGTGTCATTTTATGGGTAACTAGGTAAAGAACTGGTACGAGCATGGTACATGTCCTTGAAATGTTTAGCGATCAAAGAGAACGTTTTTTTATTTCTTTTTTTTCTTACGATTTCACAAATAAATTAGCACCAAAAATCTATGAGAAATCATCTAACCATTTCGAAAAAAATGAAATTTTCAACAAAAAAATTTTCCAAATAAAATTGTTTTTCAAAATATCAATGAAAAATTTTAGTGCGTATTTCCCGATGACCTTGAATCAGTTGATGTGTCCGAATTTAAACATCTTATATGCTCAAGCTCAACGAATCAGATGACATCTTTCTAATTCTAAATATCAAGTATTCACTCATATTTATTTTGAGATATTAGCATTTAGCATTTATGTCTGTTTACATAACCAACGAGAGTTTTATATGAGTTTTAGTAACAAAGTTGGCTAAAATCTTCTTACATTGAGAGTTAGTGGTTGCTTCAGATTAGGAAACCTGCCATTAAAAAGTCGCGATAGTGTTGGTGATGTGATGAATTTCTGTCACTAAATATCTCTTTGACAAAAATTTCTAATTGTACTAAAGGCAAGTAGAGTTGATCAAAAGTTATAATCGCTTCATTTATTGCTTTTTACAAATTTTCAGTAAACTTCGACCTTCGCTGAATATAAAGTTAGAAGGAGTAAAATATGAATGATTTGATTGCCTCAATTGCTCAAAGAAAAAAATTCTCCTGGAATTATTTCTTTTCAATTTTTCGCTTATTTCTTGGAAAATGTTTCAGTTTAATTATTTAGTCTAAATTGGATTTTTATCTGTTTTTGCAATGACAAAATAAAATAATAAGTGAAATTCCAAAAAAAGGCATCGAAAGATGCATCAAAAGATAAATAAAATTCCAAAATGTTGAAAATCGACTTAAAAAATTTTTAAAAATTACCAGTTCAAAAATTATTTACAAACGAGCGATAATCTCTGAAGAATTTACAAAATTCCCACGATAAAACGTAGATTTCTCGCTCAATGGAATAATTCTTTTTTTATCATTTAAGAATTTTTAAAATATCCATTAAATAGTTATTTGCACAAATTATTTTTATATGTATAGTCATAATTTGTATTTGTTATTTTCATTTTCCTTTTACGAATGTGCTATTAATTTTTAAATAAAAATTAATCAAATTATTTTTTACTAATTTAACTAAGGAGCGGAAACAAATATTTTAAAAATTTTATTGCAACTAATTAGATTTTAATTTAATTTAATTTAATTTAATATTCACCATTTTTGATTTGGCTGGTTTCGCTGAGACTTATGAAACCTTTTTGCTAGAGAATAACTTTGAGGATAATCACTTCACAGATTGCAACTTTCCAACCAGGCCTTCTTTTCGCTTTCGGTAATAGGTCTGCTCTCCTCAAGGGATGTGAATCGAACCTATGCTGCTTGTTCAGAAGAAGAGATCACTCGACCATCCTCGACCGCATCGATTGCGCATCGACGCTAAATTCCTTTGACAAAGATAAAAAGAGTGAAATCTGGCAAGCTGATGCAAAATCTGATTCACGTTAAGTGTAGTATGTGATTTTTTTTGCATTTTTATTAGTAAAAAAATATTGAATAGGGCGAAAATATAGGAAAATACCTCATATACCATCAAAACGCAACTGCAACTGCTTGTCATATGATTTACAAAATAATTTCAATCATAAATTTTTATAATAAAAAAAGGAATTTCAACTTGTTGGAGACAAAATTGATAATAACTGATATGATATGATTTGCAAAGAAATCTGAAAGAAACAACAAAAAACGAATATTTAAATCATTAATAATTGAGACTGATTATTCGAATAGAATGCACAATTAAAACGTTACAATACTCAACACAAATCGCATTTGCAAATGCAAATGTAAATCACAATTGTAAAAAAAAGAAAAATTTAATTTTAATATTTCAAGAAATTCATAGAGAAATAAGAATTAGTCTAAATTAAATTACAAATTCAACAAAAAAAATTTCGAGAAGTGAAGTTTATTGAAAATTCATCGATAACGAAAAAGTGCAGCAAATTTTCTCGTAGCCACCATTTTTATTCTGGGAGCACTCACTATTACTGGTTAGACTCGTTCTGCTAGCTTGTGAAATTTTACCAGATGCAAGTGGACCCAGCAGCTGGGTTTTTGAAGGAGAGGATGGGATGATTTTAAAGGAAAAATTAGCTCCACTCCACTCCTGCAGGACTTAGAATTTCAACATCAGTGTTCCAAATTAAGCACTGGGCCTTCTTCTACTTTCTTCCTTAACTTCTACATTCTTTTGATTTAGCCATCTGGCGACACCCAAGCAAGCATGGCCTCAGCCATTCTCCAATCTTGAACCGCTAGGCCTCTTATGCATTAATGGATATTTTTATTAATATCGCCTGAAATTTTGTTGATTTAAATTTATTTGGGAAAAAATCGCTTATGTAATTGAACAGCTTTCTTTTTGTTTTTGTATTTTCATGATGTTATTCTTGAAAAACTGTACGCTAATGGGAAAAATAAGGATGAAAGGGTGAATCGGAAGAAATGAAAGATAGAAAAGAACAGAAGGAATGAGCGAAACAAAAATGTCAGCTAATTTTGCTGTGGGTGAAAAATAGTGGGTTTTGTAAGAAAGAGCCGAAAACTATTCACTGGGTTTTCGAATATAAGAGCCTAAAAAAATGGAAAATAATCGAATCAGTTTGATATATCCATAATCATGTCCAGAAAAGAAAACGCGACCATGGTACTCACATCGTGCTATATATCGCAAAAACTTTCTCCAATGTCCCTTAAGAAATCGCCTAACTGTCTTCGAGATTTAGCTTATAACTGCCTCCAAAAGCACCCATTTACCTTCTCCGAACTTGCTATGCCCTTCTGATGCATACTGTTCGAAAAAAGTTAGGTAAGAAAGAAAGTGCTTTCAGTATAAAGTTAAACAAGTTAGCGATTTGCCTTTCGTAGCCACTCAGCCGTATCATTTTTATTGAGTTATCATATTGTAGAATAATAAATGAACGATTAACAATCAGATTAACATGCTTTTATCACCACTTTCTAGCGAAAGGCACTCATCGCAAATAACCAGAGGAGCTAGCCAAAACAGAAACGGTGCTGGAGAACTTAAATCCAAAGTTATTTGGATGCTTTAGAATAATTTTTCCGCAAATTATCCATTTTTTTCATCTTTTTTTATGGAAATATAGTACTGAATCTATTGTTAATCTATTATGCATCAGTAATAGAATATGCATCGTATTGTAGATGAAATATTGTACCAGTTTGATCACTTATTTTCCAAAATAGTGCAAAATTACGACACCAGAGTGCGACCTGAATCCAAAATTTATAAGGAGAAAAGAGAATTCACATGAAAGAACTTTTTCTTATAAAAATTTCCTTTGAAAAATTGTGCCAAGCAATTTTATAGCAATTTCGAGTTGCAATAAATCACCAGAAATTTTTTTTTTCGAAATTGAATGTTGCAATTTTTGAAATTATGAAGTTTTTTTATTTTGGTTTTCAATGCCAAAAATATCAGCGCAACTGGTTCTTGCGGTGCAAGTTAGCACTATTTCTAGTTAGGTTTGTTCCATTAGTTGTTATCAGATATTTTCGACAGAGATTCATAGAGGATAGAAGATGAGTCCCCTCATGCACTTCGGATTTTTTCATGCTATGTTTATTCCTGCTAGTGATAAAGAGCCAATCTTAGAAATATACCCACCACTCTGCCATTTCTACTTATTTATTTAATGTGAATCTTGTAAAATCTGGATTATTGGAAGAAATCTTTATCATACTAAATCCATCAATCAATTCCTTAATTTTCAAAAAACGTTTTTTAAAAGCATTTTGCCTTTTTTTAATTGTTAATTGTATTTAAAAATAGTGCTTTTGGCAATGTGAAGATGCTGATGAATAAAATACTTCGAGAGACTTTATTAGAATCGATGAGTTCCAATCGATAGGAAAGCGTTGCAGTAATACACAATACACCCTTTCGGCAAAAATTAATTTTACTGAATATCCAGCCAACTCTCCTTATTTACACGACATATTCCATTTTCGTATTATTTATTTTTACACACTTTTTTGGTCTGTATAAGCAGTTTATAATATTTATTGATAATTTTGATAATTTTATTAATTAGAAAGATTTGATTAAAGTGGTGGTGACCAGATTATCTGGAAAACATTTCTTTTGATAAAACGAAAATCAAACAACAAACAATTACTGACTCTGATCACATGGATTAAAATATATGAAAAAAAGAGCGTAATTCTTATCATTATCATTATCTTAATCATGATTATCGAAATCCGAGAAATAATTTTTGCCATAATTTTGTAACTTTAACTATAACTATTTTCGTGGAATTCATTGAAATATTATCTTATTTACTTGATTTTCTTCATTTCTTTCAAACAGTGTTTATCATTTCTGTCTTTCCAACTTTCCAAATTTCACGATCCGATTTTGCTTCGCTATGAATACAGAATAACTATAATTAGCATAAAATTTTTGGGCTAAAACTTTCAAGGAAAACTGTTTTTATGGACTGTTTGTAATTCTACATAAATTTAAATTTTTTGTAGCATGAATTTTGCACTTTTTATGAAAAATGTCACTTTCTTTTATGCACTTTTTTTGCAGTTTTAAGGATATAAGGATTCGATAAATGTGGCTGGATGGTACTAAAGGAAAAATAGTTATGACAGGGTGGACCAGTTGGACATATAGCAGATGTATAAACTAGTTGCAAGTATTTTGAAATATTTGAGTATTTTATGAAAATTAATGATAAATCTATATAATTTGCTATACTGCTACGTTAAATGGAAAAAAGCTCATCTACTTTTCCTCTAAATTATGCCAAAATTTTATTAAAATTTTTGTTGCCGTTGAATATCGCTCCCAAATTTTAAAATATTAGAAAATATTAGAAAATAAAAATATAAAATTTTAAAATAGTTGATGTCTTTAGAACTCTTTATTGTCAGTAGCTTAGCCTATTAATGATCTAATAAGTCAAACTCAATCATTACTCCACAACTTCCTCGGCATCTTTAACGTCAGTTGAAGCTCTCCTAAATTCCCTTGATGATGCATCCAACCTCTTTGCACTTTGCTCTTTGCCGTACTTCGTCGGTTAATATTATCTTGAATCTCCTTGTAGCATATTTTAATCCCTGAAAAACCATATTTTTTTTGTTCCTCAATCTTAGGTTCCTCAGTTTTTTAATCCTCCACATTTCCAAAATGCCAGCAATCCTCTTCAATATCCTACGGAAAGTTCTCCTAAGTAAATTGCTTCTAAACTAAATTGCTTCTTTTTTCAAAAAGCTGATCTTTTTTCCTCATATTATCTTGAACCTCGTTGTACTATATTTTGTTGGTGTATATATTAACTCCATAAATTCCACAGTGGTATCTTAACGCTCTCAAACTTTGTCTTTCCCTTTTGTTACACTTCAATACTCCATAAAAAATAATTAATCAAACTTGCAAAATTCCAGTCCGGGTTGAAGCCCTTCAAAATCCCATATAATTTGCGAAAAACCTCTGCAAATTCCATTAAATATTGCCTTAGCATCTATAAGCCCCTTTTACACTTTTTTGTCACAATCTACTCGTAATATCATTCGAGTCCCATTTTACTATTTTAATCCTCCCAGAGCCAGCTGTAACCCCTTGGTGCTCCCACTCTCGTTTTATCTATCTTGTCAAATGGAGGAATGGAGGGCATTGAGGAGAAAATTTTGGAGATTTAACGGATATGTATTAGAATCCGATGAGCAGTTAAAGGCTTGAAACTGATCTTCAGGAAAAGCGCATCAAGCTTTAAAATAGTTCTGTGAGTGCGTATAAGGCAGTTTTCCTGCTAATATAAAATAGGTATTGATCAACTATCTTTAAATCAATTAGCTCATTTTAGAAGAAAATTTCATTTAGAATTCAACAATCTCTAATATAGAAAAGACCAAAAGAATTCATTGAAGGAAGGAATTTTGCTTTATTTCGGTTCCCTCTTAGCCTTTTAATTTTAATTTTAACTGGTGATTCAAAAAAATTCATTTATAATTCTACTCATGTTGAAAATACTAGAAAATCGATTAAGTAAAGTAATAAATAAATAATTAAATAGTTATGTCATATTAAACCTGAACGATTAACACTTTAGCCTTAAGTTTGAAGTTCTTGAAGTTTTCTTACTGCTAGCCAATCAACTAATTGGTTAAGTTAGGATGAAATACAGGAGGTAGGTTTTCTAGAATTAGATTTTTTTTGACATTTCCCGTCTTTGCATTTCTCTACTTTTTATCTCAAATTGCAAAAAATTATTGGCAATATTAAATTTCCATTCGAGCATTTTATAATATTCTCCTTTCTCAACCACAATACAACCAACAATAAATGAAACTGGAAGTTTTTGACATTTTCGAAAACTTGTAAGTTTATGAGAAAAGCTTCTTAGCTTTGAATATTTTAAATAATTATTAAATTTTTTAAATAATTTTTAAAATTCGTAAATAAGTCGTAAAATTAATAAAAGAAATGCTTATTAAATCTACTATGGCTGATTTAACTCCGATTATACTCCGATTAAATTTTTAGGATGGCTGGAAGGAAGTATCATGAAGGGCCAAAGCCATCACCTATTCAATACAACTTATCCCTCATTAAAAATCCTACCGTCCCACCTATACTTCTAATCGTCAACTGACATCCTCGTGGTTAATATAACGAAATGAACGAAAAATGGTGAAATGTTGCTAAAAGACGGAATTATTAAGTTACACAAATTTACTTCTACTTGTTCAATAAAATTTTGATGATAACTTAAACAATTAATTAGAAAATTATTACTAAATTATTAAATTATTAAACAATTAATTAGAAATTTTTTTAATTTTAATGGTTGAATAAATGTTTTGAAAGTTTTTAGGTTTTTTAAATTTTTCTAAATTTTTTTTCTAATTTTAATTTTTTAACTTTAATTTTTAATAATATTCTATTCTGCTAATTCATTTTTAATTGAATTAGCAATTTTATTTGAATTTTTCTTGTTAAAATTTTGCAGTACTTTAACTCATAAGAATAAATTATTTGCGTAATTAAGGCGAAACAGAAGTTTGATGTCAACTAATGCAGAAATGTGCAAAATAGTCCAAAGGTGCATTCAAGCACAGCACTAATCATTTCTGGTTCGGCTAGCCCCGCCGGCTCATTAGTTTGATATATCATTAGGGAATCACTCGCCGCAAAGTCAGACGTGAATCGCCTTATCGCTTTAATCATTTCGATGAACGGGTTGCTCTTGCACAACATCCTGAGCCATTTTAAATTATATATTGGACCTTAAATAGAAATATGAACTTTTGCCATTTCTGTTCAATGAAATAAATTCTTATAATGTTTAAATTCCAAAAATCATGAATTTTTTTTAAATTTTAAAATTTTTTAGAATTTTATTCAAATTTCCTAATTTTTAATGATTTTTAATGTTAAGAATGTTCTTTAATTTTTTAATATTTTTAATATATTTTTTAAAGTTAAACCTAAATTTATTTTAAATTTAATTAAAGTTTAAATGTTATTGTCGACAGTGGAAAATGTTTCGTAAATAATGAGTAAATTATGATAACATAGTGACAAAAATTTAATAATAACAATGTAATAATAATATAACATAATGATAAGAAATAATGATAATAATAATAATAATAATAATATTTGTATCATTTGTTTTAAATTTTATAAGATGGGCGTTTTCGAAATTTCTTTTCTTTGCTGCCGATATATTTTTATTATGGATGCATCCCATTGACTCTATCTTTTCATGATCATTCCACATTCATTCGCAAATCCAAAATCCAACTAACTAGTATATAGCCCTCCTTTATCGACTTTTTGAATGCTTATTTGGCATCAGTGAACGAATACTTTTCGAAATAATTTTAGTTAATTTCTTATTATTATTACCTCGAATTATCAATAAAAGAATTCCTAATTTTATGAATTATTTCCAATTATTTTGCAGTAGAAAACTCGTGTCGCATAATGTCGCTTACAAGCCCCTAGCTGCTATCTATTATTATTTATTATGAGCTTTTATCATTATTCGCTAAATGCTAGAAAAAATGGAAATCAAATGGCAGTTATGACAATTATTAGTTGGAATTGGTAATTATTATCAAATGTGCACCAAATTTTTATTGATCTAAGAAATTTCGTACTTTTGTTTCTTTTTGTTAACATGGGTGCATCATTAACGTCACCATTGCCACATCGTCAGCCAACGAGTGTATGTAATCATTTATTCACTACACCAGATGCACCACAATTGTTTCCATCACATACATTTACGAGTAATAATAAAAAACATTCTATGCTAACAGTTGGATGGAATTGGTCAAAACGTGCCGCTCAGCAGGTTAGTCTTTGTAATTTTTTAGAATACTATAGAATAGAATATACATATTATATAAATCGAAAATTGCCTCTTTTTGGTGATTTTTCTAAGATTAACTTATAAATTTCCGTCTTTTTTTACTTTTTCGTGTTAAAAATTTCTTCTTCATAATCAAAATATCGTTATTGGGCTGTCTTAATCCTTCTCGATTCCACTTTATTCCTCTTAACGACCAAAATCTTAAAAGATATTTTTATCTTTCAATTCCATACTTTGTTGTGTTTCGCAAATAGACCTGCAGCCCTTGTGCAAATTCCTAATAATCAACTGACATTCATTTTACGCTTTATTATATAAGGTCGGCTCGAAATTCGCTGTGCATTTTCCTTACTTTGATATATTCTCTCTATGTTTCTTTCGATGGTACCCCTTCAGAAGTAATTGACCCCCTCCTAATTAAAATTAAAATCAATGCATCGTGACCTTGTTTTAGCCCACTAATACCACTTTGACATTTGATCATATTGTTGTCAAAACTTGCAGTATTTTAAATAAACTCGCTTTAATATTTCTTTCCCATTTTAAAATATTTTATTCTTCTTCTTTGTCTGTCGTTATGGCTTGCTTATTATTTGTTCCTTATTTTGTTAGTTTTAATTTTATAGATGGTAATATGCATTTAGATTGTGAAGTTTGGAGGAGGGTGAGGGGTTATAATGAAAAGTGATAACAGTGGAGAGTATTGAGGGTTCAGTGGGGGAAGAGGGTGGGGGTGTTTAATAAGATGCTTTAAAAGGAATGGCAGGGATCGATTCATTACATTGATTTTTATGCCAGAGAAGTTGTTCCAAATTTTTATGCTTATCTTTTGCTTATTTTTCTCTCATAGAATTTTAAAAAAATCCTTAGGATCCTCAGATTATTTGCTTTTGAATTTATCTTTATAATTTAAGTATTTGAATAATTGAATAATTTTATGTTGAATATTTTTTAAATTTTTTGCATTTATTGTATTGAAACTAATATTTATTTAAATTAAAAATTTCAGGTGCAAATTCAAACAGTGAAAAAATCAACTACTTTAACCTCGCATTCAAGCAACTCAATAATGTCACTTTCTTCGACGAGTAGTAACAGTAATGATTTACTTCCATACAATATTTTGGCATTAGATAACAATGAAAATTATAAAAAAATTGATATTATTAAAAAAAACGATCAACGGAATAATGCAACGTCCATTATCAATGCAACTACTATTATACCAAATTTATATGTCATTGATAATCAACTACAAAATGATTTCAAATTAAGTAAACAGGTAATTTTTTCTTATTTATTTTCCAGCGAGATTCCGTCATGAAGATCCATTTTTGGCTTGACTTGCTCTGCTCTACTTACTAAAATGAGGATATTTCGCCAGAGAATTGCTTGAAGATAGGAATATAGTTGAATAGTTTCGATTATTACTGATATGAAAGTTATAAAAAATTGCAAAATTATCTAAAATTATAGAAGATTGATTTTAAAAAAATTAGCTTAAAATAGCAATAAGAATGATTTAAAAGATTGTTAAATCACTGGAATTTGAAAGTAAACAAAAAATTGGAGCAATTATTTGAGTTCTCGCAAGGGATTTCTCGTTTCCATTCGGTAGTTAATAGCTGATCATCCTTATCATTTACGATTTTTGTTTTTATTTAATTAGCTAGTTTAGTGGCAAGGTAAATACCACGAATCACGAATAGTCCGAATCCGGCTAACGCCCCATGCTTCGTTGGTCGCCTAACGGCACATGGAATAGCGTTGTTGCCCAGTTCAAAGCGCAGATATCGAGGTTCTAAGCCTGATAGGGTTCTACACCTGTATTTCAAAAAAGAAAAATCCAGGTGATTCTGGCGATTCTATTGCTAAGTGATTTCATAGCAAAATTTATCCGGTGTGTCAAGCCAGCTATAACCAGCAGTGATATGCGCTTTTAGAGAAAAAAAATATTTTAGTGGCAATTATAATTTAATTTGAATAATTAAAGGGCGATATGAAAATTCATTGACTGAAAAAGGATTTTTAGTTACGAATTCATTTTTTACAATTGATAGGAATCTAATCCTTCATAACTGCGTGCATCTGCGATCGGCCATCTTAGCCAACTTGTTTTTTGGTTATAACTATTTTGCATAAGAATTAGAATTTTAGTCAATATTTAGTCGATAATCGGTAAGGAATTGTATTTGGCCGCAATATCTTTTTGGTTTCTTGAGAGCCTTAAAAACCATTTGGAATTTTTCTTTGGCGTATTGAAACGATCAACTTCGATTATAAGGGTCATTGCTATTTTTAATCATTAAATTTGTACCATTATCGTCTCATTTCGTGCTTGTAACGCTAATTAGAAATTATTTCAAACTAAGTCAATTTTATAAACCATAAATTCAAAAAAGTTTGCTACTGATTAGGTTGGATTTTTAGGAGTTTTCCTTTTAGGAAAAAAATCCCCTAAAAAGAATTGGTAAACTAATTTCTCGATGGAGAAAGGTTGTAGAAAACGTGGCTGATTGACCATTACCAGTGTTTAACTTTTTTAACATTTCAGTTCAAATTTTTGTTGAAAATATGATTATTATTTATTTAATGATTGATCTATGTGCATGTATTATGTATGTTTTGTTCATAAATTGACACATTTCATTCATAAAAATTTTTTTATAGTAAAAAATATTTTTTAATAGAATATGGAAAAAATTAGCGGCGCTAGACCAAGAAATTGTTAAATTGAATTTCGCATCGTTTTCTTCAACTAACAATAATTAAGAAAGCCGAGTGAATTTGTTATTCGAATAGCATCCATTAATGAATTTCCTTTAAATGTTCCTTTAAAGGAAAAGAATTTAAAAAAAAAAAAAATAAATTTTTCTTCTATTAAAAAAATTGTTACTGCGTTTGAAATTTTTCTAATTTTGAAATATCGTTTTAGAAGGGATAATTGATAAGAATAAATGAAAAATATCAGTGGGACAAGTGGAAAAAGATAAATTAGATAAGTAAATATAATGTACTTTATGTAAAATATAATGTACTTTATGTAAAAAATAAACGATAATTGGCCAATATTGGAAGAATCGATGCCTGCAGTCTGTGATTAATAAAACTGCAAAACGGCGATTTAATCAACCGTAGAAGGATAAGGAATTGTATTTGGCCGCAAGAGTTTGATAGGAGAAATTAAAGGGGTTTAAATTGATGCTAGTGGAACTGAACCGAGATTGCTTTTAGACCTTTTGCTTTTTAATTTCTTATCTTTTATCATCTCTGTTGGTATTCTACTCTCGGCTGGAAAAAAACACCACCTTGTAGGAGATTATTGGCACCAAAGATTTTAGAGGCATTTGTTTTACACTTTATTTAATTTATTCCTTATTCGTGTTTTATTTGTCTGTTGACTGTCTGACAGTTTTTTCATTAGTAATTCAATTCTGCAATTCTTGGGAGCTTCTTAGATTAGCAAAATTATTAACTTAATAAATTCAAATGATATAGTTGTTTAAGGATTTCGTGAATAATAACATGATAAATGCGATAAATTCCAAGACAGAAATTTTATCACCAATCAAACAAAAACAACCGTTAGTGAATAGTGCCGCTATCAACATTTGTAATAATAACTCTAATATAAATAATGTAAATTTGAAAACGAAATTTTCGAATAATTCGAAGAAAGAAACAATTAAATCAAATGGATTTGTCGAAAAAGGTTATTCTTTTCCTTATACATTTTCCTTATACATTTTATTGTAAGCATTAACCAATCAGTTGAATCATTCTACTGCTTTTGCCATTCGGCGATATTGCCACCCGGTAAAGCGTGGTACAGGAATCAGCGGGAATCGAACTCAAGTCATTCTCGACGTCTGTAAGATTTGTTGCATTTTTTATGCGTGCATTTCTCTTCTGCGAGCGAGTCAGCTGTTTTAGGCTTCAGGCTTAGTTGATTTATTATTTATTCATATTTAAGGTTACTTTCAAGCAGAAGTTTATGCAAGAAATTAAAAGAAAAGAGAAAGATAAAGTGTATTTTTATAACTTAAATAACTTAAATACTTAAAATGTTTTTCAGCATTAATATTTAAAGAAAATAGTGAAGGATTCGGCTGTAATGGCGGTATTTGTGGTAAGCGAAAAACTGTAATTCAGGCATCGACATCAGAATTACTTCGTGGCCTGGGACTATATCTATCTAAACGATGCCATATTCATCAGTTTGAGCCAGCACATCTAGTCATGTGGCTAAGGACTGTTGATAGAGCTTTGCTCTTGCAAGTATGCTTTATCGAGAAATGAGAATGTGATAAGTGTGAAATTATGAATTTTAAATAACAAAGTTTTCTTCTTACGTATTTATTTTTAATTTGTCGGACTCAAGTGATTATTGCAAGCCTGTTGAACCAATATCTGAGATAAAGAATTGGAGAGCTCATGAAGTTTTATTTTTTGTTTACTGATCGCTTAGCCTAAGAATATAGTTTAAGCGCTACTCTTTCCTAATGGATATAAAAACAGTGAATTGCAAAAGTCCACAATTCATCAAAATCGTAAAACTGCTTAACCGAATGAGAAATATAAAGCCATTCACTCTAGTGGAAAGCTTAAGAAGCGAAATTTTTTGATATTTTACTCTGTTTTGAATTTTTTCGTAAATTTCATTAAGTTTAGCTGTCAAAAATATATTTTTTATTTTTCCTGAGATTTGGTAAATCGAGGAGTGATCGAGCATTTATTTTCTAGGGTTGGCAAGATGTCGCATTTATTAACCCAGCAAATTTGGTTTTCGTCTTTATGTTAATCAAAAATATGGTACCTGGCGATGATAGTATCGATACGATCCAAGAGCTTCAGTCAGTCGTTCTAACATGTCTTTATATAAGTTATAGTTACATGGGAAATGAGATTTCTTATCCGCTGAAGCCATTCATCGTTGACCAAGTTTATTTTTCAAATATTTTTTAATTTTTTAATGAGGAAAGTTAAATTTAAAAAATAAAAAAACAACAAATTTCTTTTCCTCTTTGTTAAGCGACTAGTTTAGTATTATCATTTTTATCAGTCTCATTAATTTTCAAGAAGCAATTTATCGGTCTTCAATCAATTTCATCAATTAGTAGGTTAAAATCAAAGCAATGCAATTTGAATATATTTATTTGCGCATCTAAAATTTTATGTTTGACAGCGCACAACTGATATCTTTTCCCATGGGGAAATGTTGACATTGACATTTATAAATTCTTCAAATAAAAATAAGTAAAACTCTTCTTAAAATCTTGACGAAAAAAATTTTTTTGAAGAATCGTGAGCGTTTTTGGGACCGTTGTGTCCAAATAGTGAACGATCGAAGTTCGGATATGTTACGGCTCAATTCATCATCCACGTTTTTTACTGAAGTTTTTAGTGAACTTAAACAATTCGCTGTTGATATTTGAATAAATTTAAATATTACTGTATTGCTGTATAGTTTTATAAATTATCATTTGTCATAAAATCGTATTTTCCAATAATCTTATTTTCCAATTTTTCAAATTTGCATTCGCTAAATTTTTTTTATTATTCTTTTTTTCATTTTTATGAGTAAAAAGGAAATTTTCGTAAAAATTTCTTTTTTTTCTAATTATTTAAAATTATCTAAGATAATTTAGTTAAAAATTTATTTATCGCTTTTACTAAATGTAAATGATTTATGAGAAAATTACAGAAAAATTTTTCCTTTTAAAAGCCTATAAGAGATCGTTGGATCGCTGCCCCAGGATTATTCCACTGTTTTTTTATTGTATAAATTTAATTTCAATGATCTCCTTTGCTTATAATTTTAATGGATCTCATATATTATTATTATTAATATGCTTACTTTTGCTTATATTTTTTTCATTATTGCCAAAAAATGTTTAAAAAGTTTTGTTTTTTGTCGCATGTCAAAGGTCATTTCAAATAGGTGCCATCGCTAATTTAATTAAATTTTTTTATAAATTATGAATAAAATTAGTGTTTATAAAATTCTTTGCTATGCATCATAAATCTGAAAAAATAGTTTCTGCAAATAAATAAACCACCGAATTAACTGAATAATGTTAATTTTTCCAGTTGTTGAATCGCAATAGAGAGGAGAAAAAAGTGAAAGCTTAAATCCCCCATGGTCAGCAAGCGGTGATGCTGCTGGGGCCGGACAATGGAAAATGCCAATTAAGATTTTTAGAATTATGGGAAAACAAATACTTGAGTCAATATGTAATACATAGACACAGGAAGTATGCGGGGGCGGACAACTAAAGTTTTGTTCAATAACTACAAAGTTGTGAAGTGAATCAGGTCTTGCCAACATATGAGTAACAATTGCTAATGGCTAAATATGGGTTTGCGATTTGCAAGCTTGAGAATAGCACACTCCACTTATGCTTCAATTCGGACTTAAGTTTCGCTTACATATATTGTTCATAACTTAAGGCCCCAAAGGTAGGATAGCCAAGCTAGCAGATTGGCTAGCAGTTCAGATTACTGGCAGTCGTAGTTTGCTCATATCTGATAAAAATAAACCTATTATTAAAAAAAGAGCTGATTATGGCGATTGCACTTTTATCGCCACTTGAAAAAATTTCTGGCTGTACCAATAGCAAGCGGAGTTGAAGAAAAAACGGTGAGCACTTTAACTTTAAAAGCTCTCCCAACCCTGTCGAATATAGTTGATTTGGTCTCATTGGGCAAGAAAGAATTATATGCCAAAGTGCTAAAAATATTATGAACTGTATGAAGCAAAAATGTGTATCTAAAATTATAAAGATTAATGGAATGGCTTTCATGAGTTTTATGAGAAATCCACAAGTATTTGCTTATGGCAATGGTTCTCAAGCGGTTGACCTTCTTTGCTCTATGCGCTCTATACATATATCGGGGTAAAACTCCTCCCCTCTCCTACCCCCTCCCTTGCCTAAGATAAACAAGGACTTGACTGAGATTAATTATTCATATCCTCACAAATGGTACTGAGCCTCTGATACTCCCTAATAATTTGTAAAGCCCAAATCAAAAATGGCTGTTAGATGGTGATAACGGTTGTTTTTACTGATATCTCAATTTGCTTATCCTAAACATATATGTTTGCTCTAAAAATCACCTGACATGTCAAAAATCTATTCAACAAGCAAGTACATCACGATGGAGATGAGATTGATCGAATGAAGAGAGGATGAAAGCAGTGCTAAGCTAAAAACAGACAGGGTGGGTTCATTCCGATTCCTTTAATGACGGCTAGAAGGAGAAACAGATCTGTCACCGGTGGTGAAACCTGGTTATTATGGATCTCCCTATAATTTTTTATAATTTTGCGTAGCTCGAGTGCGGCATTCACTGGACCCAGTGGACCCTGTCGACCCACATCTTAAATCTTTTAGAATGAATAGGATTGAAATAATAAAAGGAATATAGAAAATGGAAAGTTGTATTGTGCATAAATGTGCTGAGAGAGTGAACTAGTGCAGTGGAAAAACGACAGAAAATATGCTAAAGAGTGCGCAACGGTAAGTACGAGATAGTGCGCAACGGTTTGCAAATTCTATGCAAGGATATGCAACAGTGAAAATGAAATAGCGCGTGCAGTACGACACAAGAGTGTGCAATAGTAAATATGAGATAGTGTGCAAAAAGTGCATAAACAGTTTAAAAAGAAAAAAGCTTTGAATATGAGAGAATATAATTGCAGTAAGGAGATCGTATCGTGTTCGGCACTTCAGCACAATCAATATTATCTTTATTATTTTTATAGATTTTTTTATTTTATTGTAAATATTGCTATAAATTAAATTGTAAAGTAATAATTAGGAAACAAAGGAAAAGTTGTGCGTCTTCTTGTGCAATTAAAAAATTCAAGTGCAAAACGTGCACTTTTTATATGCACTAATAAAGCCTATAACCTATTATGCCTCTTCAAAATCCACTCAGTTATACTCATTTAACATCCTGTCACCTTCTCATTTTATTGAGCCTAAGCGTGGGCCCATGGCTTCATCGAATTCCGAGTCTGCATTGGACTTCCCAAAATCCAGGCAGCCTACTCCTCTTTTGCTACAGGAAAAGGAAGTAGGCAGGCCTACTCCTCTTTTGCTACAGGAAAAGGAAGTAGGCTTAAGCTTTGCACAAGTAATTATTATGACAATTGTCATAACTGTCACGAATGTTCCCAGCAAAAATAAAATTTCGATTAAATTTAAATTTAAATTTAGACCAGTTTAAATTTGAGAAATTATTGCATTTTCTACTTCGAAACATTTTTATTATTTAAATTCGAGTAAAGAAAAAGCCATTGTAAAAATCTATTTTTATCTATCTTTGGTACTTTACGTATTGCTAAGGTTAGAGGATCAGTGTCAGTTGTTGAGTTCCATTTGTGTCCATTGACGAGAAGAGAAGAAGTAAACCTGTCATTAAAAGGTATAGAATGCCTAGCCTTAAGGCATTGACGCCTTAACCTTCTGATTCTGAAGCCTTTAACCTGAAATTAATTTTCGCCGCTCATTTTTTATTTTACTGTAAAAGCATACACTGTAAAAACTTGATTTTTTAATTTTCAATAGTAATTTTAGAAATTATATTTTAATAATTTTTAGATGGAAGAAATCGAGTCGATTGCTGGCAGTGATGCAGTCTTAAATTTAATTGAACTTATAAAACAGGATTCACGTTTATGGGATCGCAATTCATCAAATTACGTTACACATTACGATATTAAAATACATCGTTTTAATAATATTGCACAATTGCTCAATATTAACGGAAGTTTGTTCGTTTTTTATTAAATGTGATAAAAAGGAAGGAAGAAAAAGGATAGAAAAATGATAACAAATGATAACAAATTTTTGATCTGCGCATTTTGTATATCTATGATTATATAGTGATTTAATGGTAAAGCAGTCTTATTATAGTGGAAGTAAAAATAAGTAAAAAATGTTAAATGCTGTTAGAAGATGAAAAATGATATGATAAGCAAAAAGGTCACAGTTGTGACAAGTTTCTTAGGTATCTTCACAAATATTCTCGGGAATTTAATTTGTTCATTAGGTGTACTTCCGCCTAACTTGAAACTGTGCCATTCACATCTCAATGTTGAAATCCGGTTGCTAGCATAGCTATGGTCCAAATATTCTTGTGAGCTACTTAAAAATATTCTTGTGACTCGATGGCAAAAGGATCTCTTTCGAGCAAACTTCTAACAGCTGACACTGGCCATTGCTGGCCAGTTTCACTAACTATAATTCTTCCATATTTTTGTTTAATATTAGAGTATTCTAAAATGTTAATAAATAAATTGTAGTAAGTGGTGAAACTGTAGCAAGTGCATGGCGTGAATTAACTGAAAAATATCGACGACGATTATACGACGGTAAACGACGCAATGGTACTACAAATTGGCCATACTTTGAAGCAATGAATTTCCTTCGTCCACTATATGAGTTATTTTTTTAGTACAAATTTTTGAAAGCAACAATGAAAATATAATTTTATTCCTTAAAAAGCTGAGAATTCTCGCCTTTTTTTCACTCTTTTTATACTGTTTATACTCGAAAAAAAATAATCAAAACGAAGATCGCATTTTACAGTTCTATATAAAAGGTTAAAGGGTAAGTCGGTGGCAACGAACTAAGCCAGCACAAACCGCTAGAAGTCAATCACCGTCAGTCGCTCATCTCGTCAATACAATTTTGAGCGCTCATGCTGCAGCTGAAGCTCAAAATGTTCATAGTTATAGTTCAGCTGATACTCAAAATGTTCAGAATTATTCGGATGCGGATGTTCATGGTGTACATAGTTATTCAGAAACTGATGAAACCGATAGCCATATTATCTCTTTAGGTGATCAGCCTAACGATATTGAAGTATAAGTTTCACCTTTTGATTCTATCAATTCTTCATCTAATTTATATACCATTTCTGGTTTAGCTGTCGTCTACTATGCTAGTATTCTTTGGCCTGGAATAATGATATACTTCCACTTAGAAGATGGGGTGAGGAAGTTCATTTCTGTTACATTTCTCTCTTAATGATAAATTTGTTTTTGTTAATTCGTCCGAATTCGTTCGATGTATCTTGTTATAAACTTTTTTAGAATTAACTTTTAGGCGAAAACTTTAAAAAAATTATAAGTTATATAAGTTGTATAACAGTATATCTCAGCAAGAAAACGAGATTCGTTAGAATATTTTTTAAGTTCATAGAAAGGTACTGCTCTGAATTGAAATATTCTTCTTTATTTTTATACTATATTATTTCTACAATAAAAAACTACTTATTCTTGCAGCACAAAGTTGGTACAAATATGTGTCATAAAAATTCGCTCAACAATGTTGATGTTGAAAGAAGTATATTTTACTTTTAATCTTACAGAATAAGGCGAAAAGGCGAAAAAATTGCTTGATTACTATTACTATAGCTACTATTACTATAGCTATGAAAACATATTTTTCATTAATTTTATAATAATAATAATATATATCCATAAATTTTCTTCTATAAAATTTTCCATTGATATGACAAGGGGATATCTTATGAAAAATTATGAATAATTAAAAGTTTGATTTTAATTTCTGTATAAATTGTAGATTATTAAAGTAAATGGTTAGCGCTCACTATTTCTGGTTAGATTTACTCCATTGGCTGGAATTTTTTGCCAGAGAGTCATTTAAACCAGCCCACATTTTTTAGTGGTAGATAGACTTACTTTTATTAAAGTCTTCATGTTAGGAATGATAATCGAAGTAGGAGCCATTTTGCTATTCTTTTTTAAATATTACCCATTAGTTCTAAAATTTTTCTATAAATTATTAATCGTTCTACTTCTACTACGTTCTACTTCTCATTATTCTGTCTTCTTTAATTATCACTCGGACTAATTTATCGCAGCCCTTAGACTTTTTGCCACTTAAATTGAATTAGATTTACGAAATGGGTTTGAATCGACTGATTCAAACCTACTGATAGTTTGTGAATGAAATCCATAGTTTTAATTTGAACACTTAATAAAATCTTTCCTTTTTTTTATTCATAATGTATATATATATATATATATATATATAGATTCATTTAATTTTGTTGGCTTTTTTAGCGACAGAAGTTGCTGCTGGAAATGATTTAATGGATACAATTCGATACCTGTCGTCTCATCAATTACAGAATGATGTTAAATGCTGGTAAAATCATTTAATTAATACTTTGTGTCTATCCATTTATCCGACAAAATACTTTTTATCGATTTCTCTTTATTTTTTTCATAATTTTGATGATGAGGGTGATAAGAATGGTGATAAAAGTGGATAATGATTGGTAAAGAGTTAAATTCACATTAAGTCAGAAATCTTCTATCCATCTGTACATCCATCTGTACTTCTGTCCTCAAGTGGCTCTGGCGTGAAGCTCATTTATTTGATCAGAAGTTTTGTTTTTACAGGTTGCATGTTTCTTATATTATAAACAATATTTCATTAAATTAAAATTAAAATAAATTCTCTCTAACAGTTGTGCACTTGCTTGTTTTAATAAATTTACATTATTTTAGTGAAAGTACATCACCTTCATCACATTTTGCGACTGGTATTGCGAAGGAAATCGAAGCAGAAATGGGAATAAATCAACGAACTGCTAATTCATCAAACTTGTTAAATGCAATTGGAGAAACTTCAAGGACAATTACTGCAAATACGAATATACCAAATCCAAAAAGAACAACGAATCGAAGTTGCAGTCGATCGAAAGCCGGTATATGTAATCCTCGATCGCAACGATCTATCAAAATGGTATTAATTCATATACAATTTTGTTTTTCGAATTTGTTTTTCATAAAATCCTTTCCCATTGAAATAGGAAATTTTTTTATTCCAAATTATTTTATTTACCATTATTTAACTTGGAATTTTACTTTTTTGAGTTCCGCATCTTTTCTCTAAAATATTTTTCAGCTGATATCATCTCCTTACAATAAAGTTGTCACACCAGCTTCACCACAGTCTCTTTCTGGATATGGTTCAGCTACAGTCTACAGCCAACCTGTTATCAATGGCTCTTCAACCAATGGTTTTAGTCCTATTAAAGTAAGTTTTTCTTCCATTTCATCGCTTTTGATCATTTCTGGATCTCGCTTATTATAGTTTTCTTTGAATTCCCTGTTAATTTTAAAATTTAAGCTCTTCGAGATATTTGGTATTTCACTTTATTTTATTTAATATTTTAATATCTAATATTTTATATCTTTATTTTATTTAATATCTTTCAGCTTTATGCATTTATTTTAGACAACTGAACGATGCGTTACTGCAACATCGAATACACATGAACCATTAATGACTGATAATGTGAATAGTAGATGGGAAAATGTTGGTTAGTTCCTTTCTATATAAATATTTAATTTGCAAAGTTAAATTTTGAACTATAACTTTAGATAAGTGCATAGCAACCAAAGATTTACAAATTGTAAGACGAGCAGGTGCACCACGGTAAGAGTTGCTTTAGCTGAAGGATGGTATTCGATTTCTTTTAATTGACAGGAATTACTAAAAATGAAATCCGAATGGGTTCTGGGTGATGCACTTGTACGTTTGCCCTCAGATGACTGTCTTGTGAGATCATTCTAATGGTGCATATTGTTAGATGAATTATAAAAAGTCTTACGAGTTTAATACTTTCCTCTCATTCTTGCTCGAATCTTTGTCAATTCAGATGTTATGCTGAATGTCATTTTAAGGTCGTGTTTGGATTGATATGATGCAAGCAGTTCGTTCACCAGAACTTGCATTAGCTGCAAACCGATATATCACAAATACTTTATTTGCTGTATTAGACTCAGATCGAATTATTGCAGCGAAAAATCCAAGTAGAATACGAATTGTCATGCCACAAACACCACCTGAAATCCAAATTATTCCTCTAAATTGACTAAGGAAGAATTCAGTTTAATTATTGATTTAGTTAATTGATGTTAATGGATATTTCCTTATAACTGCTTAATATTCTTACTAACTGTTTTGATTTTACATGCAAGAATTTCTCGCAAGAAATGAGAAATTTGCAGTCAAGCTGTGAAATTTCAGGTTTCTGGTAACCTGCAAAACCTGTTATATTTCGTCTGGAAACCTCAGCAAGGCCCATTTATCACCTTAGCATTCTCATTAATTCATTTTAACGCTCTAAGATCGCCTTATTTTTTTGCTATAAGCTCCTATAATATCCTCATATATCTTTTCTCTTATAATAGCTTCCACTACTTCCGATTTGGCTTATTGCACTACTTAAACCCTTTTTTCATAAAGTCGCCTGATGGAAGTGAGTACTCACCACTGTGTTACCTTGAACGGCAAGATTGATGGGTTGGTAACAGAAAATAAATGCTTAAACTCACGGTCAAAATATCATTTTCACCATTACTGTTTTAACTCGCTCCATTGGCTTGTCACATTGGCCGAACATGCCAGATAGTCATTGCCGATAGAAATACAGGTGAGTCGCCAGCATCACCCGGATTTTTGGACAGGTTTACTCCTGCTAGGAATAGGACCTTAGTATTGGCGCTCCGAATTGAGAAACAACCCACTAAGCCATCCTATTCCCAATTCTCTAAATTCTTCTTCCAGTCGTCCTTTTGAACCTCTATTTCCTAGTTTTTTTAGATCCAATTTTATACATATATATGTATATATATATATATATATATATATATAATTTCTCTTTTCCGATTAGCCTTCCTTCGCTAAGAGTTTCGACCCACTAAGGAATAAAAATAGAGGTGTATTATTCAAATTACCACTCAGTACCACTCAAATTTGATATTTGGTGAGATTTTCTCCTGTCGAGAAGAATCAGGCGAGCCGCCCTGTTAATCTAAATGATATAACGCTTATTTAAGTTCACCTCAGACCCACTTAATAATCTCTTATCGCAAGCCAGCATCTTCATATCCATGTATATCCATGCAAAAACTTCTTGTGCATATCTTGTTTAGAAGAAATGTAGAGGGCTTCGCGGTCGATGCAATGAGTTTAGGGAGATATACCTGAACATGAAAACGATTTTACTTGTGCACAGAATACGTCCTTTATGGATTTTTGAGATGAGTCCAAAAGCCAAGTAAGAAGCGATTGAAAGCGGTCTTTTCCTTAGTAAGGTTCATGCGCAAGGTCAGACTGAGTATTAACAATAATTGAGGTAGGTCGTGTAAAAAGTTGAGCAATTTTTTCTTCTCCAACTACCTCAATTTGCAGATTACTTTTCTCATTTGCAATATGTATGAAATCATTATTTTTGTTAAAATAAAAATTTGATCCCTCGCTGACGAAAGCAAACAGAAATAAGAAATTTAAAACTGGGGTCCCTCAAGCCGAGGCTGTTTGAAACTGAAAAAAGAGTACTCCCCCAGAGCGTCGCTACCGTGTCTAGCAATTCGCGCCGTGCGGAGTGGTTCAAATAAACTGCAGCCTCCGCGAGACTGGCTGATTGATTCGTATCGTCGGTCGCGGACATTTATTCCTTGAGAGCGAAGCGCAGTCGTTTTTTTTATCTATTGTTCATGTTGAGTTATTTTTGTTTTTTAAGATTTAACCGATATTTATTAATAAATATATTAAATCAGCGCGGACAAGTAGTTGGTACAATGAGCGCACTTACTCGACAAGGAAGCGGTGACAACGCCAGTTCATTCGGTTTGAAAATTGAAGGTTCGTTTGATTTTCATTTAGAAATTTTAAGTTTGTTTCCACCTTAATAAGCCATCAAAAATAATCGAATTCTTGCTATCCGTCGGAATTAGTCCGCCGAACCCGCCCGCATTTCACTCAGTCAGCTTCTCTTTTCCTTTTACTCTCTCATTGTAGGACTAACAGTCAGCTGCGTATCCGTAGCTCGGCACTCTTTTAAGAGACATTTTTCTGCAAAACAACGGCATTCTAGTTTTTTAAATTTTTTTTTTATTCCTTAAATTATCTTTTTTCTCTATTATTTCTTAAATTATCTTTTTTAAAGTAATCTCGATTTTCGCAGTTTTCTCCTAAAATTTGCGTGCGGAGATTTTTTCCTGTTCAATAACGATTGAACAATTTATTATGAAGCTAAATTTTTTTTTGTAGATTGGCGTCGAATATATTTAAATAAAGAAGAGCCATATTTGTTAGAAGAAAATTTAGTTTCGAAGGACCCCTTTGATGTCTTCGATATTTGGTTTAAAAACGTTGCTTCGAAGTCTGATATAAGTTTCGAAGAAATTAATGCTGTCTGCTTTTCAACATCAAGGTTTTGTTTTGTTTGGTTCGGATTAATAGTCTCAATTAAGAGGAAGAAAAATTATGAAATAATTGAATAGGCTGAGTACAGTAATAAAATCAAAATTTTACAATGTTTCGGTTGAGGGTCAAATGAAGGGTAAACTTGTAATTTGAAAGTGGAATTGCTTTTTGGATATTGCTTGGATCCCACTTTCACTTCTATTTTCAAGTTATTCCTTGGCGAAAAGTTTAGCTAGCCATACTGAAAATCTTGCTTTGTTTAAAGGAAGGAAATTTTGTTTACAGTAAAATTGCGCAGTTATGCCTTTATTTCATTCTCGCCCACTCTGTTATTGTCATTATTACTTAAACTTCAGTAATAATCGGCCATCATCACGGATGGTACTGATGAAGGATTATGGAAGAAATGGATTTTCATTTTACACAAATTATGATAGTAGAAAGGGTAAAGAAATTGCTGCAAATCCATTTGGATGCTTGTTATTTTATTGGCCCAAAGTAGATCGTCAGGTTGGTTTTTTTCCGTTCCCATCATCCAGTCACATTTTTTGTCCTAATTTTCATTTCGTTTAGATTCGTGTTGAAGGTAGAATAGAAAAACTTCCAAATGAATTAGCAGATGATTATTGGAAAAAACGACCAGTCAAAAATCGAATTGGTTCAAAACTTAGTGAACAAAGCAAAGTTATACCTAGCAGAAATGTTAGAAATATGTATTCATCCTTTTATAGAATAAAGTTATTGTTATACAATATAATTACGAAATTATCGCTTTGATTTTTTGGGAAATTTTTTGATTTTTGCTGATATATATTTTTAGTTCCTTTTGGAGAAAAAGGCAAAGTTGGAAAAATTGGTGGAAGAAGAAGGTGAAACGGCTGTTTCACGGCCTGAGAACTGGTTTGCTTTTAAAGCTTTTGGAACTGTTTTTTTAATGGATCTGTTTTTTTAAGATTTTCATACTTTTCAAAATTTTTCTCTTTTTTTGATACGTTTTGCAAGAGTTTTTTAGGGGCGGATATCGTCTTGTTCCCGATTATTTTGAATTTTGGCAAGGTCAGTCTGATCGTATTCATGACAGAATTGTTTTTGAAAAATCGAATTTTAATGGCTCTAATTGGAAAATTTACAGACTTTCACCATAGTGTTAGGTCTGTTTTTAATAATATTCACTTTCTTTTGTTTGCATCTTTTTTTACATACTGTAGTGAATTATTATTTTTAACTTTATGTTCGCAAAATTTTTCGTTTATTGCAGGAAATGGTAAATTTAAAAAAGCCCACTAAAGAGCTCTCTTGGATTATTTATTTTCGAATACATTAATTTGCAAGCAAAAGGACATACTATTAATGAAATTAATTCAAAAAAGAAATTGTATGAGTAGTAAAGAATTAATATAAATGTATTGAAAGCATGGTATATTTCATGTAATATTTATTATAACAATTCCTTTTTTCTTCGTATGGGTGATCCTCTCGTAGGGATCTGGGAGATTGATGGTTTTCCGCATTATCTTAGCTATTCCTAACAGTGTTGCTCTAAAAATCTCTTTCATGGAATGGAATTGGTTAGGGCCACTTTTCAGTTTACAGGTCCTTCTATACATCCTTCTGTATTCCTACAATTATTGGGACCGCTTCATTTTCCACATCTTCTCTAGTTCTTCTTACATCTTCTTTTTTTAGCTTCTCATAGCTTCCTTCTTCTTGATATTCCTGTCATCGTTATTATGCTTATTTCTGGTTCTTATCCACTACCACAATATCTAGTCGATTGTTAATCTGTTTGGATGGAGAAATTTATATTTTGCTATTCTTTTTCACGTTCATCAGCAGTTATAATATTCCATTTTTGTTTTGATTTATTTAAAATCAATGAATAAAGGAAAATTTTTTTTGGAAAATCTTTTGAATTACGGATTTGATTACGAATAATACGTTATATAAAAAAAAAATTTACATAGACTCTATAAATAAAATAAATAGAATTTTAGAATAAAAAAATTTTATTCATACATCTTTGTACGCATTTTCTTATACATCTATTCCTAGTTTATATTTCTGGCCCCCTATACTATCTTCTGCCATGGAAAGATCCTTTCGCCGCAAAATGAGGCGCGAGAAGATACAGGTGTTTTCCAAGCAGCCTATCGGTTTTCACTTTTAAATTTCATACGTTTTTCCGCCATTCAGGGGAGTGCCATTTACTTTTCGCCAAAACAACAAATTATTCTCATACAAATCATTACCGGAGAAACAAAAATATATTTAAATTGTTCAGATTTTAGCATAATTTCTCATATTTATTTGTTTAATCGGCAATCGAATATTTCATCCCCAGAATACTTCCAAGGGTCATTTATTCATTATCGGTTATCAAATATAAATACATTTTTAATGAATTGTAAATATGACTAGTAAAGAACTGTATGCCATAGCACAGCTGTCATATTTTGACTAGTTCCTGCGATGAAGATAACATGAACGTGGCGCCGTCTTACCTTGTCCTTATTATACGACTATCAAAAGCTTTCAAGCGTATTTGATGTCTTTTTAAATTCTTAGTAGTGAGGGCTATTAGTTAAACGCTAGCGACAAAGCCTACTGCTGTGATAATTGATTTCATCATGGACCAGTGGCCTCATTTATCTGAACAATATTTTTATGAAAAAATATGGAAAACATATGATTGTCGCTTTTAATATTGAAGTTGATATATTCTGCGTTTTATCCTTTTGTTCATTTTCTATAAGATTTTAGTACAGTATTCTTCTCATTATTTACTAACTAGGTAAACTTATTTGACGAACATATGCATTCTTTATGCATTCTTAAAATAAAAATAAATTAGAAACTGGGTTAGTTCCCTACAACTTATCACCAGAGCTGATATTAAAGAAGTATTCATTGATATCAAGAATGAACACTATTTCTAAATTTTGCGTGCATTTTGTGAATTTATTCATCGATCCAGGTTTTTAGAAGAATAAACCAAAGCAGTAGTCATTTCATCAGATATCTGTACAGTTAATTCAACGATTAGGATCATTCAACAAATTCAACAGTTAAAATTAATTTTTGTTTGCATAAAATTCCATTTCTACACCAAAACCGACACCAGGAACACCAGAATTATTATTATTGTAAGGGAAAGTTCTATATGATGTTGGCGTTCGGTAGTTTTTCAAGGAAAATAGATGCATAATGACTCGATGGATTATTGTTCCCATCTTGGAGCACCGATGCTGAGGTTCTATTCCCGGCAATAATAAAAGTCCTTGGTTTGATGCTGGTGAATCCGGTTTCCTGCTTCTATCGCCAAATGGCTCTAGCAAAATTTGTTTGATCTGCCAGCAGAATGAGTTTAACCAGAAATGGTGAGCAGGAAAAGTCAGTGATTGTTACATTAATTATGGCAATATTATATGACAAATATTATGAGAAATAATGCAATAAATAATCACATATTAATCTAAATTTCTATACGAATTTAGGTTAATTTATCAATGAATAAGCACGAATTAAAGAAATGACAAAAATTTACAAAAGATCGAACTGTTTTACTTCTGTTTTAACGGTCGATATCAAAAAGAAAAATTGTATAATTAACTTGTATGCTAGTTAGCGGTTTTTCTTTTTAATTTACTTGTTGCATAATCAAAAATGATCATCGATACTTCGCTAAATTATTACACAATCAATTATATAAGAAAAGCGATCAAAATTTTTAAAAATTTTTAACTTGAAAAAATTTAAAAGTGAGGAGACAATATACGATGGTGTGGGGAAAGAATTCTGGGATGCTACGGTGGGCTATTTGCCGAGTTAGTTCTATAACGGAACGGTAGGACTGGAGTTGCTTCGCGAGTCTCCTCGCTGTGTTCCCCCTGTAGCCAACTTAGTGACCTGGTTTAATTTAATTTAACATTTACTAGCATTAACGCGACACGTTTTTATGATTTTGAAAAAATCATTCTGTCATACTGAGTTGGAATAATGGAATTATAGCCAAGGGGCATTTTGATTCATGAGTAAATAAAGGTAAAGCCTAATTCTAAGCGAAATACAGTAATATTATTTCTTGCATTAATAATGTAGCGTATTAGTTGTCGATTCGTGCTTCTTTCGCTCATTGCATTATTTTGGGTCTATAAGAGTTTTGGTAAAATCTTAATGAAGTGAAAAAGGTCATTCGGGAAACTTTGACCTTTTTGTAGAATATCGTATACTTATCATACAAAAGGCGGATCTACTAAAATCGAATAATTTCTTCTTTTTTTTAGTGCTTATTAAAATAACGGGGTTTTGTTGATATAAATTTGTTTATTTCCCACTGATTTTCCTAAAATATTTAAAAAAAAAGAATAATTTTATGTTCGGTTTTTCGACCTATTTTACTTTAGAGATAATTCAAATTATAAATAATTCAAATTATAAATAATTTTATTATTTTAGTAAATATTTTAATATACAAATACAAATAAACTTAAATAAATTTTTATAAATTTTTTTTTGATTTGTATTAGAAAATAGTTCAATAAATTTTTAGCCAAATTATTATGAATAATTTTGAGTAGATCATTATAAATAATAATGGTTTCATTATTTTAATAAATAATTGTATAATTATTTATAATTGTATAATTATAATAATAATTTCACAAATTGTTTAAATAATCTTATTATTATAGAATGAATAGTCGCATACCACTTCTCAAAAATTTTCTTTTTGAAATAATATTTTTTTGCAAATCAATTTTTATTTTTTCAAAGTTATTGTGCTTAGTAACAAGTATATATATATATATATATTTTTATCTGTATAACAAGCATATATATATATATATATATATAAATTTATATATATATATAAATTTTAGGGATTTCTGGTAAAAATTTTGCTTTGATATTAAATATTAAATATTATTTAATGTTATTAAAAATTTGTTATTATTATGATTTTATTAATTAAGGACTTATAGTTGTCATTATTATTTAATAATGTATTTAACGTTTTAATATGAATAATTTTAATAGATCATTGATTATTGTTCTTATCAGTAATTTTTTTCCTGCTTTGATATAATATAAAATACAAGACAAATGAAATACAAAATACATTGCTTATATTACTGTATGGTAATATAAGCAATGTATTTTGTTATCCTCATTTTTTCCCTTTCAGGTGCGCAATGAGTAATTCTTTTAAAGCTTTATTTAATCTTGAAGATATAAATAAGGTTTGTTTATTTTCGTTTTGACGATATTTTCATTTTTCAGTAATCCATAAATTCAATTTAACCAATTTTTTCCAAAAAAATTTTACGTTTAAAGTGATTGGAAAAATATTTTGAATCGAATTCTGCAGAATAAAATTAAATGATTTGGCAATTTAATAAATAACAATAATGGACAAAAATAAGAACTAACACAGCGAAAAAATAAACGAATAAATAAATGAGCAACTTAAAAATAAAAAACATCGAATTTTTTTTAAATCAAGAAGAGAACTTTTTCATCATAGGGGTGGTGCTAGGTATCCCTTTCTTTCCTGATGTGACTCTCTGGAAAAGTGTTTTGTCCTATTAGCTGAACCAGATAAACCTGATAACAACATGTGACATATGATAACGAGATATAATGGCAAATTTCCTATTTTTAGGATGAACAGACTTTAAAAAATTCAAGGGAACTACAAGAACAAAACAAAATAATAGTTAAATTAGTAAGTAGAGATCTATGGCAATTATTCAACCAAGAAACTACAGAAATGGTGCTCACAAAGGAAGGAAGGCAATTTATTTATACATTAAGTGCTCTTATTAACAATCATAAACTATATTTATATATTTATAGAAAATTAAAAGAACATTGGTGTAAAGTTAGGTGAGAAATTTCGAAAAACCAAAAAATTTTAGAGTTTAGGTTTCTGTTTTTTCAATCTTTTCAGGTTTCTAACTGGATTATCTTTTAATTTAAGAAAATTTAAAACAAAAAATTTTTCTTATCACGTTTTATCTATCTTACTATAGTTTTGATGATCTTAAATCCTTTCATTTTTCAAAAATCCAAACAAATATTTTAGAAAATTATTTCCAAAACTTGAATATCAAATAGAAGGATTGATTAAAACTGAAAGTTATATTTTATGCGTGCAGTTTAGACGAGTTGATAATTTCAGGTATATATTTCTTAGTATTTTCTATTTTCTATTCATTAATTCTTTTTTTTACTATAAACCAATTTTTAAATATGCAATATTTTATTATTCAGATATAAATATAAAGATGGTAAATGGTTAGAAGCTGGTCCAGGAGAACCAATCACAGCCGTAAAATCTGTAAATCATCATGATCAACCGATTCGAACTGGAGAAAAGTGGATGAATGGTATAGTCTCATTTGACAAAATCAAAATCACCAACAGTCCATCAGAGAGCATTTATTATGTTGGTAGTTAGTGAAATGTTTATTTAAATTTTGAACTGTATAAGCAATAACAAGCAATAACAATATTTTGGACATTGATGTATATGCCAAAGGAAAGCTTGATTCATGTCTCCATGAAGTTTGGTCGACTAGTGAGGATCCATCTCGACCTCTACCACCAAACGACTCATTGGTGTAAGAATTTCTCGCACCCTAGAACCAATGAAAACAGTTATGCTATTAGGAAAAAGCGAAAAAGGATTTCAATGCATTCCTTTGAATTTCCATAGTTTTCTACTCCATCAACATGTCCATTGATGAATAAATGTCCATTCTTGCATTATAAATTTTGCTAGTGAGTCTCGTATTTCCTACAGTATTTTTTGAATAATATTTCTTCTTGGAAGAAGAGAGTCAGTGCTTATATAATTATCAAATAAATTGATAATTGGTCGGTAAATAAATATATTTTCCCATATAATTAAGAAATACAAGAAAAATCATCAATGAATGAGAAAATCTCTTATGAGAATATTAATTTTAGAATATTAAAATCTTATAGTTAAGACATCGTGTTTATTACAATTATTGGGTCATAAATTATGTGAAAGGAATGTCTCGATAGGTTATAAAAGCTGATGAGATAAAATTTAGATAAAATCTGATAGAATCTAGTGTGGCGCCTATGCACCCTACCAATAAACCGTTAACTTATGCGCTGATTAAGAGATTAACCCGATTAATTGGCATATTAAAAATTATATATGTTAGAATTTTAGTACCATCTTATATCGATCTCCATACATTTCGCTCTCCATACATTTACATTTATATCTCTCGATCTTTACCTTATTCTTTGAAACATCTCAGGTGCAACTTCATTCGATGCATAAATATCGGCCAGTTTTGCTAATTTATCGTCTTTTGATGAATGAAGCACATTTAGTGGCGATTTATTCAAAAAGTTATACAGATTTTATAGCAGTAACAGCTTATCAAAATCAACGAATTATCGAATTGAAAGTTGATAAAAATCCGTTTGCAAAAGGTTTTCGAGAGGGAAATGATCGTAAAAAGTCGATTCACTCAAGTAAATTTTATTATTTCGAATGAACTTCGAATAAATGATTTAATAATAATGGTGAAATAATATAACATTGGTTAAGTAGAACATATTGCTTCGGTTGGAAGGTAAGCAGACTGGGTTCTGCTGGCACCGACAGATCTAAAGTGATATCTTGCTATTAATTCATTTGCACCTCTACTTCCGAGTGGCTCTTTGATAGTAAACTCTTTAGGCCTAATGGCCAATAAAACCAGCAAATAAGAAAGAATAACTATTGAATAGTTCATAAAAGTTTAGCAAATTGAACAGAAAATTGAAATTTAAGGAAAAGCTACCAAGAAATTTCATTCATTTTTTTCATTTAGGTTCTGTAATATCAAGGAAAAAATTGAACAAGGATCATGTGTGGTCACCGATTACCCTTTTATCACCACCATTATGGCTACCAACGACACAGTCAGTTGGTGAGGATTCATCAGCACCTGGACGATTACTTCATGACGATTCACCATCTGTACGACTGCCTCAAACAAATTTAATACATTTTAATAATTTATCATTTTATAATCTTACACCCTCTGCTCGATTGTGGATTGGTGACCAGTCGAATAATTTGAATTCGTCTATTATGAGACCCAATTCCAGTCTTATTTATCGTTCCACTTATGCACCTTCAGCCTATGGAGCACATTTTCCATATGGAATTTTTAATCCCAATACTCCTTCATCATTTGTGGTAAGCCCATTTTCAGATTCTAACCAATTTCAAGAGCCATTGAGTGAATTTGGTTCTAGAAAATGAAATAGTTTACTGAATGATCATTTGATTTTCATCATCTGATTTGATCTTGATCGAATATTTCCCACTGCACTTTGGTGACTAACTAGCAAACCAGCAACAAATTGTAAGTTTTGCAAGGATTCTTTATCTTTATCGATGTGGGAACATTTGCAGCGTTTTTCGCATTTTTCCGCCTTTTTCCAATTTTTCTTAATAATTTTGTTATTTCTTAGTTTATTGCTCGAGTCGTTGCCATATGAGTCTATTTGAATTCATCGCCCAAATATTCACTTATAGGAAAGTAAAAATATTTTTTCATGAATATTATGTGAATAAATATTTGAATCTATTTATTTAATAAAATATTGGATTATTTTCAAGCGAATTCATTTCCTATTTTGCAGCCACAGCTATATATTTATGTTTTAAAAGAATCCCTGCGAATTGCATAGGTCATCCTCAACTGCAGCTCTGTTCTGGAATCAGTTTCTTGAGGGCTCTGCGCAATATCTTAGTAGTTCCTAGCAATGCGCTCTTCTGGGTAGAGATCTCTGATATTGTTCATGGATATTGTTGTGTTGGAGCCACATTTTTAATTTAGGGTCCCATAGTACTTCTACCACTACTGGGATTATTTTGGCTCATAATAATAAGAATAATAATACTAATAATAATAATGATAATAATAAAGTAAAAACAATAATATATATACATTTATCTATACATTTTAGTAGTTTATTGAAAATCAACAAAGCAGGGCGGTAAGCGCCATGTGATTGTATTAATAACAAAAGTTAAAATAACGAATAATGAAAATTAAAGATAAAAAAATATAATAAAAATTAATAAAGTAAGGAGGGAATAAAGAGGAGTTATAAATAGTACAACTCGAAGTGAATGTATTACTTATAAATAATCGAACTATAAAAAGTTTTCCTACATGATGTGAATATTTTAATATCATAAATATCATAAATGTGAATATCATAAATGATATTATCTAATCTTTTTTTAAAAATAGCTAAGAATGACGTGCAAACTACATCATTCGGTAGTTTATTCCAGTAATTGATAGTACGAATAAAGAAGACATGAGTCCTTAGTTTAGTTTTGCATACAGGTTTTGATATTTTTAGCTCCCATTAGTTCTTGTTGAATTCAAATTTAGCCTAAAATAATATTTTGAATCTAAATTAACACAACCATATAGAATTTTATAAATATAAATTTAAATTAAACCTTTTTTAATCTGATGAATTGAGAGGGAATCCAGCTGTATTGTTGAAGTTGTGTTTATAATTAAAATTGCTATTAGGAGAGAAACGATGTATAAAATATTTTTTGTGTCCTTCAATTATTTACTTGATTTGCGGTATTTGTGGTATATTGATTCTCGAGGATTTGCGATGCAGGTAATATTGTAGTCAAGAAGAGGCCAAACGAACGCTTTGTGCTTTTGATAACCTTCAATTCAATGCTTAAACGAACGAAAAATAAAATTTAGTATTTTCGAGGATTTCTTTATTATAGTTCTACAGTGAAGATTGGAGTGAAGATTTTTATCTATGATTATGCCATGATCAGAAATATGTGAGACTCGTCTGATTATGCTACTATTATGTTATTGGTAATAAAAAGATTTTGAAAATTCGAGTTTTTTCGAATTTATATGTAAAACTCTGCTTTCGAAAAGAAATTTGCCATATAGCCATTTGGCAATTCTATTGAGATCATCTTGTAGTGGAGAGGTTATCCAATCTACCATGAGAATAGTAAATTTTATAATCATCAGCATAAAGATAAATGGTAGAGTTTAGTATCACTTTGGTAATATCATTAATATACAATAAAAAAAAGCAATGGCGTAATACAACTACCTTGAGAAACACCTGATTTTAACAGATATTGTGTCAGAAAGAATATGTTTACACATACAGTTTGGTGACGATCTTTTATGTAATCCGACATCCAGTTATAAAGGGCCCCTGTAATGCCATAGCTGTTAAGGGTAACCAACAATTTTCTATGGGAAACAACTTTCTATCTACTTTCTATGAAAAGCTTTGGCTAAATCTACGCAGCTATTCCATTATCAATTGATGCTGACCAATCGAAAAGATTCGCCAAAATTTAAGAAGTAGATTTTTTCGTACAAAAGTCATGCTGATAGGTGGATATGAAATTATTGACAAGATAAGTAAATAATTTGTTGCAAATCAACCTTTCCAGTACCTTGCTAACAACGCATAGGCTAATTGGCCTATAATTAGAAAAATCACAGATGCTTATTTTTTATGAATGGGAATTTTATGAAACAATTTCCAAATTTTAGGATTAAAGCCAGATTTCATAATATCCTTATAAATTAGAAATAAAAATTAGAAATAGGGGAAGACTCGGACAACCTGCACATTTTTTATAAATTATTTTTGGAATATTATCGCGACCAGCTGAAATGGACGGCTTGAGTCTATTTTTAGGCATCATAAACATTTAATAACCTCATAGAGAGAAATGCAACAATTTCGATTTATATTGAAAGGAATACTGTGAGTATTATCGCCAACAAATACATTAGAAAAATATTGATTAAATACATTGCAATATCAATATCAGAGGTGATCACGTTATCATTATGTTGCAGAATTATTTGTTTACGTGGATATCAAATTTTCTTCCAATGTAAGTCCAGAAAGAATCCCTACACTTAAAAATTTAAAAATTGCTTTTCTTCATTTGAAAAGTATTTATGAAGAGCACTACGGAAACTTTTAAAGCATTCTTTATATGCAGAAAGATCACACGGCAATTTGGATAACTTGTTACTTGAGGTAAAGCTACTTGAAAAACCTTTTAAAAGATTTTTAAGAGATTTAAGAGATTTTAGAAAAATGGGAATTGACGACTTTTTTTTTATACATCTATAGATATTGCACACAACATCTTCTACCTTCCTGGCCTCTGGTAAAGGACGTTGAGGATGAAATGATCACTCGCAGAAGGGGATTGTTTTTATTTTTTTAAAGAGCCTTCACCATTACTGGTTGGACTAGCTCCGCTGGCTTATCACACTACGCAAATATACCTTGGCGATAGAAATACAGGTGAGTCACCAACATCATTCGGATTTTTGGAGATGAGAGTTTCCTGCCGTACCTTAGCACTGAATTGAGCAAAAATTCACTAAGCCATTATATTCCCTCTTTTTTCATTAATATAACCATAATCTTAAGTAAAAGCTAAAAAAAGACGAAATGATTCACTTCAAAAGCATGAATAGATTTTCATAGATTTAACGACTGGTTTACTTCATGACAAGCGACCAGAAATCCAAAATCCACCATTTCTGCTAAACTTTCATTGCATGGTCGAGAAACATTAAGAAATACCAGAAAATACCAGAAGAAATGAAGAAAGAAAAGAATTAAAATTGAAAAGATCAAAACAGGAAGATTGACCGCCCTCCGTTTGAACTTCGCAATAAACCTCACGGCGTACCAACAACCACGTGAAAAGCGCAATGGAATTTTGAGAGTGCTCAGCCCTATCATTTTATCCTCACGCACAATCAGCAAAGGATTGGCCTCAATATTTCTCGATCATTGCACCCGCTGCGCATTGAACCTAACCCCTAATGGCTCACCGTTTCATTAACTCCACTGCGTCACTTCAACCAACACAAGTTATCCAAAAATTCCTATAATATTCATTAAAATTTATTTTCCTCAAATTGGAAGATGCGATCGCTGAGAAACTCTCCTAGAATATTTCATCAGCTGGCTACCCATATAACGAAAGAAGCTTCCGTGGGATTAACGCAGATGCCGAAAATAATAACCGGTTGACCGACCGAAAATATCCGTTTGATTTGGTTTCTTTTCTGCGCTCTATCGGTTGTATTTACGTCAATTATTTTTCAGTTTCAGTTATATGTTTCATTTTCTGCAAAAATTTTCAAAAAATCTTTGTGGTTCACTTGATTATTAACCGATTTTAATCGTCACAGCTATTTTTGGTAAAGTCAGTGATTAACGGTCAAATCAGAAATTATCGTTAAAAGAAGACGACAGGTTTTGCGATCATCCTGTCGAATATTTAATTTGCCTCTCTTCTTAAAAATTCTTATAAAAATGAAGTTTTGAGCCATTTTTGTTTACTTTGGAAAAATTTAAAGGAAACGAAATAACTACAGTTGTGCTGTCTGGTCTACCGCTCCTTTACTTCTGAAGACTGTTTCACGAATATCCTCTCTAAATCGATGAAATTCGGTATTTTAAGGAGAACCACTTAGAAAAGTTTCTACATAAACGACGAAAAAAGCTAAATTCTATCAAATGGTTCTCTTTCAGGATATCAATTCAAAATCCTGAAAATTCTTCAAAAAAGACAATTGTATGAATAAGCCTTTTTTAAATTATATTCTTTACCGAGGATATAGGAAGCTGATTGGGAATTAGAAAACACTTCACGAAAGAATAAAATGAAATATAATAACAAAGAAGCCGTGAAGTTTATAAGTGTCAAGTAAGAAAAAATAGAAATACTTCAAAAAAAATTACTTCAGCCCCTTTATTCTTGTCTCTTTATTCTTACAACATATTAAGCAGTGCGCAGTTGAGGATTAGGACTGAATCTCCACAGATTCGAGTTTATAACTATTTCGATGAATTCGCTGCTAATTTGACTGTTTAGATATTGAAAGATATTACTTTTCACTTTTTGAATATTTCTAGAATTTTAGCTACTTTTTCCAAATTTTTGGCCTATCCCCAGGAGTAAAATGTTTTTAGGAAATCTTTTTTTTTCTTCTAATAACTCGCACCATTTCTAGTTTATTTGGCTTCGTTAGCGATTAAAGCAAGACGTTTCTAAATCGCATGATTGGGTGCTCTGTTACCTGAAATTAAATGAAGGAAGCCAGTCCTTTTTTCAAGTTTTCATGTATTATACTGCTAAATAAAAAATGAATATAAAGACACGGAAAAGAAATAAGTGGTGAAAACTAAAATAAATAAGGATAAATATGATTTATAAAATTTTCAGAACATATTGACTCTTAATTTAGCAGCGAAAGACAACAACCATTTCCTTGACGAGAAAAATTAGGAAAAATTTGTAAAAAAATGCGAACAACCCTCGCAATGGTACTGGCCTATCGGTCAGATATCAAAAAGACATTTCATTCAAATGAAAAGTTTTAAGTTTTAAAATAAACGTTTATATTCCAAATATTGGAAAGAAAATATGTCATTTTTAATATCTTCTTTAGATATTTTTTAAATTTGCCATTTTTTTTACCACTGACTAATTACAGAAATATATGCTCGGATTATTATAGAGAAATTATTTGTAGCTAATATTTTGTAATAAATATTTAGAACTTGGCTCGATTAAATAATTTTCAGATTGCTTTAGGTATAAAATGTGGAATAATTCTATATGGAATAAGCTGTAGGAAAGAGCACTCGCTCTTCTGGCTATTAATGCAATTAAAAATGCTTATCGGAAAGTCACTCTGGCGATTATTGCGCAACTTGGCGGCCAAATTTTATTCTGATTTTATTCTGATTAAAACTTAGTTAAATGATTAGATTTTGTGAAGTTTGTTTCTGCATTTTGCTTGTGGTTTAAAACGCTATCAGTCAAAAAAATTGAAATATTTTTAATAAAGTCTGGTTTCACTGCTAAAAAAGCATCTGAAGTAAAAAAAAACTTAATAGAGAAACTTTGAAAATAAAAGATTGAAAGGTAATGTGGTGTATCACTTAAATTATCAGTCAAGATTTAACGGTTGTAAACAATGGTTGTGTTTCTTGTGAAATCCGGATGGCTTTCTGGTAAAAATATTTCATCTTTAGTAGTCGCTGGATTGAACCGAACCAGAAAAATTGTGACATTTTAGGAAAAAAAGGCATTACAGAGAAAAAACTGCAAAAAACCTATATAATGGATTAACGAAAGTTATTTGTATTGAAATGTAATAAATGAATTTCTAAACTATTAATGAAATTTTGAAAAATTTTTTTTTACAAACGATACAATTGTTTCTATCAATAGAAATTTCATAAATATTTCCAATATTCTTCGAAATTTATTGGTGAATAACCGACAGAATAAATGATCACAATGGCTAAATCATAGTTTTGTTAGTACCATTGTTTTTGCTTTTTCTTATTTTGCAGACAACCAAATGTTTCGTTTCTTAATTGTAGAGAGATTAATCATAGATTTCGAATTATTTCGAAATAATTATAGAAACAAATTACTGCTTACTGCTGAAATGAATTGTAAAATTCCAAAAAAAATTTCATAAAATCTACACATTTATAATCTTTCGGCTTAATATTTCCGCTAATCTACAATTTAAGATCCGAATGAACCTTCTTTTACTTTTATATTACACAACATTATCAGTATGAATTGCACGATCAATTCATCAACTCTTCGTTAAATAACGTTGATCTCGCTTATTTTAAGGAATTTTACGATCAAATATTTCTTATTTCGCTATCTTATTTTAGACTTTAGATTTAGACATAAGTAGCGCTAACCACTTTCTTGACAAAACTGGGTTACTTATAGTGCTTAAATCAGCATATTGCTTTGCCTGAAAAGCAATATCTGCTTATCTGCTTGAGGTATACTGAATTTCTTGTAATATGGTTTGCAATATTTTTTAGTGAGAAATTTGTATTATCAGTCTAAAAATTATTTTTTTAAATAAATATTATTTTTATGTATCGCTAAATATATTTTTCCATTAATAAATTTCACAGGTAACTAATATGTTTTATTACTTATCATTCAATATTTCCTTACTTCCTTTCCATACTTCCTTATATATTTCGCGTTCCTCTTGAATTTGGTGGACTCATTTTCCTTTTTTCCTTTTGTCAAATTTTGCTAAAATAATCTTGGAAAATTAAAATTTAATATAAATTTTCAAGTTTTGCGAGTATCTATGAGATGACTTTTTTTTAAAGAACGCTTACCATTTTTGATTAGAATCGCTCCGATTTGTCAGATAAGATAATTTTGCCACTTGGCGTTAGAAATATATGCTAACCACCAGCATTAGATTTTTAAAAGGCACTCCTGGAAAGATAATCCAGCAAACTTTTAAAGTATGCAAACTGATATTTTGTGTACTACAAATTTTGTGGAAAGTGCGAATTATGCTTTAATTTTATTTTTAAAAAAGATTGTTAAATTTTTATGAAATCTTTAAATATTTATTTATTATTTATTTATTTTTGAGAAATTATAGAAATAAAAATTTTCTTTTCGTAAATCAATAATTAATGAATTTATTTATTTTAATAAAAAAGTAAAAATAGAAAAAATGAGACAAAAATTTGTTGAGAATATATTTGGGTTAGAATAATATCATCGATAAAAATGAAAAACTTTGAATTAATATATTTTATTGCATTTTTATAATATAAATTTTTGATTAAATGATTCTAAATTTTTTAAATTTATATTTAATAAATTTATGAATATTTTTTGCTAATATTGATGAAATCTTTTTGAAAATGAACAGACATGTAAGGTCGTTAAAACGCCAAATGAAGAAAACACTTGAAGAATAGGAAAACTCTTGAGATCGTTGATTTATATCTTCAAACCCTTAAAATAAATAAATTTCATTCGTTAAAATTTATTCAAAATACAAACGATTGTTTTCGTTTGTCTCGTTTTCATCAAAAAAAGGAAAAATTATTGTAGCTCAGTTTTTTTAAATATTTATGGTGGAGTCGTCCGTCAAAGGTTAAAAGCTCACCTAGGAAAAGTCATCAGATTAATCTCTTCTTCTATTAGAATTTTTTCTGACATATTTTTATCCTTTAATTATTTTTTGATTATAATTTGTCGTATTCATTAGTTATTATATTGTTTAAAATTCGTCTTTTTCGGTTTTCTTTCTTTTATTTTCTTTTTCTTCAAGCAATGTGAACCATTTCTGGTTTGGTTAGCTCGACTAATTACTATAATGAGATATTTAGATGACCGTTTCACGAGAAGTTGGAGTTAAAAAGGGAAATCAGGATTTCACTTTCAGTGATACTGTTAAAGAATAGAAATTTGTAAAAATATAAAATTAATGCGAAAGTAAAAAAAGAAGGAAATATAATTATATCCAGTTTAGATAAATGGTATTTTCTTACCATGCATATCTGCTGCTTAGATTATCATTTCAAACATCATGATCTTCGTTTTTGCATTAAGCGAGAGGAAATCTGTTGTTAAAGAATCCGAATGGTGCTTGGAACCCATCTGCACCACTATATTTCATGCGATTCTCTGGTCTCATCTTATTAATAATCTGGTGGGATAATCTAATACGAAATGCTAATCGTTTTGTTTTTGTTCTTTTATTTTAAAATAAATCTGGATTTTAAAAGATTTTAAGATGAAAAATATTCGTTCGATGCTTGGAAATTTTTAATTTTTCATTGAAATAAATATTTTTCTGAATGAATTTGAATATTCCGAACGGAAAAAAAAATCTTGCCCTCTTTTCATAGTTCAATTATTTGCCTAAATAAGCTTAACCTCTTTTCCCGTCCTATTCACTGCATTATTCCTTCTACATTTTTTTTGCTATTTTTCTCATTTTCTGAGGAATTTTCTTCTTTTAAGCAATTTTATATGTGTTGGAAAATCTTTATATTACAGCTATCCAATTCAAATTATTTAATTGGTTAATAGCTGATAAAATAGGATGTTGGTGATGATTAGGATTAGTTTCACTAGGATCTTCATTTGCACCATTTTTGGTCCTCAAATCAGAAAATCTGGATTCAGGAGGCCAAGCTTCTTTCATTGAAAAAAATTATTTTTAATAACAAGCTTAGTCTTCACTATGGTTGAGAACCTTTAGTGTTTGTCCTTAGCCGAAACAATGTGCTACTCAGCCACAGCCTTTCATCTTTTATCATGAAGCCGTAATATATCAATTTTTTAATTTACATCGTATATTCATTGTTATTTCGCTTATATTTGCCATAATTTCTATACAAAAGGTGGCACAATTAAATATTATGTTAAATATTATGAGTGCATTAATTTATGATTATAGGTTCTCTATATGTCCACTGATGAGGTGTCGAATGCACCAAATAACTCACCGCCCTTGAAATGCTCATGTTCATCTATTGGTATTCAATGTTCTCCTCCACCTGTGTATGAGAATATCATGCATCATGAAAATTTAATGGATTCCATATGCTGTAGCACTGCAGCTGCCAACCAACCTATAAAAGATTGCAATGAGGAAAGAAAAGTTATTGATTTGACAATAAATATATACGATGTGGATAAGACAAATGCACGAAGTAAGAAGTATGTTCTTATTCTAATCTATAAAAATAAAATTAGGACCCCTCTTGTCTTCTTTGCACCATGCACCATAAGCAAAGGCCCATAAGCGTTACGTGCATGCGTTACGGTCAACTGATTAACTTGCTTTTACTGAATTTATCTATAGACTCTACTCAATGACACAATTAAAGTGGTAAAGCTTTACATTCCGCATTTTCTTTTTTTCACCATTACCATAGAATTATAGTTGCCATACGAATCCCATAGACTGATTCACTGTAATTTAAGAATGTGGTGCCACTTTCCGAGAGAAAGAAACGAAACAGAGTTGAGGAACGCGCTTCTATATTCCTTCGCCACAAAAAGAATTTTTAAGCGCTTATTTGCATTTACATTATAATTTGGCGTTGTATATGCGTCGTTATTATTTCTATTTATAGTGCGAGAATTTAGGCTAATTATTACTACAAAATATAAGGCAGCAAAAGTAACTGAACCTATTGCCAGCCAAATTCATAATTCGAATATTTAGGCGGTTATTAGTTGAAAATATAATCGTAATTTACCGCGCGAACCATATTTCTAATTCCATCTTTTATATTTCTTTTATTTTTTACATAAAATCAGTTCTTTCTATTTTAGAATAAACTTATATCTGTCGTCGCTCCTCTGGCTTTGAATTTGATAGGGGCCCTTAATTTTCACCTATAAGCGTAGTTAGCGCGCTCTTTAATATGCTGCTCGTGCAGCAACTCGTACACATGGCAATTAGCAACTCTGCAACCTTCTAAATTTGCAATATCAATATCAACCTGTATTATATTAAATTTTTGTTACATACATTTAGGGTCGGAATTGGAACTGATAACAGAATTTTTGAAAAAAAACACGGCAGAATAGAATGGAAAACAAAGAAAAAAGACAGAACTCTTTCCATTGCATAAATAGACGAGAATTTCAAATTTAAAGGCTGTTTTAATTAATTATTTAATTTAATAAGAACACTTTTTCGGGTTGAAACAATAGATTAAAAGAAATAGGAATAGAAAATTATTCGTCGGAACCATCAAATTAATCACTTTGCTCAGTTTCGACATTTCTTATTGTTTGCCGATGACCATTTATTTAAAAATGTCCTTATATATTTACATTCTCGCATTGTATCATCAATTTATCATCATCATTAGTTTACATCCTTGAAAAATACCGTTTTATCAGCGTTAATCTGTCAACATTTACGGTTTGTTTTTTTGATTTATTATGGGTAAAATGGCAATCGTTTTTTGTAATTAAATGCCCCCAGTAATTTGCTTAATTGGTTTATTATGAATGGAAGTAATTAAAATAAGTTTTTTCCTTTTATTTTAATTGCTTGCGTTATTTTCTACTGGAAAGCCTGAAGCTTACAATACAGTATATTTTTAACTCGTTTGCTGCAATCATTATAAACTGGCGAGTGATAATAGTGAGTGCTATACTGTTTGGGTCGGAGCATCGAAATCGCATCACCTGTTCTTTTCAATACTAGAAAATAAGAAAGCTGGGGTGGTTATTTGGAGTCCATCTGCCATGGCCACCAAATGATTCTCTGACGGAAGTATTTACGGTGAACGGAAACAGAAATGATAAGTGCTATTAGAAGAGAAAGAAAAACTATGGATTTTTCATTTGGCTCAAAAATTGCTGAAAACTATTTCAAAATCTATATGATGGTGAATTTCAGAAGTATTCGAACTAAATCAATTGACATGAGACCAATATCGATACCTCCACCTTCAATAAAATATAATGAGCAATCGGCCTTAGAAATTTGTTGCTATATTACTTTGGCTATTATAACGGTTTTTGTATTCGGCTTCGCCTTTTCTATTTGGTTATTTTATGATAATTTTGAGATGTTTTTTCATCAACTTATTAATTAATTGAGTATAAAAATTATAAAATTTCTTTTCTTTCTCCATATTTATTTTGTGGTTTTTCCTTTTAATAATAATTTTTTTTTTGTAATAATTTGTTTAGTACTGTGATTGTTTATTTTAATATTTTAATATTTTAACACTGAAAAAAAACTAACAACAATGAAATAGTGAATAAATGATGTTTATCATTTTTTATTATTTTATCATTATTTTATCACTGATTTATTATAATTTTAGCGATTTCTTGAGTCGTTTTAATGATAATTTGGAAAAAAGATTGGATTTAAAAAAATAATTGATCAATTAATATTTGATAAAATTTATTCATTTTGATTAAAATTATAAGATCATACATATTTTTCATTTCTTATAATTATTCTTCTTTTAACAATATACATGATTTTTGGTTCGACTGGCTTCATTACCTTCTACTGCTGGATGAAATTCTTTCAATAGAGAATTATTTAATGATGGATGTGCGAATGGCTTCCATTACGAGAAGTTCACTCGATCGACTTAAATAAGACTTTTTTCACTTTATTAATTTATTAAGCCTCTAGATTTCTTTCAAAGAGTACTCACAATTTCTGGTTATGCTCCTTTGCTGTCGAACTGAGTAAATTCGCAAATTTCTGCCAGGGAGTCATTTGGCGATAGAAATGTAGGTAAGTCACTACAATCACGGATTTTTGGAAGACAAGTTTATTCTTGCTGGGAGTAGAATTCTATTATCGACACCGAAATGAGAGCAGCAACCCTACTGAGCCACTCTATTCTAATCTAATTATTTCAATCTTAATTGTTTAACTGATTCGCAAAATGAAGTGAGCTGATTAATGAATTATTCAATTATTGTATAATAAATTATCAAAATTTTATTATCAAAGATTCATCTTATTTCGATCGCCAAGGGACCCCCCGGCATATTACCTAATGCGACCAAGTGGAGCGAGTTTAACCAGTAATGGTGAGGACTCTTAAAAAAAAGAAAAATTATCAAAATATGATAAAGCGATTCGAAAAAAAGCGAACAAGAAATGATGAAGAAAGCAATTCGTAATATTAAATCTTTTAGCTAATAAAAATTTTTATTTATTTTCAATTTTCAATGAAAAAATTATCATAGTGAAGTTATGAAAAAAAATGACAAAGCATTATAAGCATTCATTTTTTGAGCTATTAAACATTAAAAAGAATGGACTATTTAGAAATGAATACAATCCATTTAAAAATCCAGTTTTACAGTTTTTATATTCATTTTAAGGGCATAGAAGGTTAATAGGTTAGAAAATAGTTTCATTTGCAACATTTCAAAGAAAATTAGGCAGCAAATAATAAATATATAGAAAAGGACTAGATAAGTGCCTATTATTATTATTTTCGTTACTGTTATTGTTACCATTTATTATCATTATTGCCATTATTATCACTATTATCAATAATATTTGTTACCATTGTTAATATTTACATTTTATTATTATATATTATTTTTCGGAAATTACGGGACTAAAACAATATAGCAAGGCTAAATGGATCTCAAATTAGTTAAATACTGCCTATAAGCGGGTAATAACTTCGTACCTAACCAACAACTATTAAAAATACATTTTCTACATTGTAAAACATCAAACTTCTCGCCGGTTGTTTTCCGCTCAATTTGCCTCAATAGTCGATCAAAACAACGTTTATCCTTAACCGTAATCGATCCAGCAATATTTTCACCAGCATGCAAACCAAATCCCCTGCAAATCTGAATTAGTTATAATTATACAAAAAAAACTCAGATTTCTAAATCTTTGCTTTTTTCTTCATTTAAATATGAATCGAAGAATGAACAAATATTATTTACCCAATGCAATTTCGTTCAGGTATATTTGTATAAAAATCCCAGTAGCCAGAACCGGTTGCACGTCTTCTGTAGAGATTTAACCATGACGAATCGTGGCGAATTTGCTGTGGACCGATTCTGTACCATCCTCTAGGTAATTTAGCATCAAGTCCCTCATCATACAATTCTCCTTCCATTGGTATATGTGTTTGACATGTCACTGTGCTGAAACGTTCGATGTGAGTTGCATATAAAAATTCACTTAAAACTTGCCATATAAAAGAGATCGAATAAAAATTCATCTTTTATGATGCATCAAGGGAGCGAGAAGCTACTGGATTGAATATTTAATGGAAATGAGAGTGATAGTTCAATTCAGCTAACTACTATAGTTTCTTTGATAAGCTGGATTTAAATTATCATTCACTTAAATTTGGACCTTCGGAAAATCTTAAAAAACAATAGGAGTGGTGGATTTGCTGAATTGTTTGATTTCCATTGAGATAATCTGAACTAAACTATTTATTTTTTCCTTACTATTTATTTCGCATAGAAAAATTCGGGAAGAAAACAAATACCCGCATGAAATTTCGTTCGTATCTCGATAATAAGTGCAATAGACATTTCTGAAATTCACATTCAATATTACCTATAATGTACAATTTTATTATTTTTTGGAGAAAGGCTGAACGAAACAATTGGGGAACTTTTTCTTCTAAGAGCTGGCATCACTACTGGCTAGGTTGGCTCTACTGGCTGCTGAAGCATGCATTTTAAGCTTCTCGATCCATACTTAGAAGTAATAGAAATAAGAAAGGAAGGGACTGTATGATGCGTTGCGCGGCTTTACAAGGCTTCCTCATATTCTTTACCATCAAGCATTTCAGAATGGTAATATTGATAATCTTCTCATAAATCTATCCACTACTTTTTAAAATTGCATATAGAAACGATTTTAAAATTTAAAATTGAATTTACTTGAGGAAAAATCGAGAAATAGTAAGTATGCAATGTTTATGATAGAAAATGGATGACTTACTCTGAAGAAATAATCGCGGAAGATAGTAAAATGAGGAATGCGCATTTGTAAGCCATAATTTTCAGTTTCTTTCTCCTAAATCAGTTCCAAAATTTACGATAAAAATATAATTCCTTTAAAATGTGGTCCTAGCATAATGCATTCATTTCTTTCATTTGCTATATAAATATTCTGAGTGATAAATATGATAATAAATTTTTTGGTGAAAACATTAGTACGCTTCGGTTATCATTGAAAAATATTCTTCTAAGTTCGGATCATTGCTGTTCGGATTGGTTTCTGGCAAAACCGATGTTCCACTGGAAAACGGAGAAAAATCGTAAAAATATATTCGTATTGGTCCAGTTATTCAAAATAAATACTTTATTTACATATGGTAAAATTGTCTTTAAAAAATCCATAATTCGCATGCGCTCCCGTCAGTCAACGTTTGTTAGCTTAAATTTTGATGCTAAAAACGATAATAAACCTTTCTTTAGATACAGTAATTTAAGATCGATAAAACCCTGGCAGCCAAAATACAAAAATTTCCATAGAAAGCTGAGAAAATTTTAAAAGGGACAAGAAAACTTAGAATATGCAGCAAATTCCCTCATTCCCTCGATAATGTAGCATCGTCCTCCTTCTCCTTCCCCTTATGGTACCAGCAACGTCTGCCTTGGCGGACTCTCTCGGCTGCTCGCAAAAAGCTCTTTCACCAGAAATTTATTCGACGACAGACGGACATTTGACATCATAAATTAATAAATTCGAAAATCGTCGAAAGCAAAAAAAGAAAAAACGATTGTTTTTGTTGAGCTAATTATGAAAATTTCCGATGAAATCGATCCATAAAATTCCTGTAGAACGAGTTTTCCTTTTCGTTTTGCACGCGCACTTTATATTTTCTTCACAATTTCGAAAGTCGATTAGCCACTTTTCATAGAAACTTTCCCAAAAAACAAATCAGAAGCAAATCAATGATTGATTTTTACTTCTCACATTTTTTGATTTGTGACACAAGGCTAACCATAGTTTTTCATTCTTGCAAATCTATTTTTCATTACACTTACACAGAAATAATTTAGAATTATTCAACTGAATCACGTGGATCTGTTCACGTAAACCCTTTCATCACGTTTTTTTATCATGCAAGAATATTTACTTAATGCTTGTTACGTAAAAGTAGTTATAGCTTTTAATACTTAGTACTTGATATTTAAAATTAACGAAATTAGTTTAAGGCCAAAAAGGCATAAAAAAGTAGTGATAACCAGTGATTAGCGTTTATCATCAATACTTTTTCTGATTTCTATCAGAGTAAGCCTATAATGTCAAACTGAAATCCAGATGGTTAATTGCTATCCAAATGACCAAAAGTTTCTTCGGTGAAAGGATCCTTCATGGACAAACAATGTGACTAACCAAATGAGAAATGGTGCGTCTTATTCGAAAAATACATTGCGTCAAATTGCATCATTTTCTTAGAAAAAAACGATGTTGAAAAATTTTTCGCGTATAAAAAATATAATAAAAATATAATATAATACAAATAAAAATTTTAAATTTTTCGAAAATTTAAATGAATTAAAAATGAATTTTTTTTGGAAGAATTTGGAAAAAAGTAAGCAAAAAATGTCATTATTTATTATTTGGAAAATTTGCAATATTTGGAAAATATTTACTAAAAATTTAAGAAATATTTTAGATTACCGTAAACCAATGCTATAAAATGAAATTCTATAAAAATAAATAATTTTAAATAAATGATGGAAAACAAAAGAAAATATTTAAAGTAAAGAGAGGAAATTAAAAATTTTTACATAAACGACCATCGAAATATTCAGCAAATCAATTTTAACCTTGAAATAATTTTATTTCGAATCAATAGATGATATTCACTCATTTTCAATTATTCTCATAAAATTCCACAGAACGGATAAGCGACGAGTGGGCGATTGGCCTTCATTAGTTCCAAATGCGACATTGGACGGAGAATTCAGCTGAATTGAGAAATTTTCGCCACAGCACAGCAACTGAATTCGCCGAACTGGCAGTTGTGAGCAGAAGAAAAATGATAAAATATTGCTTAGAAGCGCGAGATCTAAGAGAGAATTTAAGTGGAGGCAAGCACAGCTTTTGAAAAGTTTCTGGGAGCTTTTAAATCACCTTTGCGCCCCAAAAGCACTTAATTCTTAAAAGAAGATAAATTTGTAGAATTCCCTAAGTGCCGCTAGGCGATCAGACGATTAATGGAACCCGATAATGGAGCTCGAGAACGCCTAATTGTCGGCCGAGCAATTCTCAGATGGTCGTTGCCTTCTAAGTTTTGTTTAATGGAAATCCTAATCGAGCAAAATATTATTTATTGTTTAAAAAACTTTTTTTGTTATTTAATGAACATTAGAGAACTGTTTTTTAAGGAATTTTGCAAGCGCAAAGAGGAATATTTTTAGTTGATTTCATTTAAGTTATTTCATTTAATTATTTAACTTTTTTTCGAATTTATTGTATTTTCGTTGCCTTTGTATGTTTTCTTCCCTTTCAGTTGTTAAAAATGAAAGGGCCGTAAAAATCCAACCGCGGCGTTAGAATGCCCCAAGAAACCTCAATCACTAATGAGCGTACGGTTGCGGACGAATCGTTGGAAATCGTTATCGTGGAGGTCGAATATTTGGCAATGTCGGCAAGGAGGGCGATATTAATCATTTATTTCGTAAAAGTGCGTAACTGTGAAATTTTAAGTTAATTGAACTATGGGAAGCATTAATTGAAAGAAATCTCGTGGAAGAGAATTCAGATGGGAAGTTTTCGAGAAGTATTCTTGGAAACACTTTGGTTTTTTTTGGAAATGGAACAACTTTAGTGGGGAGGGGTTTACCCGAATTGGGTGCTTTGCAAATTCCAGATTTTGGCCTCAAATTTCAATTTACTTCGAGTCGCCGTTCTCTTGTGGATTCGGATTTCGTATCGAAGAATAGAACGACTCAGCGAGTCGTCTCATTTCAGAGCGCCGCCATTGGCGGCGTCCTGCGGTCTCCGGCAGGACAAACATCTCTGGTGGACTTCTGTCGCCGACTGAGTCGCTACGAAAATCTGTTTGGTTCGACAAGCCAAGGAGGGGAATGGTGAACGTTCGGAAAAAAAGAGGAAATTATGATCTTATAAATATTTATCCTGGAAAAAACATGTCCTGATTGTACACCACTTTGTGGTCAATGGTGGAATACATGTACCGTTTTTTATTCAAATAAATGTACATTTTGGTCGTATAAAAGTTTCATGATTTTTTGTTTTAGAATATAAAAATATTTTTTATTATAATGGAATGTTTTTTTTAAATGGAAACTTTCTATTCTTTTGATTTTCAGGTATATTGTCGAAAGTTTCGATTTTAATTTTCATATGTGTGTGTTTTTAGTGTTCGTTTGAAATTTTGGGACCGAAATGGATAAAACTGATACTTTGGAAAGTAAGTAAATTTTATTACTTTTACTTTTGTCGAGCCAACTTTTACTAAGCTTTAATACTTTTTTTGATAAAATTGGCTGTTTTTGCCATTAATATTGTTATCATAGTTTTTATAAATATTTGTATACAGAATTGATAAGCAGTAGAATCTCCTAGCGAGAAGTGAATAACCCTTGCACTAATAATTGTTAGTATGTGCGCAATAATTAGCTTAAATTAGCTTATCTGTTTGTCCGTTAAAAACTAGGTCTAGAATTTTCCACGTCGCCCCTTTCTATTACACTCTATTGGATTTTTTTCATAATGCACCATATTTCTGTTTCTTTCATCTGCTAAAAACTATTTTCATTACTTTCTTTCAGCTTTAATTTAATTTAATTTAGTTGAATAGTTTTTTATCTGTTTTATCAGTCATTTTTTCTAGTAACAGTATGGACAAAAATTTTTAATTTTATTGCTTCTTATAGATACCTTGGCATTCTGTACTTTCTTCATTTGTTATATTTGATAAATATTTTACTTTTATTTATGAATAACCGAATAACCGGAGCAATATAAATGCTTAGATTATCATTATAAGCATATCAGTTATTATTAAAATTGATTTGCCAAAGTATTCAAATGATGTTTGGAGTCCTTTGCTTATATCTTAAAATAACTCCCAGAAGCGGCTTTCCTTCCCTATTAGCAGTCATATTTCTTCATCCATGCATTACGTGAATGCTTTAGATTTTTTTAAAGTTTTAATATATTTTGTTTAGAAATATTTTCTTCACCACATTTCTTTTTTTTAGTGGTAGATCTTCATCGGCAGGCTCGTATTTTGGAGAATCTTATCGATTCAAAACTGGTTGCCCTCAACAAATTGACTGCAAGTTCAGTTGGTAAGGTTTAGATTATTTGGACTTCATTTTATTCATTTCATCTCAAAGTATAAAATTTAAATTTTTTGCTATAAGGTTGTTTTTCGCTGAATTTTTTTAAAATTTAATTTAAACTGTAAGTTTTATTGATAGAAATTAAGACAGTTACGAACCGCTGATAGGTAAATCAGTAATTGGTAATAAACAAGACCTTCTTGATTCATTATCGACCGAACTTGATGGTATGATTACAAGGCTTTCTCAGTTAAATGATCAGGTGATTAGTTTTAAAAAACTGTATATTAATTACAAGTTATCACTATATTCCATTATCTTATTATTTTCTTCAACTAAAAATTTTTTTAAAATTACTGTCGATTCCTGATAAATATAATATGAACATTAAATTAGTGTGAAATTTTGGTAAAAAAATTAGGTTAGCCGAGAAATATTGTACTGGAATTTAAGATGTCTGAACATCGAGATAGTTCAAATTATGGCGGCTTGTCAAATCCAACATTACTACACACGTTGCAACGCCACCGGGAAATTTTACGTGATTGCACAGCAGAATTCCATCGAACACACGAAAATATCCGCACTCAATTGGAACGGTTAATTGCTTTACGTTTAGTTAAAGAGTATAATGTTGATTTAGACGAGAATGAAATTTCATAGAAAGAAATGTTTGGTTTATTTTTGCCCCTAGTCAAATTAAAAAAAGCTGTTTAAAAAAATCTCAGTTCATATAAAATTATATCTTCAAAATGGTGATGTTTTTATTTATGTCTGCGCATCTTTGATAGAAGCGTGAAGCTACAGGGGGAGAGGGGGGGGGGGTAAAATTGAGAGAGCTGAGGAAGTTTTAAGATAGTACGACAGGACTTGTGGTATATATTTATCATTGTGTGGATAGGCAGTGGATGTTTGTATAAATATTATTATAGAAATTATTATTTCCAGTGAAAGCTTATTAAATAATCGAAATGAACGAAGTTGTATATTAAATAACAGGGTTAAAGCGAGCGATCTCTATTTGAAAGAACAAGAGCATATTTCAAGCTGTGATCGCCTTCTTGATGAGCAAATAAGGTACATTTTTTCAATTTTTAAAGAGCATTACTGGTTAGGGTCGCTCCTTTGGTCTGTCTTATTAGACAAACATGTCCCAGGAAGTTCCTTAGCGATAGAATCACAGATGAATCGCCAGTTTCACCTAACATTTATTCAGTTGTTGCATTTTATTTAATAATATTAACCTAAACAAAATAATAATTAATGGTTTTGTTTTGCTATTAATAATACAAAATTATTATAATAAAAAAAACATTGATGACGATAATAATAAATAGTAAATAATAAATGATAATAAATAGCAATGGTAATAATTTCACTTTGAAAATACATATAAAATACATATATAAAAAATAATAGCGAGCATATTTTAGTATCGCTGTATCATCAAAGGATTATATAAATAATCAAGGAAGAAGTTTGAGAGAAATCAGCAAGAAAATGAATGCATTAGCCAGTAAGAGAATCTTTTCTATACTATTTTAAATTTTAATTGAAAAGATCACGATTTACTGAATCCATTTCTAGGGAGTTTCAGCGAATTTATTTTTCTTATGGAATTGGTGATTAGATTGAAGAGTTGGGACGAATGTACAAATACAATGTACAAACTCTCAGTGAATATTCCGTTTTGAAATTTTTATATTTTTTCACTAAACCAATAAACTACCGAGGCATTGAATGAGGCGCTGAGGCTTTGAATTTGAACCACATTCAAATTTATATAATTTATATAATTGTATAATTTAGAGAAGTATCCGATGATCAATAGCATTGCACAGAAGATTCAAACCAAGAAACGTAAAGACAAAATAATTTTGGCAGCAGTAATTTCGATTTGTTTAATTCTGTTGTTTTTATATGCATCTAATTCATAATTATTTTATATTCTCAAAATATTTTTTGGATTCATTGTGCATAAAAGTGAATCCTTTTGTTTTGTTTTATTTATTGTGAACAAAAAAACTCGCGATTCTGTCAGATATTTGATAAAATTTATATCTATAGATTTTTCAATTAATGTAACTTCTACCTTGATAAGAAATGAAATAAAAGATATAAAAAATATTAAAATAACTAAAAAAATTAAATATTAAATTGCGTATTAAATTGCGTAAATTGTCCTTTACAATCTCGTTGGACGTGACCAAATTTGTACGGTTTCCCTTGCCATTTAACATTAATAAATATTTATTAATATTTATTAAGAAGTTTTTAAAAATTGATTTTAATAGAAGAAAATATAAAATCGCAGTAAAATGAAAACAATAAAATAGCTTGGTTTTTAGCAGAAAGCATAAGAATGGCGGATACTAAAGTTAAGCAAAAATAGGTAATACATGTATTTAAAAAGCAAGGCAATTAGGATAAAGTATTATTTGCTATAACAGCAACACTTCGTTCATAAAATACTGTTTTTTCAACGTTCTGCGGATCAAAATCTAACGTAAAGAGTAGATTTTTTCGATTTCTATATAAATATACGGGCAATTTGACAGTGGGTTTAGCACTTAATTTTCGTTCCCATGAGAGGAATACTGTTCGCAAATCAGTGCCTACATCATCTACGATGTTGACTATATTTTCCTTACGACATTCTGCGCCCATGAGTCGCAATCCTTAAAATTCTTTGTTCAATTATTCGATGTTAGAATGGGAAAACTCTGGTAAATTATACCCTGCAACTTGAATGTGTTTGTTCGATCTTCACTAGTATCCACTTCAATGCGCATGTGCAATTCTTCAAGTGACCAGTGGTTTGCTTGAGCGACCATTTGTCGAGTAGCAGTTATGTATGCTTCCGGTGAAAATAATCCTCCTAACCAGATTGATTCTTTCTGAAAGGGTCTGTTTTTCTGAATAAAAAACGGAAAACTGAACAAAAAAAAATTTTCAAAAAATTTACATCTTAGAAACATTCGAAGTTTACCTTGAGAGAATCAGATTTTGTCAGAGTAATTAACTGAATGATTCGCTCCGAAAAGTCGTAAATCCAAGACATCACAGTAATACCTTTTGGCACGACATATCGAATCCATCCATTTGGAATCAGACCTTTGTTAAGAAATGCGATCAAACCACGTAAATGATTCGTTTGTTTTCGCTCACCGATGCAAACTGCGTGAACCTGCAACAACTTCGTGAATGGTATTAAATATGGATGAATGCAAATGTTAACATAAATTTGATTATACATAACGGGAAAAAAACCTCTTGTAAGTCAGTTCTAACATCTAAGAGAAGCGATAATCCCAAATTAACTTCGCGATCGAAAAATCTGAACAGTGGGTCCTTGATATTTTCCACAGATCGTTTTAGCTTAGGAATGGACTGAAAGAATAAGAAATTCTAATGATTTCACAATATATCGTGATACATGAAGCATTTTCATTGACTAACATTTGGTAACATCTTAAGCCACATAGAACTTTGGTCCGCCAATATGCTCATCCAGGGTGGAGATTGCGCTTTCTGATCATCACTGAACGCCAATTCTTCATCAGAAACCTTCATAAGATTTGCCAACATACTTTCTCCTAAGACCAAGAAAAAAAAAGAAATACTGATATATACTTATATATACTTATATGAAATACACTCAGGAATTTTTTTGTACTTACCTCTGACAGTCAACAAAACCTTCTCAGCATTATTTGGCAAACCAAGCCAATTAGGAAGTTGAATATGTTGAATGCTTTCCACCCAAGAAATCAACATTTCTCTTGATGTACCATCAGGAATACATAAATTCGATCCATGGCCATCAATATTGGATATTAATATCCGATCAGCATCAAAGGAGTTGGATATGAAAAGTTTTTCCAGGAAAGCATCTAATAACATCTAAAAAAAATAATTAAAAATTGAGGATAAAGACAAATGTAAAAAAAAGCATGAAAAAAACGACCCTTTGATGAAACAGCATAAAATAAAAAAGAAACTAAATTTAAGAAAATACTTGCCTGATCAAAATTGTTATCGATTTTTCCACCATATATACATTGTGAAAATAATGTTTTTAAAGTAAGCCATGGTAATTTTTCGGGCGAAACATTGCTCCGACCCATTGCAACAGAATCAACTGCTGCATCTAAAGTATCTGAGGCAACACGTAAATCAGCATCAGAAAACTCATACGAATTCGCCCACCCTAACGGGGTATAGCGTAACCGCTCTTGCACAAGAGCGTGAAGCCAACATATTAAGAAGTACAATCGAGAACGTTCTGCCGGTGATTTTGAAATTCTTTGAGGTGCTAATGAAGATAATGATCTCAATAAATTGGCCTATAAGAAAAAATAAATATATGTTTAGCATATGTAAATTGTAAATTTGAAAAATAACATGTAAATTTAAAAAAAAATTCGAAACTAATAAAATTATTTTTAAAATATTAGAATATTACTGAACCTTTAGACCAGTAGCTGGTTCAAAAACAACTACGCGAGAAGCACGGAGTACCGATGGTGGCAATTTGGGATGAATTTCAGCCGTCAAAAGAAGACGAAACTGTGGATGAGGCTTGATAGTATGCAACCGCTTTTCAAGCTGAGTCAACCAAGAAGGAGCGAGATGCACATTCTTTAACAAAATCCAACGGCCGGATTTTGAAGCAGAACTTAAAGCAGCATCTGCTTGCGAGAATCCCTCGGCTGAGCCTGAAAAAGAAATAAGATCATCGGAAAATGAAAAGCGATCAGAAAGGAATACGATTTCGGAACAAAAGAAAATAATATTGACGTGAAAGGAAATATTGAAAATGCAAAAGATAATAAATTCGTTTAAAATAAAATCACTGAAATAAATCACTGAAATATATTTTTACAATGGCAGATTTTCACATATAGAATTCATTTTTGGTAATAGCCCTAATAGTTTAATAAGACCTATTTGTTCTGATAAATTATTTTAAATAATTTATTTTGATAAATAATAAATTCATCAGAATGTTTTTATGAATACAATGAATTTCTTATGCTGTAAGAGATTATTAGGAAATTGAAAATATTTTTAGATTAACATACAATTCTCACTTATTAACAAAAAGAGTAGCAAATTATTTTGAAAATTATTTTGAAATTATAAAAACAAAGAAAACTAACCGATAGCGATTGAAGTAACTTCGCGATTCATTTCAGTAGCTAAATCTTCTATCTTGCCTGATGCATCATAACCAGTTGCTGACGTCAATAAAACAGGTCGTCCAGAAGAAACCTGGATAGAAAGGATTTAAAGAAAACAAAAAAATCGACAAACAAAATTTTAATTTAAATAAATTATAAATTTTTTCACAGAACCAATATACCTCATTTTCAACAATTTCACGAAGATTAATAACTTTGTCCTGTTGCATAAATTCATCACCAAATGCAGATTCAATTAATCGATGGCATGATGCCAAAAGACGATCAGATCTTAGCGCTTGAACTACCAAAAGTCCATGAATACTACGACCGATTTTTGCTATAAATAAATAAATTTGATATCTTCACGTTATTCAAGAGAAGAAAGAAAAATTAATGTATATGAATATGCATTTTAAGTGGCCAAGTACTTTTTACATCAAAAAGTCACTTTGAGAAAGATTTTAAAAAGAAATTCTAAATAGGCTTTCAACCTTGATTTCACCTTTAATGGTACGTTCCGCTAAAGAAAACATAACTTTTATGTGAAATAAAAAAATTATTTTAAAGTAAAAAATGAACTTAATGTTTCATCATTATCCCATATCACTGGAATATTTAATTCAGCATTATCTGAAGCAATCCAATTGGCGATATTACCATTTCCTGTAACTTTGGAGACCACATTTTTGAATCCGGGCAATCTGGAAAGCTGCATTAATGCTCCAGTTTGTTGAGCACTTAAGCAAGGAATATCAAAGGAATTCGTTAATTTCTGCGCTGCAAAAACCTCCGACCTACCGAGAAGATGATCCATCTGAAAAAATATTTAAATATATTACCATCCAATATTTCATAAATTTCCAATGAAGATCAAATCAGTGAATATCAGAACGACTCTATAAGTATAATATATAAAAGTATAATAACCTATGAACAATAACCTATAACCTATGCCAAAAAGGTGCTCTGCTCATTAATCAATAACTTAACGGAAGAGAATTTATCACCTGATTATATTATTGTATTTTTATTTTATTAATCTTATTAATTTACTATTGCTACGTAATATACCATCGCTATACGTAATCTTTTACGTAATCTTTTCCAAACTAGATAAATTTTTTTTTTAACTTGATCTTCTTACAAGAAGTCCGATGCCCATGATGTTCTCAGTCCGCTAGTACATGCGATAAGTATGCAATCTGGACTAGAATGATCGCATAGGTTACGATAAAAAAAGTTTATAAACTCAGTAATTGGAGATTTGGCATCGTGCTCCAGTGTGCCAAAGGACACCGCTTTCTTCATTTTGCCGAACACCATGAATTCTTTTTTACTAATATACTTACTAATAGCTTTCGGCATTGGAAAAACATCTGGTCACATCTAGTCCGGAATTTTCCGAACAACCAATCAGATTGACTATATATTGGTCACTCAATTGCTGGAAGAGTTCTGTGACTTGATGATCGTTCTTATCCAGGTGCTGAAACGGATAACCGCCATGGATCAGATCATGTTATGGTTCGAGCCAAGATTCGTATACTGATAAGTCGTAAGAAAGAACGTATACCAAGATCCTTCAACTATCTTAAATTAAAAGATCCGGAAATAATAAACGCATTTCAGATCGTATTATCAAAACGCCTCAGTGAAATGAACGCCAATGGCATCTCTGGAACGGCTAATGAATACTAATCCGAAATAAATACATACTTACAAAAATCAGCCATTTCCATACTAGAGTATACTAATAAGTGCATCATCTGGGTGTCGGAAGTCCAATTGTCTGAAAAAGCTAAAGGCTGAATATCAGTAGATCCAGACTATCGGGTACTTCGAAGAATTAAAACGACAGCAGCACGGTGGGATAGAATTCTATTGGAACAATACGGTCTTGAGAATGGAGACGGTGGCTCGGATAGGTGATAATAGGAAATTAGCCTTCACAAAGCAATAACTCGAGAATAAATCAGTGAAATGATATAGGATATTTATGAAGTGCCTATTAAAATTATTAAGGATCACCTCAAAAGATGAAAAGAATTTTTTGAGGTTAACCACTATGCACCATCTGTTATCCCAGATATAACTAATTCGCCCGTCGAGCCTTACATTTGCAACTGTGAACCGCCAACAGGAGAGGAAATAATCTCTGTAATCTATAAGCTTAAAGCCAATAAAATACCTGGAGAAGATGGTCTTCGGGTCGAAGTCTTCAAATGTTGTCCATTATAACTCACCTTTAAACCTTTAACAAATTCTCTGATATGACAAAAGGAAATAATACCAGAAGACTGAAGAAAAGCAATTCTGTATCCAATTCCTAAAAAAGGTGACAGGACGTACTGTGATAATTACCGAGAAATCAACCTATTAGACATCTCCGGAAAAATTTTCGCTTTCCTTCTGCTATATAGATTCATGACAACACGCAGAATGCATCCTAACCAAGCTGGATTCAGACCAGGACGCAACCGATATTTATACTAAAAAAAGTGCTGAAATATAGCTTCAAATATCAGCAACCCACCGTCGATTTTGCATGTCTTCGATTCGATTGAAGCAGCAGCGCTCTCGAAATTGATGGAATGTGGAGGTGAATGTCCCCAGAGATCATTCGGCTCATAAAGACATTTTATCAGCATGGTCTGGCAAGATCTGTATACATGATGAACTGATAGATTCGTTCGAAATAAGAACTGGTTTTCGGCTGCATCCTTCTGCTTGTCAGCACTCAATAGGTGTACAAATCAGTCCAGAGCATAGCATCACAGACCTTGAATACGCTGATGATGATGTAATCCTTTTTGCAAACAAAATAAAATGCAAATAATGTTGAACAATGTAGCTAGAATTGGACTCATTAAATAAAACAAAGTATTTTCGTTTTATATACAAGATACTGATAAAATACCTATTTTTATAAATTTATTGCCGGTTGAAAAACTGCCCGTCTTTAAATATCTTGAATCCGCTCTAATCTCAAATGGCCAGGCAAAGGATGAAATGGCCCTGATAACCCTGGTAACGACAGCCAGAAATATGCTTTTGAAGTTGATGTTATGGAAACGTCGCGAAATCACCATAAAGACGAAAATCCGCATCCATATAGCCGCAATTCGCTCGAACATGGTCAATGAGAGTTGAAGATAATCAAAAAACTGTCAACCTTTGACCACTCATGTCTAAGGTACATTCTACGGATACAACGCACATGACTGTATCCATCTTCGCTCAAATTAATTAATTATATTAGAACCTTTATTAATTATATTATTACAGAACGTCGCCTTCGCCGGTTAGGGCATCTTTCCCGTCGCCCCCTACAGGAATTGACGCACATTTCGCTACTTGCCGAACTCTGTGATGGTTGGCTCAAATGCGAGGAGGTCCAATCAAAACCTGGACTGATACAGTCAGGAAAGAATATATAGGGGAAATAGCGATATATGGACTTAGACGATAGAAAAAGGAATGGCTTCTATTGGTACTAGTGATAGCATCGGATCGAGCAGCTTGGGGACGACTTACTCTTGTAGCCAGTAGAGCCAACCTAACCAGTTATGGTGAGAACTGTTAGAAGAAGAATACTGTAAGGAATAAAAATAATAAAGAATAACTTCAACATTCAAGAAGAATATATTTACCTATTCATACAAATCAATTATTGATCGAATTTAAAGCACAATATACAAAAACATTTTGGAAATATCAACCTCAAGTTGATAAGACGGTTCTTTAGAATTTCCTTTTAAAACAATTCGCATTAGTAGGAGAGCCAATAAAATCTTATCTTGATGCAACATTCCCTGTGAAACGCGTCGATACACCATCTTAAAATTTTCCAATTATTGTGGGATATTTGCATTATATATGTATAACATAATAATTATAATATAACATTATATAATAACACTAGAGCATTAAAAAAGCATTAAAATCCATAGATGAAAACGAGGCAACATATGAACACAACAAATCTATAAATTAATCATCTTCCAAAACCTCAGGTATGCCATTATATAATATAATATATAGAAACTACTAGGATACCTGGAATAGATTCGAAGTGATGATTTGTAGCCTTTGACCATAATCTGTGATTGACGATAAATGTGGAGTATTGAGGACAGCAGTAAATATTTCTAGTAGAAAATCCAATGAATACTGATAAAGAAAATGAATTTCATTGAGCTGTTGCAACATCGAATATATTAATGAACAAGCTTGTGCTAAACGAATATACAGCTGCGAAACAGTTTCTACCTGTAAATTACAAATATTTATCCAATTTAAATGAAATTAAATCTACAGGAAGGAGGAAGGACTAAAATTTATTTCTCTATTATAAGTGAAAGTTATCAATTTTTTTATTATAGATTCAAAATTAAACATCATTTATCTATCATAAACATCATTAAAAATGTTTTAAACTTGATTGTTTTAACAAGTACGAAAAAAAATTTACTTCAGTCATAACTTTATTAGTTTCAGCTGCTTTACGTGCTACCTCAGCTGCTTCAGTTTTTAATTTCTCCAAAGTTGATATTACTGAATCATCGTCCAGAATTTTGCCTTTGCTTTCGTTTAATGCAGCTAATAACGCCTATTAAGTATTTCGTATAAAGAAACAGACAAATAGTGAAACAGTGAATACTGTAAAATAAAACAAAACGAAAAAAAAAATCATCAAGTAATGAATTAAAATCTAGAGAAAAAAAACAACGGAAAAATTTAAAATCTCAGACCTTTTCAAGCTGCCGCAATCGAACAGCGAATTCTCCTTGCAGCTTAAGCAAATCATTTCGTTTTTCGTCTACATCAGGTCGCTCACTTCTTAAAACTTGATTCAAACATTGCATTTCAAGCGATGACTGTGTAATAGTGAAATTAACAAAAGTCACGCGAGAACAAACATCCGGTGGAAACTCAACCTAAAAAAAACAATATGATAAAAACAATTATAAATTTAACATAAATATTTGATGAATAATATAAAACATATCAAATGACTGCTTTAAACTTAAATAATAAATAACATACCGATGCATCGCGTGTGATAAGAAAAATTTGAAATGCTGGTGATAAATCAATATCCTGATCTCCAAGAGTTATTAGAGTTCTACCACCCGTACGTTTCACTTCGCGATTAAGAACAGGATTTAAAATAGGATCGTAGCTTTCAACATCTTGCACCAGAAGCGCATTGCCAAATCGCAAGGCAGATTCCAGATTTTTCCTGTGTTCAAATAAATTGTAATAAAAATATCGCCAAAGAAATATGAAAATATTAAAGTACCTGAAAGAATTGTCCAAGAAACTAGTCTTTGTCATATTCTTCCCACTAAATTGTTTTAAGAGGAATTTCATCGCTTGGCCAGATGGATCGATAATTAGTGGATATCGATTAAATCTAAAAATTATTTTTACAAACATATAATATCAAAACACCCATATGACATAAATAAAAAATTTGAATGACCTGTGTAGCATAATAGCATTTTCTGCACAAAGTTCATCAACAGGTAATCCATTTTTATTCCACTCAAGTCGTTCATCCACTGAAGATAGGTATTCAACGCGAGCCAAATCAGAACGATGTTTTATTTGTGCTTGTTCAACAAAAGAAATCCAACGGTGGAAGAGCATATCTCGAAGATGTTGATCGTAATAACTAAAAAGATTCAAAATAAGCAAATGAAACATTTTTTATTTCATTCATCTATATCATAATGGAGTAAATTCTTTCTTTAAATTCTTCATTCTTCCAACTATAAGGGCGAGATCCACTCATTAAAGCACGTTTATTAATAGTGGTATAAATGCGCCTTCATTCCCAGCTATCTGGATTTCGAAATTCATAACAAGCTTACTGTAAACAAGGAATTATAATCGTACTCATAATCAGATACGCTTAATCAATTTATCAATTTATCAATTTTGTCTACTCTTTCTATTTGCGCTTTTCTTAGCCAATAAATGTCCCAAACTCTCAATAACGATTAAATAATAAATCATGATATTAAAAGATTTGAAAATAAAGAGTTCCAATGAAAAACAAAAAACACGAGAAATATAAAAATCAAAAAATGAAATGACAAAATTATTTACCCAGAATACGCTAAGAAAGCTGCACTGAGCAAGGTATCACCAATTAGAGAATCCATTTGTTGACTAAAACCATCGCAGCTACCATGCCATCGATCTCTTTCGGATCCAAGACTTTTTAATAGCTGTGTACTTCGACCAACCTATGGTTATAATTAGTGGTTATAATTACAATAGGCCTTAACATCTGGTATAACACAATTCTGTCTAAAATTTCTGATCATGAGAAATTACCTTCTCTTTCACAGTGGCTAAATCAGCTTTAATAGTTTCTGCCTGACCAATTAATTGAGCGTATTCTTCTTTATAAGCAGCAATACTATGTTCCAGCTGAGAAATTGTTTTTTTGAGTTCTTCTCCCTTCTCAGTTTTTATTTTGGCATCATCTTCCAACCGTTTTAATTCATTACGAAGGGGCTCAACTCGTCTAAGCATATCAGAATAAAGCAATTGTGCTTTCATCCATTTCACCATTGGTCCACAAGCAGATGAAGCACGATTGACCTGGAAATATATATATATATGTGCACACAAATTAGCTTTATTTATACAATATTCTGACCTTGTCAAAATCCCAATCTGGATTTTGAATATATTTTTCCATAGCTTTAAGTGTTTCTGGCGTTATACTATCCGTGTCGAAGCCAAGGATACGAGGCATGAAATCATCCTTAACCATCACACCTCTGATTGCCTTCCAGTCGGTTCCAACATTCTATGAAATAAATTTGATAGTAAAATTTATTTTTATGTGGAAATCGAAGTTAATATTAAATAAAAAGAAAAAATACTACCTCTCCCAGAAGCAAACAAATGGACTCTAGAGTTAGTTTTACAAGATGAGGTGGTGCAGCCATCGACCGAACTTCAACCAGTTGTGCTTTTCGAATACTTTTAACAGCTTGTTTTGCATCTTCAACTGCCGGTTCAACCTATAAAAAATTTCTTTCTTACTAAATAAAATCTCATATTTCTATTTAACTTCTCGAAAAGAACAAATAAATAAAAGTTTGAATTGAGATAAACATCATATCTGAGTAGCTAATTAAAGAAATTCGATGATATATGAAGTTTTATTAAAGAAACTGAGGAAAAATCCATGATTTTTCATGAATTATAAAGCGATTTTTCTTCATTAAATCTTATAATTAGTCAATAAATCTTGAAATAACCTGTGCCAGATCTTTTTCCACTTCAGTGCGCTTCTTGCCAATTTCAACAAGTGATTGTGCCAATTCTTTCTGAAGTTGTTCACTAGCCAATTTTTCTTTTTCAGCCTTCTGCTGATCCGACAACATTTCCTGAATATTTAGAGTTAAAATAAGATGAAACTGGATTTTCAGAATAAACTGAAAAACTTCGATGTAAACCCAGACATTGCAATTCCTTATCATATTCACAGATTAGGTCAAAAGAATAAATTTCCGACATCACTTATTCACTGGAAAATTACCACAGGGATAAAATTACCTTGAGTTTGGCGTTAGCAGCACTTTTTTTCGCTTCCAGTTCACTACTTTTAAGCGTCAATGATTTTTGAAGTTCAAGAACTTGTTCTTCAGTTTCTTTTATCTGAAAAAAACAAATACTAAAATTAGCTCTGAACTGCATCACTGTAGAAATAAAAAAATAAAAAATAAACTGCAAAAAAACAAACCTTATTAAGGCCAACGTTAAGATGAAGTTTTTCATCCTCGAGATCCCGCCTTTTTTCGTGAAATACATTAATATAGTGTTTAATAAAATCAAGGAAATGGCGTGGAGTAATAGCCATTACACGACGACCACGTTTTGCCTCTACTTCATTCAGCTGAAACCAAAAATTAATCTTTTCATAAATTCATCCAGAAATCTAAAATTTTGATATTTTAATTCTATTTTGTCTTCCATAAAAATTTTACAAATAAGCACCTTACGCACTGCATTATGTACTTGAACGAACGAATTAATAACTGCATGTCGATAAAGCATTGGTGAAGGTACCAGTTCACATACAGCAGTAATAGCAAATGGTGCCTGATAATCAGATTTATCCATATCCAATGTATTTGTTAATTCCATGCCAACCTACAACTCCAAATCACTTTATAGTAAATCGTTCATTTCTTTGAATATAACCAGAAAAAAACAATGATAAATAAGTATAATTATGCAAAAACTGAAAAATAATAACCTGATAAAGCGCTGAATCAGTCCAATCACCAAACCAGTTCAACACACATCTATTAAACAATGCTGGAGATGTTGAAGCGCGCTCACGAAGGCCATCACCAGAAGGATTCATTGTAAAGACAATATGAAGATTGCGCATAACCTACAACGATGCTAAAATTATAATGAACTATATAAAACATTGTAACCACTAATTTAAGCTTCATTCTTTCAAGAATGAAAGTAAAATTTGTATCAAAAAATTCGTATGAAGAATTTAACCTGAGCAGTAAACCATTTATACAGTTCATCAGGTGAATCCAGCATCAGGCCTTGTCTATGAGCACCTTCTTTGATCTGGCTCATTAAAGTTGTATATTCATCACCATCAAACAACCCAGGCACCTAAATTTTATTGACTAAACCTTTAAATCCAAAAAACAACTGAAACTGTACGATGCAAACTTCGAGGATGCTTAATTAGGTGATACTTAATTACTAATAAACAACTACCTCTCCATTTGCTAATAACGTGTTGAGTCTCTCTAGGAAGCCAGTATCCAACATATTTGACTCATCCATAATAAAGCACATTTTCTCATTCCGACAACCAGCACGACGTAAAACAGAACGCATATCTTCATCAAAATCTGCTGCTGTGTATTTCGAATGGACTTTTAGCTGAAATTTTGAAAACTGTCGAACGAACTATAAGATTTTTTTAATTAAAAAATTGCACTTGTGTTAAATCTACCTGAAAAACAGATAGCCCATTTATCCATGCAACAAATCTAGACAGAGTTGTCTTACCAGACCCAGAAACACCGATCAAAAGAAGATGGCCCTGTGGCTGACGGTAAATACGATCAATACGCAAAACATGATCCAGCATCTGATCAAAGAGCACCAATTGTACATCCAGCTCCTCTTCGTAAAAACCTTTGAGACGTGCAGAAACATATTCTTTGAGCTGCTCCTTCGATACGGGCAAATAATGTTTCGTCAACCTTGAAAAAGAACAAAATATTATAAATATCATTCATTATAAATGTAAATTATAAATATCATTAATATTATAATTAAGATATTTGCAAGTATTTCCATATAAATTATTCGACCAAATTGCACTGTGAAAAAAGTATTACCAGCAAGAATACAATAATGGCCGTTCGAGTGCATGGGTAAGATTGCAAGCTGAACTGAAAAATTTCTCAGCTGTTAAATTTAACAATTGATCAGTCCATTCGCGCTCGTGTGCATGCACCAAACGATCTTGGAATAGACGTAAAGCCTCATGAGCCCACAGACGCACAAGTGCCTCTGCGGTTACAGAATCTAAAGGTGAAATGGCCTCACTAATTGCTCGAACCCAACGAGTAAGTTCACGTGGTGAATATATATAATGAGGTTGATCATCTTGCGTGAAATGTTCCTTAAATATTCTTGCATTTAAAAAACGACATAAATGCAAAGTAGAAATGAAATTTTCGTAATTTTTTTATTTTACTATATACTCAATCCTTTCGGGGGCGAAAATGGCTCAGTGAATGTCACTCGCAAGCACTTCCCTCAGGAATAAACCTATTTTTCAAAAATTTTAGGTGGTTCTGGCGAGTTACTGCTATCGTCAACTTACAAAATTCGTCTGGTTCGTTAAACCTGCTGACAAGTCTAACTAGAAATGATGAACATTATTCAAAAAAAATCCATCCATTTAAATTGCAAAAATAATGCTTTTAACCTTCGATTCGCATTCAACCCATATTTTTGACTACAACCAATTTTATTCCACATTAATACTTTTTATTATTCATAACACCTATATATTAAGTGATTATCCGAAGGATAGTTCAAAAAACAAAAATAAAAAACAAAAAAACAAAAATAAAAATAAAAATAAATTTTCCCTCAACCTTAACTGAAAATTGGACAAAATGGTCTAATTAGTCTAATTAAAACAAAAAATAAATTAAAAATCGACCTGTGACTGAAGGTAGAAATCTACCATAGCACTGGTCAACGGTTCTGCAAGTCCACGGATTGCAGGTGCCATTCTAAGCATAGCGCGATTGAATGTCCCGTATATTTGGATCAAGGATGTAGAGCCAGGATAATCAACATAAACGACAGGAACATGTCGTAAGAATCGCAAAGAAAGCGGATGTCGGCCAGGATCTGTAGGTGGATTACAAGCACCAACAAATTGAATACGATCCAGTGATACCCACGTATGGTCTGATGCACGGTAAAACCCATTCTAAAATTTTAAATTTTGAAATGGAAAATACAAAATCTTATTTGAAAATATGAAAAGAAAATTGCAAAAGAAAATTAAATTAGCCAAACATATTTAATATACCATTTCTACAAGTTGCCGAAGGAATGAAATGACCCGTTGAGTTCCGTATTTATCTGGAGCTGGCAAATTGATCTCATCACAGAATATAACGAGCCATCGAGAAATTTGTACAGGTGATAGAACAACACCGTTCGGTGTTCTACGATATTCACAATAATGATCGAAAGTACGCATAAGAAGTTCAGGTGTTGTTGAAGATGAAAAGTTTACATTAACTACGTCCATGTCCTGAATAGAATTAACACCAGCTTTTATACATCCAAAAGATATTTCTCAATTTGAAAAAATTTTCTCCATCACACAAAAGAATATAATAAATATAATCGTAAATATTAAAAATATTAAAAACTACTATGAAAAGTCTAACTTGAAGAGATCGTAACGCGGATAATAGAGTCATCGTTTTGCCCGATCCTGGTGGTCCACAAAGCACCAATGGTTTATGTTCAGATAACCACGTGTTCAGCAACATTTCGTGACGAATAGTATCAACAGTAGGGACAACAATATCTGCTGCTGCAACGCGGTGCGTTTCAATTTCCATTTGAGGGACTTTCGAATTCCACTGAACCCATTCACCCATAATACTAGCTTCGTAATCGATTATTGGTAACTAAAATGGATTTAAAATATTTTAAAGAAATCAAAGAAAGACCAAAATAATCGTTTTATTGTCATAAAAATTTGAATCCAAGCAAATAAAAAAGAACGATAAAATTCAACTCATAATTCATTTGAATCAGATTTAGTAAAAGATAGAGTAATTTTATATAATTCAAAAACGCACCGAAGCATTTGGCGGAAGTGATAATGTACAAGATTGTCGCACGAAATCGCTCAGCTTTTGTCGCGATTTCCACTTTCCATCTCCACTAAAAGACCAAACCATATTGACAAGCATCGCGCGAAGAATATATGCTTCAATCTGATCATCCTGAAAAAAATAAAGAAAAATTAAAAACAAAGAAAGGCAAATGTAAAAGTGTAAAGAGAAAAAACTGAATGAAATTACAAACAAATCAAATAAAAATTTTTTTGTAGATTTATAAAGTTAACACATAAAAAAAAGCGATCACCAAAGCGAACTCTGGTCTAGTGATTTTTGAAAGATAAGATGTCTTTAAATTTTAATTGAAATTAAATCAATTAAAATTTTTAATGAAGAGTAATAAAGAATAACCAATGAATATACAATATGAATGACTACTCAATTTACTAAATAAAAAAAATGAAGCATACTGCAATCGGAAAATCTGAGTGATTATTATCGTAAATAATTAGCTGCCGAACAGCATATTTCATCATCGAAAAAAAGGATGATAGTAAACGCTGTTGAGTCGGTTCCATTATGTGATCCAACTCTGACATTGCATAATTTAGCGTAGCAGGTACGAGAGCATCAGCACTCATATGATGTGCCAAAAACTGAACGCATTTCTGCTGAATTGCCAAAACACGCTCAGACTCAGGTGAAATATTATTTCCTTCAACCGATGCGGTATTAAGAGACATTAAATCAAACTGAAAAAAAAGATTAATCAAAAATGAATATTATTCAGAAAATTCAATAAATCCAGTATGAATCAAAAATTCGATTTGGAATGGGATTTAATGAAATTAAAAATTTGTTTTATCAAAATACAAAATAAAAAAATAAATGAAGTAAAGAAGTAATGAAGTACCGGCTGCTCAACATCTAAGCGGAAATGTTTCATCATCCTTAGAAAATGATCAGAAAGCATATCATATGTAACCACTTCATCGCTAAACCAAACCATTCCACAGCGTGAAACTGTAGCAAGTGTAGCATATTTCAAGTCCGAGACTTCAAAAATAATTCTAACCTGTTAAAACAACAAATTCATTAAGAAAATAAAAACAACATTAATTTTTACTTTCGCATTCAGTGTTTCTTGTTTTTAGTAAAATTATGTATAAAATAATGTTCAAATCCCGGATTGAATTTATTTTCATAAATTAATATTTAAATTTATACATTTGGAGGTATAGCCAGACGTTCACCATTTGGTAATGTCAATAGTTTATTATCATCCAAAACAGAGTTCAAATTTTCCACCCATTCTGGATCGACATCGCCATCGAATACAATCCACTGACGCTTCGATGTTTCTCCCCTGACATTATCGATAATTTTGCGAATTATATGCGTAAAAAGTCCATCAGTCCATTCGCGAGTATTCGGATCAAGAGTGCCATACAAAGCATCCTTGCTCATCGCCTAAATACTCTTAAGCTAAGGAAACACAGAAAAAACAGAGAATGAGCTCATTCAACACAAACTGTTAGAACAAATATTTAAAAATAATGACAAAATGACAAACCTTAGCATCAATAACATGTGCAACACCTTCAACACCTTCCAACCGTTCAAGGGCTTTCAGCAAAACTTTCCAAGCAATTGTTTTTCCGCTTCCACTAGCGCCAACCAACATTAAACCATGGTTAAGATTGATAATTTGATTCAACTGTATAACTTTTTCTAACCATGTAGATCCTAATTCACCAGCTGTTGACGACTGAGTAAGCAATAACTGATCACAAACTTTAGCAATTTCTTCTCGTAACCTTTAAGCGAAAAATATAATTTGATATAATTATAATTTAAAAATGTAAAAAACAAGCTGAAGGAGTTGAAGATATAATATAATGATAATATAAATATAAGTACAAATATAAATATAATCATAAATATAAATATATAAATATAATATAATATAATATAATATATTATATTATATTATATCATATAATGACATACTGTGTAAGTGGACTTGGCTTGTAATCGATAGATGGAAAAACATCAGAAAGGAGAGAAAATAGAAGTGATATATCTTCAGAAATCAATTTTGGTACAAGTGTTTCACATACTGATTGAATCAATATTTGTTGTTCAGAGAGATTACTTGAAACATCACATTCTGGATTCTGAAACGATACTAATAAATGATCTAAAACCAATATTACTGGTAAAAATATTGAAAAAGATTGAAAAATAAAGGGAAGGAAATAAAATATAGGTTTAATACGAAGTGCACCTTAATAAATATAGGATTTATAGCCACAATAATGCTTTTATTTAATACTTTTGACATGGCTAGACTTATTTTTTTTATTAATAAAATATGGACATGTGAATTTTAAATTTAAAGATTCAATAAGAATTAATAAATAAAAAAATTAGAAAATACTTCCATAAAATAAATTCAATCATCACATTCGAAAACTCTAGAAACTACTAAATTATAGTAAAAATATAAAATTTAAAAATGTAGAATATCAATATAATGTTATACAAAAAATATCAAATGACTTACGCCAAAAGATTCACCATTATCGATCATTCTTTGGATTTCCTCGCGTTTAATATTACCTGCGCTTACAAGCACATATTTGAGAGCACGAAGACCAAAATCATAATGATACTGATCCGATAACTGTTCTTTACATAGACTAAAATTCATGCCGGAGAAAACAAGAAAAAAAAATCAGTGAATAAAGAACAAAAAAAATGTCGAAAAAAGAAACAAGACCACAAAAAAATTTATAAATTTTGCTTACATAAAAAGAGGAACAATTTTATTCGCCAATCGTTCAGCACTTCTGAATCCCTGCGAAAACAACATGACCTGAGCAATAAGTTGACGATCTGGTTGAGTCATGGCGAGGGAACGGAACAGCTAAAATTTTATAAAGAAATTTTGTTTATTACCTAAGCCTAATTATGGATTAAATTATACTTATTATTATACTTATTTCAACAGAATCATAATTACCTGCTTCAAATTGTCGGGCAAGTTTGATCTGCCAGAATAGCCAGGATTCATAGTAATGAAAATAGCCATGTTAGCATTAACTGATAGTGTTTTTCCAACTAAGTCGACCTAAAAAATAGCTATTGTACATCTATAGCTACAGTTAAAAGGCATAAATGTAATAAAAATAAGAAAAATATGAGAAATCGCGAGTCGTTTTAGCATGTTTTCGCCTTATCCTAAGTGATTAAAAAAATTTGCGAAAATATAATCAAAAACAGGACCTGCATATCTCCTCCGGCACGAACAGCTTCCTGAATAGTTTGAATCTGCTGACTTACTGCAGACAACATTCGTTCCTCTAAGCGATTGAACTCATCAAAGCAGCCCCATGCTCCTACTTGACATAAACCGACGAGAATACGCCCCATCGCCTTAAAAAAAACTCAGAATTTAGAAATACGAAATGATATTCAACTTCATTTTCAGAAAAATCTAAAAAAATCCATAATTTTCAAAAAAAGTTAAAATGTTATAAGTAGAGTCATATTATACTAAGGAGATTGAAGATCTAATAAAATTAATTAATTAATTTCCATTTCTTCTTTTAACAGCTCTCACCATTACTGGTTAGGCTGGCTACAAGATGCTCGGTCCAACAACATCGCTAGTAACAATAGAAGCCATTCCTTTTTCTATCCTCTAAGTGGATATATCGCTATACCCCCTATACGCTCAAAATCTTTTCTGGCTGTATCATCCTTCTGATGTTATCGATCACAATGTTTAAGGGACGAACTGTGTGGACGACGAATAACATGCCCTAACCAGCGAAGGCGATGCTCTATGATGACATTATTAATACAGGTGGTAATTGAGGGAAGATGGATAAATCATGTGCGATTTTTCGCCCGACGGATCCGTAAAATGCCTTAGACATGAGTGTTCAAAGCCTAATAGCTTCTTAATATCTTCCATTCTCATTGGCTATTTCGCAGCCATATAGCAAGATCGAACGAATTGCAGCTATATGGACGCGGATTTTCGTCTTTATAGTGATTTCGCGAAGATTTCAACCGGAAATTCCCACTTCTCATATGTAAAAATGACGATATGATCAAACAACTCATGTCTGTTCCTTATATTAAGGAAACTCAATTTGAAAAATTAAAAAAATGAGAATTGAAAAAATAAAAAACCTGAAAGTCGAAAGTTTCATCACAATTGAATACGAGAACAAAACGACCCAATTTGTGTCCAAGAGCTTTTACACTTTCAGTCTTTCCGGTACCAGCTGGACCAAATGGACTACCACCCAGCCTAAACAAAAAATTATAAAATTATTTTAAAAACTGAAAAAAAATGTTCCATTAAAGAAATTGAAAATAACAGTTAATTATTATTAGATTTAGTTAAATGAAATGATAAAAATTTAAAACGTTTTTTAAATATATAATTTGATAAATATATAATTTTGAGTGTCTATTAAAGCATATAAATGCATATATGTCTAAATATAAGAATATATACAAAATTCAACAAACCGAGAATTCAAAGCCTGGGTCATAGTTAAAAAACAACGATCAGTTAATGGAGTCATGACAAGTTTCTCTTGCAAACCAAGATATTCAAAGCCGTAAGGGAAATGGGCATTCGCCATTTTCACGGTACAACAAGATAAAGGACTGGTACTTCGAGAATCATAATAGAAACGCATACATTTCAACCAGTGAAAACTATTTGCATGTGAAACATTATTTGCTACCAAGGAACGACATATATCTCGTTTATGAACAAATTCCGTAATCTAAAATTTTTTCTCTTAACATTTTCACTGCATTTTCTCGCTTTATCTAAAAATTAGAATAAAACAGCACCAATGATTCAATTTTTTTTCGCCGAATCGGTGGCTGTTCACATAAAACACTATCAGCAAGCATTGACAAAATTTTATCCACAGTAACTTGCACTTCTTCAACTATTTTGCCTTCAGATAGTCGTTTTTCTATTTGCATACACCACCAAATATTTGCTGTTAGTTCTACAACTTGTGCCTGAAGCAAAATTTACAAATTTGAATTAATAAAAAATTTTGGAGATTTTTGTTAACAAAGAAAAATTATTATAAAAATGTTATATTTAAAAGAAAAAGATGAACTGGGTACTGATCCATCCAATTTAAATATTTTTCAAGCTCAGCAGAATCGAATTTGCTGAAATCTGCAAGTGACTGACTGAGTAAATATGAAAGAGTATGCTGCATTTCGCGTTCTACCATGCGAAGCCAGTCGTTAATTCGAGGATTTTCCTATAAAAATGGAAAGTAGAAAAAAGAACAGTAAAATCTTTTAAATGAAGCAAAAGAACTAAAATATTCATATTGATTTATCCATAAATGAACTAAAATATTTTAAACAGAAAAAGTGAAAAAATACCTTTAAATTGACTGGCCGAATGAGTTCGACACGTTCACCCTCTCTACTGTTAATGGCCGTCACAACTGTATTCTCCGATTCGACATCAATAGATGTTATACCAGCAAACATTTTTTTTAAATGTTTTTGTATTCTACTTATATCTTTGCTGAAAAAAATTTGTACACAAAATTATCATGATTTAATTAAGATTACTTATCACTTAAAAATAAAAAATTTGCTTGAAAAATTAGCCATAAAAGAAGATAATTCTGAAATATCACAAAATTAATGAAATAAAGAAGACAGAAAAAAATCCGACATTTAATTCAAATATGTCTCAAATTAAACTTTACCTATTTCCCATTATTTCCAATAAATCTTCATCGCCAACAAAATAAAATCGTGGAAATGAGCTTCTTTCACGTTCCAAATATTCACCAAGTGCTTTTTGAATCTTTGTCAATATATCAGCTAATCTTTCCAAAACCCTTTGTGCTCCTTGCATATTAACGACATCCAAAATACGAGGAGAAGCAGTAACCTTTTTCATTAAAGAAAGAAATTCAGTTGAAACGCTAAAAAATAGATAAAATTATTTTAGACATTATAAGCCTATAGGAATGCATGATTTGTTTAAAAAAATTTCTTTATTTATAATTTCAAGTTTTTTTTATCGAGTTTACTGCACAATATATGTCATGAATACTTTAATAACGAAATTTTCATATTGTACCTTGAAAATCGAGACGATTCAACAGGTAAAAGAGTGCTAATATCAGCTGATGCTGAGAACAACCCTTCAAGGTAAACCCAACGTCTCTGTACATCTATCCACACATCAAACAAAGCACTTATTTTATTAAGTTTTTCTTCCCAAGCAAGAGAATCCTAAAAAGAAATTCCTTGAAATTATTTAAAAAAGAAAAGAAAAAGCCAGATTAAAAAACATTCTGAAATCATAGGTTTGCAAGGTCGAAGAATGCAAAAAGCAAAATTCTAGAAATAATCAAATCATTATAAAATCATAATTGTATTTCCGTCATTTTTCTTCTATAATTTTTACATTTTTATTATTTTGAATCAACTTCTTTTAATCTTATTTTATTTTAATCTTTAATCTTATTATATATTCACTTCCATCATAAAAAATTTCAAAAAAGGTCTAAAAATTCTTTTCATAAAGGTCAAATTTTAAATATTGAGTAAAAAAATAAGTTTTAAAAGGCAGAAATGTGATAACTGCATACTTCTTCGAATTGTTTGTAATAAGGCGATAACTTCATTGCAGTAAGTGAATTCATATGTTCCTTAAGCTTGTTGAAAAGATCATCCCATCCTCGAATCAGTTTTGTTTTGCTTTGATAATTGACTAAATCTATTTCAAATGATTGCCAGTATTCACGAACCTGAAAACAGCAATCAATAACGAAAAAAAATTTTCGTATTTTAAACCTAATTTGCTCTACAGGAACAACATTTACCTGTTTCAAGAATTCTTCGAGAGCCAATTCACCTTGAGCAACTAATAACACTTGTTTAATGGCAGATTCATAACGAAGTAAGTCTGTATCCCATATCTGTCCCAACGTTAAATCAGAAAGATTCCAAGATACGCGTAGTTCTTTCATTAAATGTTTCCAGTGGCGCTCTTTTAAGGCTTCTGATTTCAATTCGACAACAACCATGTTCATCTGAAAAGTTTCGAGAATTATTTAATGAACCATTTGATAGAAAATTAACTTTTTACTTTAGTAATATTTTGACAGAACTTAGCCTTTCACTTATTATTTCTCATATAATTTTTACTCGGTAACTTCCAGCAAATATTTGATAAAAAATATTGACCTTTGAATAATTATGCATAAGTCGTTTCATATACTCATAAGAATCGTATGACCGATATTTTGCAGGCAACTGTTTCAATTGTGCAAGAAGCTCATCAAGACTCTGTCGTAATTTTCTTGGCTGTACTGATAACCAAGTTTTTTCTTTAAGTTCCTCAATAGAATTATAGAGTGGGGTCAGAGCTGACCAAACTCCTAAAATGTAAAATTTTGAAATTGATATTTTAGCGATAAATATAAAAAAAAAACAAATCAATATAAATTATCCCAGAGAAAAATATCATTGACAAGTAAAATTTATTCACCTTTAAGATCAGTTAACTCTTCGACCGCAACATCGAGTCTGGTGGCATGAGTATTAGTAATGATCGGTTCAGAAATTTCCAGCGCTCCTTTAGCTTTAACCATATTTTCCCGATCCTCCTTTACTTTCGATAATTTTGTCTCGAGTGCATTTAGAGTAGCTAGTGCTTCCACCGGTTTTTGAGATCCCTGAAAATCCCGAAATCCCGATATTCTTCTGTTTTTTTTTTATACATTTAGTTTTCAGTTCTGTTATTGTTTAGTCAGATTATTGATAGAAAAAATTAAAACATAACCAATGAAAAAAAAGAATAGAAACGAATAATATAACCTGAACTGGTTTTAATTTATCCCATTCATTAAGTATATCTTGAGTTCTTTTCTCTACTTGTTCATCTTCTTCTTTTATTTTAGCTTGTAGATTTGCAACCTAAAATAAATAATATATGAAATTCTTTTTTCTACAAAAACAATTTAGCATTCAAGATAAAAATAAGCTTAATTAATCTTTCCCATGCAAGAGTAAGATTCTCCAAACTTTTCACTTATTCTCACCTAATTTATTGAAAAATATATAAATTCGATTCAAAACACAGTGGACTCTTTCTCCGATTAACTACATTATTTATTTATTGTAATACAAATTTTTTAAAATATTCGAATGATATAAAAATTTTGATTTTTATACAAATTTTAATAAAAAATTTTATTAGCTTGGAACATTAGAGGAACTATTACTATTATCTTATTACTGCATATATTTTTTGTGACATTCACAACCTGCCCATGCTTAATATGGAAATGCTTAATATGAGCACAGAAAATAAGATAAAAAATCCAAAATTTCATCATGCCAAAAAGACGATCATGCTGATCTTATAAATACAACAATAAAAAGCAATATCTTTGAAATGGAAGAAATTTCAGCAAAAATTTATATTTTTTGAGGTTTACCGGCCAGAACAATGCAACAAATTAGCAATATAAACGTAAAGTGATCTTACCACTGTACCACATGTCGGATCGGCAAGCTAAATTGTTATTTTGGCAATGACAATGCTTAGATTCATTTAAAAATAGAAAGGAGGAATTTCTTATTAAGATTTCTAAAATACCACAGTGAAATTTACTATTCCCCTAGATTAACTGATAAGATTAGTTGAAAATTACTTATAGATAATACAGATAATTTTAAGCAAATTAAATTGAGATTACTCTATTAATTACTGGTTTTATTTAATTTAGAATGATTGCACTATATTGATTAGATTGTGTTAGAACTAAACAAGATCTAAAAAATTTTTGACAAAAAAATTTCCTCGCTCTAAATTTTTTAAATATCAGATTTAACGACTGATATTAGTAAAGGCTATCTATAGGACTCAGTAGAAAAGTTATAACCTTTCAGTCGCACTATACTTTATTGGAATAAATTATCTATGTGATGTGATGTGATGTGCATTTTCAATAGCTGATTTTAAAAAAAAAGTCACAATAAACATTATTCGTAAATATTATAAATTATTATTCGTAAATATTACAAATATTATAAATAAACATGATTTAACATTTTTGTTATATACACTTTCAACTCATATAATTACTACTCAGTAATTACTATTTATTTATGCTATCTTTTTTTTTCACGTACAATTTGCTTTGTTTGTCCTTATTTAGCATCTATTTTACGTGTAATGCGTTAAACACCAACATTATGTCAAGCTTGGCCTTTTTGTATAAATTAAAAAAATATTTTCGTTTCCTGATTAAAAACAAAGTAAATCCTTAAATAATAACAGTTATTGATTATGAGATCATAAGACAACAATAGATGGTCACTTAAATGGATTAAATGAATAAACAAAGTTCCATGACTAAAGTAACTTGAAAATAATTTAAAAAAAAAGATTTTAAAGATTTTAATATTTAAAAAAAACCTGAGCTTGAATAGCTGAATCTTTTCTTTCAAGAATATCAGTTAAAGCCGACCATTCACCATCGATATTTTCTGAATATAACCAAGAAGAAGGGAATTGATATCGCTGTTGAGTTAATAAGCGCTGTGCTGCGCGGAACTGTTCTGTCTGAATCAATATTCTCCTATTATTAATATATCTCTGTTAAAAAAATGATCTTGAAACTACCGCGGATATAATTAGAAATCATTCAGAAATACTAGAAAAATTTAAAGTAAGTAAAAAAAATACATACTTTTTCTTGACAAAATTTAGTTTTTTTCTTCAGTTGTTGAACATATGTAATTAATTGTATCGCATCACTCGTTGATCCGCTATCTACACTTTGTTCTTCCAATTCACTTCGCCATCTTGAAATATCAGCGTAGAAAGTTTGCATCTCCTGACCTTAAAATTCATCAGTAAATAATATAACTGCAAAAGTGCTCGAATAAAGAATAAAGAAAAAAATTTATATTTGACTGAAAAATCATCTCCTTTTGTGCAATTTCGCATTATCTGATAAATCGAACTTAATAAGATAGTACTTACAATTCTATTTAGATTAAATTTAAGCACAGAACATCTACATTTGTTATTTTATGGTTAATTAATATATTCTTAAGTGGTTTAACCTCTTTTTATTCAGAGCAAAAAAATGAAATAATCATAAAATATCAACCAGACATTTTCTTAATGAAAAATTACCGACGATAGTATAAATTATCATGAGTTCCGTAGGAATCATTTTTTTTTTTTGAGAAAGAATAAAGAAATAAACCTTCTCAAATAAAAACCAAAATCTCAAATTATAAAAATAAAATTCGGGTGGTAATGAGTGGTGATGAAATCTATACTATGATAAACACTTTATTTCATCTAGGAATTTTGTAAATTTCTGAGAAATTTTTAAACAGCAGTATTAAATCAAATCATAAGATTAACTTAAACAGTTCATTACTTACCTACTGAGCAGCTGAATTTTTGTAATATTTCGCGATGCCAGTAATCGTATTTCAGCGATACTTTCGATTGAACTTTTCTATAATCTACTACAACAGGAAAAATTTCTTTGCGAGTTTCTTGAGTATCAAACGTAGCTCTTGATTTACGGATTTCCAGAAGGGTCTGGATCCATTTCGAAACATTATTTCCTAGACGTTCGTATAGCACATCTGGTTGAAGATCCCACAAAGCCTAAAAACAATATCGGCACTAACGTGATTTAATTTCTTCATTCTTTGATATGACATATATAAAGCTAAAGAAATACCTGATAACGTAGCCATTCTCCAACGTAATCTGACACATCTTTGATGACCTTTTCAACTGCTGTATATGCTCGTTCCAAAATTTTTTGACCCTGAGGCAAACGAGCTAAAACATCACGATATGTAGCTTCAGTATTTTCACGAGATAATGCCAACTGAAAATGAATATTTCAACGTAAAAGCTAGAACAGATTGCAGATTGCAAGTTACAAAGTTTCGCAAATTGGCTTTCGCAATCCAGTCCAAACGATTCAGCTCAATGAGAATTTTATATTTCTCACTACAGATTCAGCAGAAACATATGTCAAAAAAAAGCCAAAAAAATTATCAAAATAAAGAGACAATGAAATTTACTTGAAATCTGGTACTCGATATTCGTGATTGATTAGTGATAATTGATTGCCATGAGAATAACTGATCAAGTAATTGAGCTCTTGCTTGTTCTATATTTGGACTTACATATAGCACTTGCGAAGTTACACGCATTTCCAGCAATACTGGTTGCACAGCTGGTAATACAATCTTTTCTTCATTTTCGTCATCCATTTCTTCATGAGTTAAAACCGTCGTCCATAACAGAATAGCCGCTTCAACACGTGAAGCTAGTTTCAATTCGATCTATTATAGAAAAAAAGTGTATAAAAAGCATAAAGTTTTTAAATTAAAAAATAATTTGTGTGCAAAAGATTAGATCAGAGATATTTAAAAGCTATTTAATAAAAAAATGGCTGAATTTAATTTTCAAAGGAATAAAAAATCAAATTAAAATCAAATCAAATTAATTATGTAAAAGTATATTCAAAACGTTTCTAGCTATATAATCCAACTATTTCTAACCAAACATCTTATAACAAAAAATTAGTTTATATTAGTTTAAAATAGTTTAAATTAGTTTAGATTTTATAATTTTAGTTGATTTCAGTTGTCTCAATCACAATCAGAACACACTCACACAAGAATTTAAAGCCTTGTAAAAATTTGCACAATTCATTCAAATTGTTAACCTTTTTATCGATATTTTCAACCCAATGATGCAAATTGGAAAAATTGCCTAATGAAAGCTGATCAACTGCTTTTTGAATAGAAGCCAAAAGTGAAGCAAAAGTAACACTCGAATACTGGCAAGTATCCAAAGCTGCTAAATCAACCTTAAAAATTTCACTGGAAAATATCAAAACAAAAGTGATAAATTATATGACACCAGACATTTCGAAGCAAAAAAAATAATTATTAATAATCGCAGGATAATTATTTTCATAAAAATTTCATAAAATTTTAAAACATTAAAACATTAAAAAATAAAAGCAAAAAATACTTTGCCACAAACCTCAATTCTAGTCATTAGCAGATCAAGTTCTTCTACTTTTTCTTGGTAAATATTTATAGACTGAGATAATTTAACCACATATGGGTCCATTTTATAAGATTCCCAAATCAACATATTTCCCTGCAATACTTCTTTTTATTATAAATTTAGACAAAAAATAAAAATAGGAAAACGAATCAAAAATATTATTTAGAATTGGAAACATAATAGAGAGTTAACTCTAACTATTTTCTTCATCAAAAAATAGTAAGAGATTGTTTTGCTGAATTTATTTCTTAAATTTTTTCTTGTATTGTAGTTCAAGACACACGCGAAAAAATGATAAAAAAACAAATAAGATCTTAATAAGATGAACATGATAAGAGAATCTTGATAAGAGAAACAAATTTTTCAATCAAATTAAAGGTAAAACGAAAAATAATATTACCTCAGCTAACTGATTTTGAATATCTTTCTTATAAGACGCGATCAACATATTAATACCATCGTTACCAGCAATTCGCTCATTTATAGAGTCGTAAGTCCGAATCGACTCTAATAAGGAAATCGCAAATGGATATAATATATTTGCCTGGTGAGCTGTATTTACAATTTTAAGCGGAATACGGAAACCCATATGTTTCAAATTTCGCACCTAAAATAATTGTATCAAACAAAAGCCTTAACGAGATTAGAAAATGAGAGAAAATATTAGGAAAAAGAAAAATGAGAGAAATATAAAAAAACGGTTGGAGATGGTAGTGACGCCTTAATTAGCAACATTTGATTTAACGATACCTCTTTAAAGAGAGTAACGACGTCAGGAGAAAAGTTGACCTTCAGTTTCAATGATATTTTGCCATCTTTTTGCCGTTTTTCTATATTAAATATACGCCCAGCTAAAGAAATGTTTTTGGATTGAACACGACCAACCCATTCTTCAAAAATATTTTGAGCATTAAGTTTTTGGCGAAAGTTATCCCCTTCCAATTTTAACTGACGGCCTGAAGTTAAAATATAATCAGAACACAATTTACGACTTATTTTACTAATAAAAATATTGATATCGCGACAGAAATGAAGATTTCGTTGAAATAAAATAGTAAAATGGTAAAATAATGAATAAATTATTTGTATTTGGCTGGACTCCTACTGATAACAGGCTCCACCCACCCAAGAATGACGATTCTCGAACTTTTTATGCCTGACCTAGTTTACAGCAACAAAATGCCTAACATTCCACTCTCTCTAATTATAAATTATAAAAGCTAGAGTTGGCCTCAAAATTTGTTATAGTCTAAAATAATAAAAAGTAAAGTTAAAAATAGACCTCAAAATAACTATTTAACAATAATAAAAATTTAGAAATAACCTTCGACATGGTTTTCCCAGCCACGACCTAGAACATCTTCAATTCTTTTCATGTAATGAGTAAGCTTGCGATCAATTTGACGAATCCAAATAATGGACGCTGCAACCGGTGGAATATCGATTGATTTAAGGATTCTTGCATTATCAGTTTCAGAGAAGTTAGTGAATCTCGTCTGAAATGAAAAACTTAAACGACATGTTTACCAGTAATATATAGGAAAAAGAAGTTGGCTTGAAAATGGCCCTTAAGATTAGCTCTATAAATGAAGCAAATCGGCTATCAAGAAAAAAATATTTCCAAGAATTATTTATTTAAAAAACCTGTAGCTGATCGATGTCTTCCTTGACACGTTGTATAAGCTGCGTTTGATATTCACGAATGGCTCCACGAATATGAGGACGAACGAATAATGCGTTAAATCTTTGAAATATGGCGAACATATCATCAGCTTTTTTCGCCCCTCCTAACTGATCTCGAAGACGAGCGGTAATCTGTGTTTCCACGCGATCGATTTGGTCCTCATATCTATAGACAACAATATAAAATTATCGCAGAAATATCGACTGAATCCGCAAAAATTTGAAAAGTGCAATATTTCAATAAATAAATTTTTTCGTAATAGCAATCATAAAAAAAATTATTTCTGCAAGTACCTCCTTAAAGCAGCTTCCCATGCGGCCACACCATCATTACTCACATCAAGGCAATCCACCTCCTTAACATTTTCGTATGCCATATTTATTTGATCAATTGCACTAGAATCTCCAACATTTAAAGCTAGCATTTTCTCCGCATCACCCGCGCCAGCCGCATCATGAGACGGTTTATCTTCTGCATTGAGACCAGAGGGTCGTAAAACACGTGAAATAACAGTTCGTAGCTGTTCATGCTGGCTAGAAATATTTTCAGCATATAAAATCAAACATATTGAAGCATAAAATATTGCTTTGCAAAATAATCAAAAAAAAAATATACCGGCGAAACTGTCGCATTTGATCGAGTCGCGATTCTAGCTTTTTATGTTGCGGATTAATTCTCCACGTTAATTTTAATTGTTCATCACGTTTTTTTTTCGATAAATCTCGCATAAGTGTAGCAAGTTTATCATATTCATCATTCCATGTTGAAAAAACAGAAAAACACTGAGTCATTAACGCATCAAAATCCCCCAAAGGGATATTCATTAAACGTCGCGTTCCCAAAACCTTTAATGTTTTCATCTTGCTTGAAATTTACGCCAATTTATTTAATATAACTTTTATGTTGATAAATGTTAATTAAGGAAAACCTTCAGCATCTGCGTGAAAACATCCTTTGAAATGGCTTCAACAAAGCGTAGGGCACGTGCGATTGGATATTTTGTATTACGTAATTTTTTCATATGCGTAAAAATATTTATTAATGCATTACGAATGGCATCCATATGAGTAGCTGCCATAAGCTCATTTAAAGGGAGATCTTTCATTAAGATATTATAATCATTCACCATAGCCATGGCTTGTTTCAAACCTGATGACGTATTAAGATGGTTATACAAGCAGTGATTTATTTTTAATGAATTGTTTAGATCCAAATTAGCATAGGTGGCTATTACGGACCTATTTGTGCACCCCAAGTAAGCCCAACTTTAATATTAAGAATAGCCAGTTAAGCCATAAATGCCGAGTGAATCAATAAAAACTATTTTAATTAAAAACAAAAGAAAAATAACTCCAAGATGCTTTTCAGATTGTTTTTTCCATATTGGAAAAAATATTAACATTGAAAAAAAGAAAAAAAGAAAATTGAATCATTAAATTATTAAATCAAATCAAATAATTTACCATTTATTTAAATAGGAATAACTATTTACTCGGAACCCAGCATTTATATTTAAACTTGAATTTAACTGAAGATACCTGTATCTGCATCGAAAGAAACGGTAGCATGAAATCTTTTTCCACATTTTAAAGCTTCCAATGTTAATATTACTTCATCCGACTCTCTTTTCTGTGCAATTTTGTGTAAAGCGCGTTCTAGATTCAACCAGAATGTCATTTCTTGTAAAGAAGTACCGGAACCTGCATCTCTATCTAATTTTGTAACCTAAGAAAAGAACCAAAGATTACCTAATTCAAGAAATTTAAAGAAAAAATATTCCATTCGAAACCAACATTTTTTCTTCAATTTACCTTTTGGATTTCTTTCACCCATCGGTTGACACCTTTCTGTAAAGCATTCAAAAAGACTGAGCTTTCAACTAAATCACCCAAATCAGAAACACGAGCTTTTCGGCCTTGTTCAGCTGCTTGCTGAATTGTACTCTGTATAACGGGATTGATCGCCAAATTTATTTCAGGAATATCGATGTTTTGTTGCATATGCAGAAGGGCCACTTCAACCTGAAAAAAATAGGATTGTTTACGGAATTTTATCATATTAGTTATCAATCACATTTTCAATAAAAATATGCATAAAGAGAAAAAGATAATATATAATATAATGTAAAACTCATTGTTATATTGAAATTGAAACTTAAAAATCAGCTGGTAAAAGCGACCTCACTAAGATGTTTTTCCACCGATAATGCAAGTTTATCACCATCCCTTTCGCCTCTTCCATAATCAACCAATGATTTGAAAAGACGTGTACCAATTTTGCCAAAGATCGACAGCAAAACATCATAAGCATTATTTTCAGGAATCCTAGAAAATAAATTAGAAATTGAAAATTTCAAACCTCTATGCACTACTAAAGCACTTCTTAAAAAAGAAATCGCTGAAGATCATCAAAAAACTTCAATCAATTACAAGTGCAAATTAGAAATGTTAGCAACAAAAAAACTTCCATAAGAACTTCTTAAAATCAAATTAGAAAAAGAAAAATAAACGAAACCTCAAAGAATATAATTGATCTTCAACAGGTTTATCGGCCTCAATTATACTACCAGTTTTTAACAACAAAATTGAAGTCGTTCGTTCAGCACGCTTAACGATTTCATTTGATACTCGAAAAATTATACTAATCTCATCATTTGAATCATCTGGATTTGTATCTGAAAAATTTTCCATTAAAATCCAATTCACAGTTTCTTTTTTTTAATATTTCAATATTAAATTAATTAATATTTAATTAATATGAATAAATATTTCCTAAAAAATCGATATTAAAGAAAAAATATTAAAATAATTAAATGAATAAATTATTAAAAAAGTGGGAATTTCTGTGAATTTTTTTAAAATCTTGCATGAAGAAAAAATTGGTAAGTGACAATGATAAGAAATTTTTTAAAAAAACAAACCGCGAACAATAATACGGTCAATAATCAATATTAATATTTGTGGATCACTGATAAATTTTTGAAATGATTCAATTGATGAAGTTTGTTTAAGGAAATCTTCAAGTTGTTCATTTATTGCACCAACAAATATTTGCTTTATATAATTTATTAAAACTGATAAGTCAATTAATATTACCTAAAATTAATCTTTTTGTTTCAATTATTAATTCTAGTGATAAGACAAATGATTATATTATTATATTATATATGATTATATTAAAATATAATGGCAGTAAAATAATCACTGACAATAATGATAAACAGTCAACAATGATAATAATGATAATATTAATAAAAAATATATTAATAAATGAATAAAAGCAAACCTCATTCGGTGCTTGATTATTACTATTGATAACAGTTGATTTATCACTTTCCGAATCGGTCATATTTCACCCAAAATTTTAATTTTAATAGAAATTTCGAGAAAAAAGGATTTATTTGAAATAATAATTTAATAAATAATAATTTTGTATAATAATTTAAGATTTTTAATTAATATATTTAAAATAATAAACATAAATCACAAAATTAAAATAGTAATAAATAATATTTTCTAGAAAACATTCGACTAATGGAAGGAGAAATTCGAAAATACTGGAAGCAATTCTGCAGGAAAAAACACGAACCATCACTTTCTTCTTAAATCCTTTCATTCGCTGCTGCTGACTCATCCCCACATCTGACCCTTATTTTTCCTTCTCCCTTTCCTTCCCCCTACATTTCCCAAATCCACTGCCCTCCCCCCTTCTTTTCCCTTCCCCTCCCTCCCCTACAATTCAAACCGCCATCTCTCATACAAAACTGAAAGTGAATTGCACAAAGAAAAAACTGCCACACTCTAACGCTATATTAATTGCGAAGAGAATTAGAGAAATAGAGTTTTTTGGTTTTTCAAATGAAGAAGATTGACGAAATGCGGCCCGAATTTAACCGAATTTGTTAGAATGAGCTAAAGTATAGGAAAATATTTGGCTTAAAATAATGGGGAATTCTCCAGGAAATAAAATAATTTACATATTTCAAGATTTGCATGGATTTCCAACTTATTGTGCATGTTTTCCCATGCGCCAGTCGACATTTATTGCACTCTCTTCAAAATGCACCATTGGTCACATCCACTCACCTCAAAATGCACCAGTAGACACATCGATCCACTTCGAAATGCTCCAGTAGACATATTCACTCACCACAGATTGGATCTGAGACACATATTCTCCACAAGATGCGTCAATAGACAAATATAGTCATCAATCACAAAAGGTTTCGTCGTTAGTTCCACATTGTCGGAATGAATTTATAAATATTCATTGAAGATTGAAAATTCTTTGTCAACTATGTAAAAATCCATTCAACCTTTTCGATATTTTGATAAAAATATACCAAAATATACCAAAGAAAACCAAAAAGATGACCTTGCAGATTATGGTACTTTCTGGTGGCAATTTCATGGCCCTTGCAGATTATTTTATGGTACTTGCTGGTGCCAGTTTCACGGCCCTTGTAGATTACTTCGTAATGCTTAGAGCTGAATTTGTTGTATTTAACTGTTGTATTTAAGAAAGCAAGGGACATGCTTTTATGCATTATGGTACCATTTTATGCATTATGGTACCATTTAAATCGAGGAAGATTATAGTGCAATAATGGATAAAGGTGATTCGAATTGTTCCAAATATATCAAAAAAATTAAAAATATTTAATTTTCATTAAAAATTTTATAAAGAATTTTGACTGCGAAAAATGAGATGAATGCCGAATGAAAAATTCTTTTCGAACAGCTTCGCTGACGTTGCCCTTCAGCAATCAATCGGTGGATATTATTTTATTGTATTTTTTATAGTATATAATGTATAAATTTAGATTTTTTTCGATATTAGAAGAAATATATCGTTATGTTCGATTAATTTAAAATTTGGTCCATCTTCAACTGACATATTATTTTCCTGAAACGAAATCGCAGCACAATAAATGTATTGTTTCAATTTAGGTTAAGTTCGATTCAAATGTTTTCATCATATATCATAATTCCATCATATGTTCGATTCAAATTGCTATGGCAGGAAATTTTGTATTAAAGATAAAATCCAGACGGTTGCTCAGAATTTATTTATTCGTAGCTTTAAGTGACTATCTGGAGTGGCACCAACCTAGAGCCTTGCTGGTGCAGCCTAGCAAGCGAGAAAATTGAGTATCATAATCTAAAGATATTATTGCGTTTAGACGAATAATCCGACAATACATGGTTTCTAATTTTATGAATTCCAACTTATTTTTTTAGTCGAAGAAGAGTACTAAATCTCATTATTTTATTAAATTATCCAGTATCCAGTTTTAAGCGTTATTGCCTTCGAAGAACCAGTGTTGTAGTGATCCCTTTTAAAAACCCAGGTTCGGTGACGTTATAAATTATTGTCGTTTTAATGAAAGGGAAAATATCCTTACTTTTAATGAATCTAATAAAATTTGCTTCGTCAATGAATAACAGCGAAATCTGCATTGTCCAAAATAATAATCATTCGCATTAAATACACCGCCTTGGATCTTTAAATTGAACTTTATACCGATTATATTCGACTTAAAAAAATCTTAATTTTTTGGTGTTTTTCAATTCTCTTACTCTTGTATAGTTAAAATTCGCATGTGGTGCTGGGGATTTGTTTTTTCTTCCATCTCCGAATCACTCTCAAGCAAAGACGACTCGCTCTACCAGTTAGTGGAACCAGCTAAACCGAAAATGGAGTGAAGATGAAGAAGAAAATCGACTATTTAAATTTTTACGAATTACAAAAGAGTTCAAGTGGATTATACAATAATCTTGTTAGATTATTTGCCTTTATTACTAGTTAACCTCGCTCTGCTAGTTTCGCGAATCACTTAGCGGCAGAAGTAAGGTGAGTCGTCAGCTATTCAGCATATTTATTTGGGTTTTTGAAAGACAGGTTTACTCCTGCTGGTCTAAAATTTCAGCATCCGAACTGAGCAATAAGCCACTAAGTCATTCTATTCCCTTTTGTTTTGTTTTCGCTGTTCGATACTACCACACTAAGAAGTCGGCGTTGGTTGGATTCGAATCCGAGCTATTTCCGATTTTCGATGGCATTTAATTTTCTCACTAAAGCACTCGTTTGTTTTACGCTTTTGTGATTAATCCATGAGCTTTAAAGTCTCGTAAAGGCTTCAAATATGAAATGTTGCCATTTGCAAGTCTGATACGAAGCCTGATATACGAAGCGAAGCCTGAGTATATATACAAAGCCTGAGTTGTCGTTATTTGGTGCCACAGTCCATTATCGCTAACAGTTTTGCATTTACAGTATCAATTTTGGGATTACTCATTTTAACTAAATTTCTGTATTTTCCATTCATATGCATATATTCAATTTTTCTGTAAGAATCTTAAGCTAAAATGGATTAGATATAATAAGATCGTAATATCATAATCTCTTAACTTATTCGACTGCAAATTAATCGCACAGTAATATAGGGAGGCGAATAAGGTGTGCAGCATAAAAGCTCAAAATTAACTGAGAGCCAGTGCTTCCTCAGATAGGAGTAAGCCTATCATTAAAGAATACCACTGGTGCATGCTACTTCTATCATCAAGTGGCTTGCTGATAAAAATTTCTGATGAGTGAGTGATAAGCACTAACCACTTGTATAATTATAATTCGTTTCGTCTCGCTTCATTTTTATTATGATTTTTCAAAAAAACGTACCAAATAACCATCAGTTTTGATACATTCCACAGTATTTTTCACAGCACATTGGTATTCTCGTAAAGTTTCACTTGCATATTCAAAACAAAATATCGTTACAATAACATCAAATTTATTTATTTCATTATTATATTTTTTATCTTTATAATAATAAATTGATTCGAGTAAATTCTTCTTGAAAACATTCATCTGAATTTATCTGAGTTCTCGCAGAGGTCAATTTGTTCAATTCAGGTCAACCTAACGAATCTTTTTGAAAATCGAAGTACCATGTAAATCAAGTAAATCGAAGGTGCCACGACCTTTGAACCATCGAATTTCGATATCTTTAATCCGAAAATATTGAATATAATTATATAATGTTTACCTTAAAAATAGCCCTAATTTTTTCTCGCGCATTATTTTGAATGAATTTTGGTGATAAAAAAGAATTTTCGATATCAATAATCCATTGACAGACATTGTTCCAATCAAAATTCGATTTATCACAAACCCAATCACGTAAAGCTTTCAAATTTTTGATTGAAAAATCTGATGTATAGATGTGTTTAGCTTTTTTGCGAAATACTATTGGAACATAGACTGTTGGCCCTGCAAAAAAGTAAAATATTTTTTCATTTTAAACACGAAGAGGAAAAGTTTATTCACTTTGTTACTATTCTGAAGCGAGAAAGAAACCGAAAGTTTTTGCTCGGACTCAAATTACAATAAAATTTAGCACAGTTTAGGAATTGTTGAAATGTGACATAGCCGAACACATAGCCAGCTCTCTACGATTTTCTTCGATGCTTTTCGGAAGAGGAACGTTCTTTCTATTTCCCTTAGCGAAACGAAGGTCATAGTGGAAATTGACGAATAGGTGAAACGGACCACTACATATAATTTAATATGGAAAAATTGAACCAAAACTTGAAAAATATATATAAATAAAATATAAATAATATCGAAATATATAAATATATATATAATAATATATAATAAATATAATAAATATATATATAAAAATATAAATAATATCGAAAAATATCGAATAACAATATCGAAAAAATTGTTTTGTAAAATAATGTTAAGAATGTTATCATTAATATATATAATGATATCAATAATACTAATAATTAATTATATAAATAATAATTTATAATAATAATTAATAGTAAATACCAGGTAATCAATACAGATAACCAATAAAATATACCCGCTCCTAAATCCAGCACAGTTTCAACATTTTTCGGTATTCGATAAATAATACCAGGCAAAAAAAATAAAATAATGTGCATAGCGTCATCATCGAAAGCCGTTTTATAAAAACTTTTCAAATATTCATTCGGATCGAACTAAAATTATTATTCATTCCCAGCGGATCGAGCAGCTTGCAAATACCTTTTCAATCAGCACTTGGTACAAACAATTTCGAACCCTATCTGTACAAGCGCTGCAGTCTTGTTCATGACCACTTGTTTATTTTGACCATCAAGCCTTATATTGAAATACTTAATTTTTGTAAAAGTGGTGCAGAATTAAAAGCCCATTCATTCATATTTTTCTATTTTGCGAATTTTTATGAAAATAAAATTTTTTATAATAATAAAAAAATTGTTTGAAATTTTAAAATATCTTTATCTTTGAAATTATCTTTGAAAACTATCAAAGTATTCATTTGTTACTATACTGAGTTTTCGTTGATTATTCTTGTGATAACTTATCAACAGAAAATATAAATTTATCAAAAAAACAACCATATTTTGATGATCATTTGCGGAATATGTTTCGATTGTGTTTGGTAATGTCACTTCGTTCATTTCATCAAATTCATCTTGACTCGATGGCATTGTAATGATAATTTTTTCTTCAAATATTGGTTTAAAGAAATTCTGAAACTATTGTCATTTCTATAAATATTCCCAGGCAAGAAAAACGAAATAATTTATTTATGAGAAGAAACATGCATAGAAAATAAAATAATGAAAAAACAAAGACTGAAGTAGACAAGTAATTATAGGAGCACTAGGCTTCAAGCCTAAGCCTATTGAATTAGAGCGCCAAAAGCATGTGGTCTTTGAGGGAGCAAGAAGTTTGAAAGGCGTTTAAGGAGTCATAATGACATTCCTTGGAGGAAATCCCAGTATGTTATATTTTATTTTTTGCTATTGCATAGCAATACTTTCACGCATTTTTGCACTAGCGGTCACACGCTTTGCATATGATGCACAAATTAATTCAGTTAGAGTACTTAAAAAATTTTCGCAGAAGTTGTAAATTTATGGTTATTATAAAATATACACATTTTTCATATAGCGCTTTCTTTGCTGCTTAGGCTCCATTGGACCAGGCCATAAAATTTTGCTGTGAAGTCACTCGACGATAAACTGATTTGTGAGCAGATTCTCCTGCATGAATCCCAGCGCCTGCAGTCCGGAACGAGGGTACAATCCATTAAGCCATTGCCCTTTTTGCTTCCGTCATCAATATGCTATCCAAAGCGTTGTGCATCGGCCGGATTGCAACTCCACAATTCTTGAACGTTGACAAGCATCTTGCAACGTAGCCAAAGCCACCGACCTCTATTTTTAATGAATAAGGTTAACTTACTTTTATTGTTAGCAAGAAAAAGGCAAATGCAAGCGCAAATAAGATTCAAAACCAGTCTGATTAATAATAATTCCTTAAATGAAATTTTCCTGAATTTTTTTTCCCTTTTTAGTATTTTTCAAAATTATTTCCTATTTGCTGGATGAAAATGCAATCATTCATGAAAATAATATTATTAGTAATAATTAATAACAATAATAATATTAATAATAATAATATCAATAAATAATTATAGTAACAGCAATAATAATAATAGCGATAATAATACTATTAATAATAATAATAAGTTGTAAAATTAAAAAAATAGGAAATATTATTGATTTCACATTTTTATTTATTACAAAGTGGACGATAATCAATGGAAAGGAGATGCGATTTTATACGTCTACTTTAAACTTTCCGTTTACTTTAAATATTTGTTTTACTTTTCTAAAATATTCTATAAAATATTTATTTTTGAGAAATTTTATGTGAATAACGATAATTATTCAATTATAAAGAATTTTAAAATTTTTCATCGAAATCGCTTTCGATTTTAATTTCGTAAATTTGCCAGAATCTATTCTCTTTCTCCATTTATAATTCGGTTTGCTTCAATAGCTACCAAAATAAGAAAGCATGATGGAAGTACTGTACACAGGCCCACCCAGATTTTGCTCACCATCCACAGATCCACCCAGATTTTGCTCACCATCCACAGATCCACCCAGATTTTGCTCACCGTCCACAGTTCTATCCAAATTTTACTTTTATTGAGAGGCTTCAAAGAGAAGGGCTTAACGATAATACTGAGATATTAGTTCAACGATTCTATTAAAGAATTAATTATTTTAAATGAATTTTGGCAAATCACTAAATCACCCCTGAGTATCGTTCAAGAATCATTTAGAATCCAAAGAGCAATCTTCTCCTTTAATTTACCCATAAACCTAACGAATAAATGAAAGGCTAAATGAAATGAAATGAATAAATGAAAATCCTTTGATAGACCATGAAAATGGAAAATATGCAAGCGCTGTGATTTTGGTGTAATCTTTATCGCACTAATGAATTTCGCTATTTATACAGGTCTATCAGATTTGTTTGGAAAGAGTTATCGATTTTGAGATATACCTTTGAAATATTTTGAGATATACCTAGGACCGTCTTTTGCCCGCCTGCATCCAGAACGAGAAGTCTAAGAGCAACTGATCTGTAGATATGAATAATCAAATACTTCGAAACGATACTTTTCTACTAAAATTTCTTTAAGTAGGGCTTAAATAAGTAAAAGATTGGATTGTTGGTTGTTTTGATTGAAATTAAGCATTACAGGTTCAATTCCTGGCTCTTTTTGAGAGCAAAGTTTTTATTAAAATTTTCAAGTAGTGCTGGATACCTTCCGTCTCAAAGTGATTCTCTGGTGAAGAGGTCTGCCTTATCGTAATAACCTGTGGAACCAGCCAAATGGAAATGGTTAAAAGAAGAATAGTCATAGTTCAACTGGCCTAAAAACAAATTTTCCTTGCGGTTCTCTGCGCAATCACACAATTTGCCCTTTTCTTCTCAAACAATAGAATTTCAAACGATTAACATTGCAGAAAACCTCTTCAACATTGTTTTTTGAGTGTTTTAACATGTCATTTCTTCTCTTTATTGTCTTTACACATTTCTTGCTCCTTTACACATCTTGAGAGTTATTGGCTGATACGTTCACAGTTATCATTTCTCTTCCACCTCTCGGGAATTTCCCGGCAAAGATAATGGAAACAGTTGTCTCGAGAAACTGGGAAATCCACTGGATTATAAGATACTGAAGTGTTCCAAAATTCTCCAACGCATTATATAAAGTTCCTTTCATAGAATGTAGTGATAAAGTAACACTGTAAAAACAATGTAAATTAATGCCATAAAGATAATGTGCTATATTGCAGAAAGGTAAAAAAACAATAATGTGCATAATTCTCTTTGATATTTCATGCCTGGGGAAATACTCGCCAATTGCCCTCCGATTAGTGAATTTTTCGTCACCATCTAAAATTTCATTAATTTTAATTAGCTTAAAACACATCGGATTTTCCGAAATCCGGGAAAACGAGTCACAGGAAAGACACAGTCGGCAGTATTATTACTGTTATAGATATTATACTTTGTTAATATTTTTAATTGATCTTTAACTGATTATTATTATCTTATCAGTTCCATCTAGCCGTCGATATCAATATGATTTCTTTTGTTTGCGAGAATATAGCGCCGAAGTAATTTTAGCTCATTCCATGTTTGTCTTTAACCCATACAAGTTCCTTGTCATTGTTCTTCCGTAATTATTATTGGTATCAATTACAATTATAACTTTTATTTCCTTTTAAAGCATTATCTCTTAAAGCGAAAGTTTTTTTACGGTAAGATCAATTGCAATAGAATTAATTTCATTAATTGTTAAATTTAAAAATTCTTCTCTTTCAATTTAATTTTTGTACTTACTTACTTTCGTACTTATTTACTTTCTTTGCCACAATTCCTTATTATTTGATAATTGATTTTCAGATATTTTTTTCAGTTAGCGAAAAAATTTGATGAAAGAGGTCGAATTTTTCGATAATAAAGAATGAGCACAGGAGTTTTGTCGTTTGTTAAGGGTGTCGATTTCTCTTGGAACGATTTTTCGGTTTGTTCCTTTTTTTGTTCTATCCTTTATCCTTTTATCCTTCGTCCTTATTCTTTTTTTGTCGGGATATTTTCAGGACTTTTTTGCAAATTTCTTTTGAAAAGTCGCATTCAAAAACATTTTATCTTTTATAAAACGGATAAGCTAAACGAGTTTTCTGGAAAAAGGAAATTTATTTCGGAAGTTTTTATTACAGATGTTTTTTCAGGGTGATCGTTTTCCAAGTGTCGTTTCTGAAATGACTCAGATGACTTGGCTTAAATTAAATCATGCGTCATTGGAAAGGGTAATTCATTTTTTATTAGTAATCAATAAAACTTTTATAAAAGAGCCTACTTAAAGAGTTTGGCAGTAACTGTGGCAAAAAATCGTATTTCTATTCCGTTTACGTTTCCTTAGAAAAAAAGTGAATTTTTCGTCTGGATGCCTATATTTGCAGACCTTGAGTTCAAATATGATAGAGCTTGGCTGATTCGTTCTGCGCCAAAAAATCTAGCATAGTAGGAAAAGGCTATTAATTGTTTTGTCTATTATAGTAAAAGAGCTTTAAATCCGAAATAGATAATTAATTGAGGAATGTTATTGTCATTCTTAGGGCTATCAATTAAATTACTTGAAGTCTTTAACTGAATATAATAAGAGGTGATTTTGGAGCTTTCATGAAAGAACATAAAGAAAAAAATCTTTTTTTAGGTTCCTGATGAATTATCTCGGCTTACAAATTTGGAACATCTTCAGTTATCTCGGAATAGTTTAACAAGCGTTCATGGTGAATTATCTGATTTGCCACGTTTGCGATCAGTAATCGTTCGTCATAATAATGTATTCTTTTTATGATTTGAAATAAATAATATTTTTTATCGAAAACTTTCAAATTTCTAGCCTCTAATTTGACTGTGTTATGGATATTTCTAGACATTGTTATAAGGGCATTGTTAATTTTACTAATAATGAATATACTTTTTAAGATCAAAACATCGGGTATACCAACAGATATATTTCGAATGAAGGATTTAACAATAATCGATTTCAGCCATAATTTATTGCGTGAAGTTCCACCAAATCTTGAATACGCCAAATGCGCTATTGTTCTGAATTTAAGTTTTAATAATATTGAAAATATTCCTAATGCAGTTAGTTTTTTTTGGTTAAAATTTTATATTTTAAATCTAAAATCGTTAGCGAAATAATTGGTGAGGTTTCATTTTTAGTGGCTAAGTAAATCTGTATAAAAATCTTGGATTAGAAAAATATTACTCCTATTGAAAAGAATCACTTGAACTTTTTTTCTTTTAAAATTTTTTATCTTTATCGTATACTTATTATTCAATTGTTTTCAGGTTTTTTCTAATCTAATTGATTTGTTATATTTGGATCTTAGTAATAATAAATTGGACGTTTTACCTCCACAAATCAGGCGATTAACTACTTTGCAAGTGATACGATTGTCAAATAATCCTCTTAGTCATTTTCAACTCAAACAGCTACCTAGGTATTTAAATTTACAGCACATAATATAAATTTATGAATTGTACTTCTTTTTTCTTCTTCTAATACCATATACATTTTTGATTTGATTGGCTACATCGACTTGTAGACTTCATTTCCAGGTTTTTCGGTTTAATTTCAAATCTGAAATCTAAACTATTTCTATTTCTTTTTCAACCGTCTCAATATATTTCAATACGTGCAAAATTAATTTTCGTTATTATTTATTTGTTTTTCTTGCTTTCCATCAGCATTTCATTTAATTATTTTCAGCATGAAATCATTACGTGTATTGCATATGAGAAATACTCACCGAACATTGGAAAATATTCCTCCAACATTGGATGATTTGGATAATTTACAAGTTCATCAATTTTAAATAAATAATTTTAATATTTTTACTTCAAATTTTTTGATTTATGGAAATATATAATTGTTTTATTTTTTAACTGGCAATTATATCGATTTTTAGGATATCGATTTCTCTTATAATGACCTGCCTGAAGTACCAGATTGTCTTTATAAATTGAAAAATCTTCGCAAATTAGATCTATCTCACAATAAGGTAAATAAAAATTTATAGGTTATTATATGGATTTCCAATTCTCTTCCATCATTAATATTTTTTATAATAACCTTTTTCATCCTTCATTCTTGCTGTTACCGAAATTATTGCGTGAAATTATTGATTGCCTCTCTCGGCTGGACTAAAATTCGATTTTTCGATTCATTCAAATGTTTGCTTTTTGCTTTGCTTTATCTGTGAAAAGAAAAATTCAAAATTAATATTGTTGCGAACTGAAATTATTGGATTTTATTACATTATTTTTTAAGTATAGTATTAAATTATTTTTTTCAGATTGAAAAAATAAACTTTGATGGAGCATTATGCGATCAACTTGAAACTTTAAATTTATCATCTAATTTATTAACATCTTTACCTGAGCATCTTACTCGTTTGATCAAGCTGCAGAAACTCTATGCTAGCGATAATCAATTAACTTTTGATGGTTTATTTGTTTGTTTGCTTCCTAAGCTTTTGTATTTTATGGTCCAGATTTGTCGTTATAACTCCATTTTCAAATTTATAAAAGTTTTTGAATTTTTTTAAAAATTTTCTATTTTCTATAAAAGTACAGCTTCTTTGCACAGGGTTCGTCTAAAGATCACAAAAACATCAAAGTCAAAAATTAGTTTGGCTCAGCCGGTGATCGAAACTGGAACCTCTCGTACCCAAACATTTTCGAAATTTCAGGATTTCCGAGTGGAATAGGTAAACTTGTGCAATTGCAAGCCCTGTATTTATCTTTTAATAAACTTGAGCTTATTCCTGAAGGTATTAGCAGATGTGTTCGACTTCAGCGTTTAAAACTTGATAACAACAGACTTATTACTTTACCCGATTCTATACATCTTCTTCCAGATCTCAAAGAACTTGATTTACATAAGTGATTTTTTATTTCTTTATCTTTTTTATTTCACCTATTGCTTTTTTATGATTTAACCAGTATTTTTTTTAAATTTTGCAGTAATGATGAATTAATAATGCCTCCGAAACCATCTGAAAATAAGGCACTCGCTTTTTATAATATTGATTTCTCTCTGGCAAATCAGGTAAATTTATTTATAATCTGTTAAAGTATAGGATTTCTACCCTTAATTTGTCAAAAACCCCATTCAAATTATCAACGGGTATCGACCATGTATATGCGGTAAATTTGTTCTATTTGAATTTCCTTTAAATTATTAGCAATTTTGATGAGTCTATTATTGGATTAAGATATTTTTTCGGGAAGTTAAGCCATATTTTAATTTTATTTTCCCTTTTTGTATTATTGAAATCCCTTAAGCTTTTAATTTATTTTTACTAGGATTTTTTTTCTTTATATCTCATTCTAAATGTTTTTTGTCTACAGTACTTTATATCACTTACTTTTAGATGAAACTTGCTGGTCAAAGTCCATCATCATCTGTAAGTTCTATTTTAAGTTCTCCAGTGCCTAAAGATCCTTTTACCAGAAAAAAAGAATTCTTGAGAAGAAGGCGAATGCAAGCGGACAGTCAAGATGCAAATAAAGTTATCGAGGTACTTTCTTCGCAAATAAAAAATTTGTCAATGCGAATAATTCATTATTATTTATTTTACAGATTTTTATAAATTTTTATCAACCACTTATTCTTGCAAAATTTAATCCTTATTTACAATGTTACAGAAGGCATGTTCATATATCACATATATTCAGGGTATGTCACACGTCGCTGGTGCAAGGGAACAGCTTGAAGATGAATCTGAGTTGTCGAATGTGCGGGCTCTATCGTGGAAAGTTAGCATTAGATATGTGTTGTGTTTATAGACTACTTTATTTGAGCATTATTTCTTGACTGAGTTGAGTTTTGATTTCATATTTTTGCCACGTTTGTGAAATTTATGGTATCGATATTCTCAGTACCACTCAGATTTCATTTCAGTTTGCCACATGTTTTGTTTCTTCAAAAAATGAAATCAAACTTATGCTAATCGATGATATGGAAAATTGACGATATCTTAGAAAATTGATGATATAGTTTGAAACTAATTAAGGATAAAGTGGATCAAAAAAAGCCTCTTATCGATTATAGCGATATTTTTGATGAAGATGTTGGTCAAGAAGAAGGCATGTGGATTTGGGAGATTGAAAATTTCTATCCCAATATAATGGATCCTTCATTTCATGGGCAGTTTTATGAAGCAGATGCTTATCTTATACTACATACAATTAAAGTGAGATAGATTGGTTTTTGCTAAATATATATTTATATTTTCTTATATATCCTCGAATTTGTTTATTTAAGATAGTTTAATCATTGTTGAAAATTTTAACCTTATTGGTATTAATATATTACTTTTTCTAAGCTTCTTTTATTACACATATTTAAGAAACTGAGAAGATTTGATCACAATTTATGTAAATTTCAAATTTTTTTAGGATGATGGTGGTTCATTAAAACATGCAATTTTTTACTGGATTGGAGATCATACAACATTAGATAAAGGCATGTGTGCAGCGGTGCACGCAGTAAATCTGAGGAATCATTTAGGTGCCTCATGCAGGTTTACCTTTTGTTATAGTTTTTTTATTATTTTATTATTTTAAGATGATGATTTTAATTGAACTAAATGCATATCACCAAAGAAAGAAATCGAGAGATGGGATTTTTTTATTATTAAATGCATAAAAGGTTTTGTTTATTTCCTACTTGTTTAATTGTTTATTCCCTATTGTTTGTTTTTAACTGTTAAGGACAAATCGTGAAGAAATGAATGATGAATCGGATGAATTTCTTGAATTATTTGATGATGAAATCACATACATTGAAGGTGCTAGGACGTCATCAGGTTTTTATACTGTTGAAAAACCAGCGCATCTTACAAGGTTGTTATTTTCACTTTATCATTTTTTCTAATCAAAATTTTATCAAATATTAATTTTTTTAAACAACCATTTTCCAGCCATTTTTAAGTCTAAAATATCTAAAATATTTTTAATATTAATATAAATAATTCAATATTTTCTTGAGTTTGAAGATCCAGATGAAAAGTTATTTCAGTAAATGAATTTGAATAAGCCTCTTCTTTTCAAATTCTATTTGATTGTTTAATTTCTAAGTTATTCAATACAATATAATCGTTATTTGATAATAAAAAATTTTTCAGGTTGTATCGAGCAGGTGTTTGTGGAAATTCGATTGAAATGGAACCGTTACCTTTATCTGCTGAAAGTCTCGATCCTCGTTTTGTATTTCTTTTAGATACTGGTAAAACAATATGGATTTGGACTGGAAGAAAGGCAAGGGTAAAAGTTAAAATTATAGGCAGCGATTAGTTAATGTACTGGAGTTAGATTCTATGCATAAAATTTTTTAGAATTAATTTTAGTTATAACTTTGAGAGGCTTTGTTTATTTATTGCAGATAACTGTTTCAAACAAGGCACGGTTATTTGCGGTGAAAATTAATAAGCATGATCGAAAAGGAGTATCAGAAATCGAAACATGCAACGAGTTAAAAACTCCACCTGAATTTTGGATGGCCCTTACTGGTAAATTTTAATTTATGCAGCACCAAGTGACCATCTTCCTAATAGTAGGACTTGCTATATGAAAAGTGGTGCTGTAATATTTTCAAATATTCTAAATTACCGATTTTTTTCGTTGTCTACGACAATTTAATAGTTTTTTTTGATGTTGAGGATTTAGCTTAAAAAAGTTATTCCAGTAAATGAGTTTGATTGAATAAGCCTCTTTAAATTTTGTTTGATTGAGTTTTTAAGTTATTTAATCATTATAAACACCACACCAAATAACAATATTACCGAACAATATTAACGGTATTACCGAAATATTAAATATATACTTAAATATATACTTTTTTAAATATTTTTTTAACGCACCACATATTTTTAGAATTAGAAAATTACAATTTAATTTTACTTAACCTTGAGGATATGATAAAAAACCAAGTGAACCAATAGTGGAGCATCTCTCTGAAGATTTTGGACCTCAAAGAAAGCGATTATACCAGGTGCAAATTGGAATGGGATTTTTGGAGCTTCCTCAGATCGAATTAAAACATAATATTTTGAAACAGGTTGTCGAATTGAACATAAAAAATTGCTGGATTTTTTTCAGTGAAATAATGCAAAATCGTATGACATTTGGATATCTAATTTTTTTAAGTTTGTATATTTTTCGAATATTTTGCAGGAAATGCTCAATACAAAATGCGCATATATTCTTGATTGCACTTCAGATATATTCTTGTGGCTTGGTAAGAAAGCTAATCGCTTATTGAAAATGGCTGGTCAAGTATGAATTAAATTGAAATTTAGATTTAAATGGATTTTTTGGCTTCATTTCTCATTTAATTAAATTTCACTTATATCTTTTTTGGTTGTGATTTCCAGAAAATGGTTGCTGAACTACACAATATGTTAGAAAGACCTGATTACAGTACTATTTTTCGTGAAACAGAGGGTGAAGAATCAACAATGTTTAGGTCTCTTTGCAGGATTTCTTTTAAACGTTTAATTGCATTTTGTTTCATTTCTTAAATTTTATGAATTTATTCTTTTATTTCATTTTTAGATCAAAGTTCCAAGGATGGGATGATATAGTGCCGTTTGATTTCACTCGTACAGCGGACAGTGTTCAGCGGCGCGGTGCAGATATCAAGGTTTTTTGCGGAAAATTCATTTTTTTATTGCGAAAATTCATTTTTTTTTTTTATTGTCACTACAGCCGATCACCTCATAATTTCTTCATTTTCCCAATTTTCTGTTATTTCCCATCTCTTGATTTGATTTTAGCATGGAAATTCGACATAATAAATATAAACAAACGTTAATCTTTGCGTGGGAAAAATAGAAACTTTATAAATTTCATTTCAAGACTGTTTGAATTTTTTAAATTTTTGAATTTAAATTTCGAAACCTTGGCATTTTATTTTTTCTTAGATAATCATGGAGCGCGATAAGATAAAAACTGATCTTTCACCACTGTTTTTGCCTCGTCAACCAGCCATGAGTGACGAAGACGCTGAACAAATGATGACTGAATGCAATGAAGATCTTGAACTTTTAGAACCGTTTGTTCTGGTAAATTTTTAAGTTAAGATATTTTAACCATAATTTCTACTCTGATACCTTGTTTTATTGTGTGTTCTTTAATTTTAGGAAAGTAAAAAATTTGTTAAACTTCCTCCTGAAGAATGGGGCATATTTTATACAATGGATTGTTATGTTTTCCTTTGTCGATATGAAGTGTTTCCCGAAGATTTCGTTGACCATGATGAAGAAGTTGTCGATGATGAAGAAGGTGATGGTGATCTTTTAGAAAATAAGGTATTAACCGAAAATTACTCATTTTCATAATAAATTCATAATTCGAAGAAATCAGTATGGTCTAAAAATTCTTCGATGTTTTTAAAGCTATTTTTATCTTTCACAGCTATGATTATTTATTATAAATCTTATTATAATATTATCTTATATATTATTATAAATCTTTTCAGCCGAAATCCGAACAGGATAAGCAAGAGGATTTCAAATGTGTCGTTTATTTCTGGCAGGGTCGTGATGCTAATAATATGGGGTGGTTACACTTTACTTTCAGCTTACAGGCTAGATTTCTTAATAATTTATAATTTATAATTTTATAATTAATTATTATATAATTATTATTATATAATTTTATAATTAATTAGAAAAATTATAATTTTATAATTCATAATTTTTCTAAACTTGCTTGTTCAATTTTTGCATTCACATGTTTAATTTTATCTGAAAAAAAAGTAAAAATTTTCAGAAAAAATTCGAGAAACTTTTCAAAGATAAACTTGAAGTAGTCCGAATGTATCAGCAACAAGAAAATCATAAATTTCTTTCTCATTTTCATAAGAAATTCGTAATTCGGAGGGGTCGGCGTGGTCTGAGTTTGAATCTTGGTGGTAATTTTTTTATTTTATCTTTATTTTCATGTTTAATGAATTCAACCAATTATTCTCGAAATCATTAAACTTCGCTATTCGTTTATTGTATTTCACTTTAGCTTCAAATATTTCAATTAATCAAAAAGTAAATCATAATTATTTCAAGGTCATTGGCCAGAACTCTTTCATATGCGTGCCAACGGTTCGGCTGTATGTACGCGTACTATACAAATTGATTGCAATGCAAACCAGTTAAATTCAGCTTTTTGCTATATTTTACGCATACCTTTTCGTATGGCCGATGAAAACGGTGTTAAAGGCTGGATTTATATTTGGTTGGGTAATAAAAGTAATCCCAATCAGCATAAGTTATGTGAACAGGTAATCTTTATTGTCATCTTAAATTTTCATTTTTTTCGAAAATTTTGGTTACATTCTAGTGTTTATTTAAGATTTCTTTATTTTTGGAGTTTTTATTTAATATATTTAATATTTTTAAAAAATTTTAAGATTGAAATTCAGCATTAAAATTATTTCACTGTTGCATCACTAAATGATGATAATAAATTTTTAATAAAAATTCGTTTTTTAGATAGCGAGAGAACTTATTAATAAGGCAAATGAATTTCCCATAAAAATTATCAAGGAAGGTGAAGAAGATATAGTGTTTTGGGAGAGTCTTGGCGGTAAAAAGAAATATGAGACAAATGGTGATTTTTTGAATTTCACTAGATTATTCAGATGTACGAATGAAAAAGGATATTTTGCTGTTTCCGAAAAAACAGTCGATTTCTGTCAGGTATTTTCTTCACTTCATTAGTCCCTTATTTCGAGTTTTGTAATATTTAGTTATTTTATTTCATAAACTAAAAATTTTTTAATTAAATAAATAACAAGTGAATTTCCTCATGGTTTAGGACGATTTGGATGACGATGATATTATGATTCTGGATAATGGTGATTTAGTGTTTCTTTGGTTAGGTTTTCACGCAAGTGATGTGGAACTAAAATTGGCTTATAAAGCTGCCCAAGTGGGCCATTTTTTCTTTGAATTTTTATTCTGGAAATACCTCGTTTTTTCCATGTCAGCACGCTATTTCTTGCAGTCTATTTTATTTTTTAGCTGTATTTAGCCAATGTTTTTTCATTGTAGGTATATATTGCCCATTTACGAACGAAACCAAATGAAAAACAAAGGAAGCTTGTACTCAGTCTCAAAGGAAAGGAATCTCGACGATTCACCAAATGTTTCCATGCATGGAGTAAGCATAAAATACCAGCTGGTGATGAAGCTTTTTCCTGATTTTCTTGATTTTAAATTTCATATATTCTTTTTTCTTAGTAATGTTAGACCATTCGACATCGTCATAACTTTAAAATTGATCGTGCAAAATTGTCTCTTATTACTTAATTCATATTAGTTGTTATGAAATTTTATTTTTCATTTTTTGCTCAATTTTACAAACCAACGTTAATTTTTAATTCACCTTAACATTTCTTTTATTTTATAGTAAATATTGCTTATCTGTTATTTTAAATTCTTATTGCTCAAGAAAATGATTTTAAGCCAATTTTTAATTTTGTGAATTTATATCGTTTTGTTTGTAACGATTTTGGATTTAAATTTTTCGCAGCTGAGCATTAAGCTTTTATTATCTCTAATTAGCAGATAGGTGCTCTTCGTATTGTTATTTTCTGTGATAATCTAAGCTTTAGAAAATATTCTTGTTTGCTTCATAAGGACAAGCATTTGCATTGATACAATTTAATTAAATTAAAGAAAAAAAAGAAATAGAGAAAATTTTATAATTTTTGGTTCTAGAATTAATGCGATCATAAATATCACTAAAATAGATACGAAGTCAAAGTCTTAAATAGTTATCAAAGTCAAAGTCTTAAATAGTTTAGAAAGAACGATTAAATTATTTTCTATTTTCTAAATTCCAAAAGTATTTTCTATTTTAAATTTCTAAAATTTTAAAAATTTCTGCAAAAATTGCCGCATCAACAAATATGTAATTATAGCCGCTACTACGCGAAAGGGCGAACACAAAAAAAAAGTAAATTAAATTTCTCAAATAAGTGCAGAAAATCAGCATACTAATCTTAAATTCCACTTTTTTTTTTATGCCCATAAAAAACAAATTTAGCACATAAATCTCACATCTATTCAAACATAAACAAATAACTATAGTTTTTATTATACACATCTGTTAATTATGCGCTGCATACTGTCCACACAAAATGTTTTTTTTCATTAATAGAAATAATATATATATATATATATATGTGCGTATGAAACAGATCAGTTTGGAACTTGCTTGTATTTTTAAAGTATTCTTTGAGCTTGCTTATGTGTAATACATTCTTTCGTTTTTAGTTATATATGGGAAACTAAGCTTTTTTTTGTTTTATTTCATTCGTTCTTTAATTTTTCTCTTAAACTTTATTGTTTATAAATTTATAATAAAGATAAGAAATTTCTAGCCTGCTTGGATAAAAACAGCAAGCCATTACACCAACAACTGTGAATCGCATCCCTTCCGTTTGAAGTTTTTGGCCTGTTCAACCTCATATACTAAATCTCGCCGATTCCTTCCCAATAACCTCAGTCCTCCACAACAGCTATAGCCTACCAAGCTACAATTAACCAGCTTTTTTTACAGGAAGCAGCCGTTGTTGAACTCATTTTCGATTAATCTCATCCGTGCAGTTTCGTCTTATTATGCGAATGTTAGGAGTTCTTTTTTTTCCGGTTACGAATTAACCGACTGTTTGCTAAGAATCTATGAATCTAAAATTCTAAAAAATCACAAACCTGCTGGATCGCATATTTATTTATACTAACCATTTCCTAATTTGATAATCGTTTTCGTAATGTTACATTCAGCTTGAGAAGAATACTTTCGTAATTTTTTTTTTTTTAAGAGCACTCACCATAACTGGTTAAACTCGCTCCACTGGCTCGTCGCATTGGGCAATGCTAGAGTGTCCCTTGGCGATAGAAATACAGGTGAGTCGCCAGTATCACACGGATTTTTGTACAACTTACTCTTGCAGGGAATCGAACCTCAGTATCGGCGTTCCCAGTTGAGCAACAACCCACTGAGCTACCTTCGTAATTATTTAAAAATGAACTCGAAAGATAATATTGCATTTAGGGAAAGGGTTTAAGGCAAAATTAAAAGGTTAAAAATTTATAGGTCTTCATAATATTTTCTTCAAATATAATTATTATTAATTACTTTTTCAGAAAATTATAAGAAATCCTCAGTTATATGTAAGTGAGTGTTTGGCAAATTAAACTGAGAAACTGAGAAATACAATACGATAAATAAGGCTTTCCCAACCTTTTCCTTTTTTTTTCTCTTTCTCGCTGGGCGCCCATTAAAAAATATATTTTTCAATCGAACCGTAAAAAATTTTCGTTTTTATATGAAACTTCAAAAAAAGCACGATTATCTGACTCATCCATCCATTGATATTCCATCCTTTTCATATCGACCATATTGCAAATACATCTTTTCTAGTTTAGTTGGCTGTATTCCATATTTAGATGATCATTTTCCGCCAGAGAAGGGAAGCAGAGACAAGTGTTCAGCTGATTTCATGAAGAATGAGGGATTTACTCCCTTCAATAGATAGGAAGAAAGGAAATGAATTCATTCGAATGGAGTTGCTTATTCCGCTTCCCCTTAATATGACCCACAGTTTCCTAGTTATTCTATCATCTTAAGAACTTTAAATGATTCAATATATTTCGCTTATTTGCCATATATGAATGTTTGTCATATCCGTATTACGAAAGCAGCAAATAAAAGTTCCACTGGAAGCGAAATTAGTTCGGGTCCTCCACAGCTAAACGAATTTTGTTTCACGACGATCGGGCAAAGTTTTGCTTATTTTCCATTTTCATTTTTATTTTCCGTTTCATTTTTCCCAGAGCTTGATTGCGAGGATGTTTCAGAAGAAATTAAAAGAATGTAAGGATTCTAACCGATTAAAAGGGATTTCGGGACGATGAGAAGATAAGAGGTGTTTTCCGCTCTTGTTTTCGTCCAAATTGTTGTTTGTTTGATATTACATTTTGTGCTAAATATTACATCTCATAGTCGAATAGCATTTTCAATGATAACGTTCACTTCTGTCGAAAGGAAGATTACGGCCAAACCATTATGCATGAATTGATAATAATTTCTCAAAAAGGGCTCTTCTAGTTTAAGCTGAATTGTTTCATATTAAAAATTCTGTCAGAGTGTTAGAATGTTTCCCAGTTTTCAAAATTTTCCAAAAGCTTTTCCCTAAATTCTTTTCCACTTATTTGAAAATTTTTTAATAATTTAGCAAATAAATATTTTTTCAATTTTTTTCTTGCAATCATCAAATTTTTTTGTTATCGATGAATCTTGGAATTTTCGTTGATTTTTTCATAGTATTTTTATTTATTGTATTCAGCTTTCATCTGAATTTTCTGTATGCCTTGAAATCTTTCGAAATTAGTAAATGTAAGTGGAATTAAAGCCATTTTCTCATGTTCAAATTTTTAATTAAGAAATAGTGGATTAACATTCCACGTTTCTCGTTTTAAGGTTTGCTCCATTGATTGATGGAAGAATGAAACAATCGTCAGTTAGCAATTTAAGAGAGGTTGTGGTCATACGACTAGCAGAGATTATCGTGTTGAAAGTCAGTGGTTTCTAAGTCTGACCTGTCATAAACCTGTCATACCGTTTATAATTCTATAGTTAATCTTACAAAAATTCCTAGCTGTACTAATAGCCAGTGGAGCTAGCGTAAGAGAAATGGTGACTGCCATTATACTTATCACCATTCACCTTCTTCTAATAACAAGCACTAAAATTGTTAAAATTGTTTATAAGGAATATCAGTCATTTGTTCGAAGATGTATGCACGATTCGAAATTATTTATCATAATTATGATTTGATTATTATTATTATTAATTATTATTATTACTATAGATTTCTGGCAATCGAGAAATACGATTTCTCTCACATTTCACACAAATTCTTCCATTAATTATTGTCGTATTTAAAAATAATTTTTAAGATATTTCAAAATATTTTAAATTAACTTTATTTCTTTCACTTAAAAAATAAATCTTTTGTTTTTTTCAAGCGGCAATAAGTATAAAAAGAGAAAACAATCAGTAAAAAGAATATCATCCATAGAATCCTCCACTCATCGGTAATGATCGAAGGTTTACGCGATTATTTGATCGTAATGTTCGTTTAAAATTTTCATCATATATTGCACTATCTAAAAAAGAAAAAAGAAAGTTTAAAAAATAAAGAATTTTTTTAAACCAATAAATAAAATTTAATCCTAGAAAAATTATTTACTAAGAGTTTGTGGTTATCAGTGATTATCATTCATGCATGATAAATGCATGACAAATGATAAATGATACTCTAGATTAGGCAAAAATTAAATTTCTCAGAGATCGTTTATTAAAATCGTTTTCTTATTTGAGAAATATGAAGATTATTTTGGAAAAGAAAGGTAATAAAGGTATATAAGGCATATAAGATAAAAGATAAAGAAATTAATGGAACATGGAAATCAATGGAATGAAAAATCCTTATATTCATAAATTCATAATACGATAATTAAAATATTATTAATTAATAATAGCTATAAAATTAATTAATAATAATTATTAATAGTTTTCATTTCGATTTTCAATCTATCCATTAGAAATTTATTAATATTACATAAATAACCAAGAAGGTTGGGGAGGAATGAAAGAGAGACGAACAAGGAGACGAATATCTTAAAGGGCTTTAAGAATAATAAAGAATTGAAGGAGCAGAGAGTATCTAACTTTATGCACTGAATCAAACAAGGATTTGCTTCGAGAATTTCAAGAAAAAAAGGTGAATTCGATTCTCGTTAAATACATATTTTATGATCTGAGTTGAGTTAACTGCTTTTTATATAAATTATAAATATTATTTTTTTTAACAACTTGATTCAGTAATTAAATGAATTTTAAATTTTTTCTTACCGTATATATCATCGAAATCATCGTATAACATAGCACGTTTTCCATAAAATCCACCGGAAAATGGAATCATTTGACTCTTTTTCGATCCAAATGAATCCGCTTTCCTTTTACCGTATAAGCCACCAGAAAATGGTACATGCACTGCAATATATCATTTTTGGCTTGGCTCGTCCTATTAGCTATTAAAGGAAAATTTTTTTGCCAAAAATTATATAAATCTATTTCATCCAGTTGGAGTTTGCTTCTAATTGCATGTACGCTTATCAATAGACTCTTCGACACTGCTTGTCTTCAGCTGATTCAGCCAATACAGCTCAACTTTCTTCTCTCTCGTTTGAGTATTATTGAATGATTTGCCGCAAATGCAAATTTTCAAAGAATTCCTCAATGGTCTTCTCAACCGTTAAAAAAATAATGCGAAAATTTTTAAATAAGTTTTTCTTAAAATAACAGTTCGATGAATGAATCGCTATTGCTATTCCTATAACCGATAAAAAAAGCTGAAAAGGATAAATGCGGTAATTCAATTCGCTTTAGATTAATTTTAGTATCTTGCGATTGCGCTAAATTTTCGATTTATTAACAATTTTTCCGAGAACTTCTACTTTTCTTTTTCCGTTATTTAAATTTTATTCAAAGTTATACGATAATTAAATTGAAATACGCTTCAGCAATTTACCTTGTCGTTTACCATAAATTCCACCTGAAAATGGTAATGCTTTCTTTGTAAAATCATTTTCTTTCTCATCGAATATCTCCCTCGTATCACCTAAAAAAATTTTATTTCTTTTGCAACTTTTTTGGCTTCCAATTAAATAAATGAAATGGCCTAAATTAGTGCTATTTATTTAATAGATTTCGATTCAGAGCTGTTCATAGAGCTTTATTCATGGCCATTAACCAGGTTTGTACCTTAAATTTAATGTTCAATGTTCTGCCATCAAAGCATGGAGATTTTTAGCATTTGACATCGTCATTCATTTTGATAGTTTAATCCAAATTTTTATGTCAATTTGTCGAATTTATATAAAACTTCATACATCATAAATGTTAAAAATGAGCGTGAAAATGTCAAAATTAGCGTTTTGATTAAGGTCAGAACGATTGGACTTAAATAGAATTCTAAATTTTATAAATTTTACAAAATTCTTTTAAAAGATTATTATTTGATAAATAATATACTTTGTACAACGTTTAACTGTCCACTTATCACAAAAATAAATAAATAAAGAACCATTAAAACGAAACATTTCATTTCGAATCTTTTTTACTTTTACCTAAAATAAATAATTTTTTAAATAGAAATTATTGCAGTTTCATTCATTTTAAGCGAACACAATCTTGAGCGAAAAGAAATTATTCAATTATAGAAATAAAGTTAAAAATTAATAATTCAAAAAAATTTTTACGAAATACGAATTCTGAAATCAAAAAAAAATTTTTTATTTAAATTTATTAAACGCAATATTTTTAAAAACCAAAATTTTCATAAATCTATTGAAATTTCAGGTCGGCTCACAATTAAACCTATAATTTTATTCCATTCATTGCAATCCATTTTTAGACTTTATGGGGAAATGCTTGAAATTATGACCGATCGGATTGCTTTAGTAGTTTCAAGGACTTTCTTGGAACTTCAAGGAACTTTTTCGTCTTTTTTCCATAAAAATCGATTTCCGACTTAGATATGTCTTTCAGATATATCTTACAACTTTATTCATCAGTGCTGGTCAGCTTCAGTGAGTCTTGGAAGAAAGTCACAAGTAAGGACCAGTACCACCCGAATTTCACTTTCAATGGTAAGCTTATACCAGCTAGGAGAAGAGCATCGGACTTATAATATAATATTTATCCTTAGTTAAAGAAGCCTGCAACTTGATCATCCTGTTTCGATATAGTATATATACACAATATACATAATATATACACAGATGCATACAAACATTAGCGATGATAGATATATTTGTCAAACTAAGAAATATACCCACAATATTCATCTAATACGAAGAAAATTATAGAAATCTACAGGCAGAATGACGAAAAAAAGGGCTGTATTATGGCTAGTAATACTGCATTGAATATTGACATTTGCATCATATTTGTATCGCCGCCCAATATTTTTCATTAAGATTATGTGAACAATGCCAAATGTTGGGCCTTAAAAAAAAATAAAATTTGTATAAAATTCGGCCAACTAAAAGACTCATCTTGAAGCATGTGATTCGATATCCAAGATCTCCGAGACTATATCATTTGCACCATTTTAATTCAGTGAACTAAATTAAATTTTTTTAAGGTGATAAGGTATAATCAATGAATAAACCTCGATGGAACTTCATGAATTCAAGGAAGGAATTTGATAAAAAATTTGATAAAATGTATATAAATGTAAAATTTGAAATAATATTGAAGGAATATCACAAAAAAAGATATGAAAGAAAGGTTGAAACAGCAATACGAACGATTTCCAGAAAGTTTAAAAATAATGAAAGATAATGAAAATTTTCCTTTTTCATCATTTCCCTCCTTCTTTTTGATTATTTGAAAATTGAATTTCTGAGTTGAATAATGAATATTCATTGAACCACTCACTATTCGTTTTGGAGAATAAATAATCATAAAATTAATCGTAGCAAGAATATTGATAATAACGCTGATAATGATAATGGCAATGAGGGATAGTAGCAATGGTAATTAAAATAAGAAATTAATAATAATAATGATAATAATAGTAATAATAATAATTACAATAACTATAATTATAATAAAAGGTGCTGCTATCTTTATGACTAAGAATTCATTCAAAAATCGCTTATTTGTAATTATTATATGTTGATTATTATATGTTTAGACCAAAGCTGGTATACTTATTTAATTTCTGAACAAAGCCAGATAATTTTCGCGAAGACTAAAATTCTCATCTAAGATTTAATTTTTATTAAGTGAAATACATCCACAAATAAATTAATTTGTTTCGAGCAGTACTGTTGGTCTACCTATATTTCTTTTGCTAACCTGGCAAAATTCCGCTGGACCGGCGAGGCAATAAAACAAGCCTAGCTAGACATAGAGATATATCAGAAAAAAGAAATCGTTTATTAGACATATTTGAAATTTTACATAATTTTTTTTAAATTATAAGTTTAGGTAGACTTCTCTCATAAATTTGTGATATGGATTCGTATAACTATAATGCATATGTATTGTTGTTAAGAATAGAGATTTTGGCATTTAAATAAGTTATTAAACTTGATATTCCATAGTTTTTGAATTAATACGAAGGAATTTACAGCTAAAAACGAAAAGTGAAAAAAGTTGATTACAATACTGGTGCATTCTTTTGGTGCGAAGCATTGGCCGAATAGACCGTAAGCTACTGAAATTCATTGTCGTCAATCATATTCTACTCATTTCTTGCTTAACCTCTTGCTATTTCTCGGAGCTATAAATATCGCTACAAATACTAATATCATTCGGATATCCAGCAAACTCTTACCAAAATTTGGCTTGACGTTCCAACTTAATGCCGACTTCAAGTTGTTGTTATTATGACCGATTAGGTGTACAGTCAAGGATCACTTTTAGATATTTAGCTTATTCATTCCAACACTTTCTTCAAATCTCTTGCTGCCTAATTATGAAGTTTTCATTCCTAATAAGTATTTTCGCAATAATACTTACTTTATTTAATCAGGTAATTTTATTCATTCCAAACATTATTTCGCCCACCTTAATTTTTAGTTTTTCACCACACATTTATAAGTTTAACTAGGAATTAAAACTGGCGCAACTAAAATAAGCAAGTAAGCTATTATAGATTAAATGGGTTAGATCAGCTAGCTCTAATGGCCGTTCTTACGACTTGGCTGAGCATATGAATGGATCACCAATGCTTTTCAAAATGGCTTTTTATTCCTGACGAGAGTGGATAATGGAACTCTTGTTTTTTCATCACAACAATCATCTCACTATGTGCTTTTGGTTCTTGCACTTTGCAATCTTGCTTGTCTTTTTTGCTATCAGACAATACTTATCGGCTATCATATAAAATCAGTTCTTTCCAAATTAAATCGGAAAAAAGGCGAGAAAAAAGATGCATATAAATGAACGTCCAATTAGAAGGTTTAAAACGAGGAATCAAAAAAATAAAAACTTTTTTGCATAAAATTTAAATTATAAATTTACAAATTTAAATTTATTATAAATTTAAACACAAATTTAAATTACAGATGCAAATTTACAAAAAACAATTTACATGGAATTAAATTTTTTTTTTTTAAAAAAACTGAACGAAAAATTTGAAAATTAAAATTTGAAATTTAAAATTTAAAATTAAGTTTTCAAAAGAAGATAATGAACGATGGAATTAGACGATAAATTTTGATTATTTTCGAAAGAAATATATATATATATATATGTATATTATACAAGTTTATCAAAATAATCCGATATTATAGGAAATTCAAAAACAAATTCTTATAAAAAGTAGAAATTTTCTAAATAAATATTCTCATTTTTCGCAAAACTTTCTACTTATCTCATAAAAAAAGAAAGAAAAAAGGAAAGTAAAAATAATGGGTTAATGAATATCCAAAAGTATCCATTTATTATCGACAAACTGTTGTTTTATCAAAAAAATAATTAAATTGTATTTTATATTATTAATTTTATTTATTTCACTAATTAATTAGTTATAATACGGCATTCATTAATTGTATAATAATTTATACATACAAATGAATTTTTCGTTGAATAAATTTTCAAAAATGAAAATAAATAAATTTTGAATAAAAGCATTAATTTATATTAAAATAATTAAATTCCATTATATATATATATATATATATATGTATATTATACAAGTTTATCAAAAATATAAACAAAATTAAGCTATATAAAGTAAAGTGACTTCGTGATAACTCCTTTCTCTCTTTTTTCTAACAATTCTTATCCCTTCTTCTAACGATTCTGCTTTGACTGGCTTCATTAGCTATTAATATATTAGGCTCATATTATACTAAGGTGTTTCATAACAACTGTGGAGATACATAATCGAATTATTTACGCATTATCTAACTATAATATGATCCCGCTATTATTAATTTATTCATTCAAGGCCTCGAGTTTTTTTCACTTTTTTAAAATTTATGATCCATAGAATCAAATATCTCATGTAAATAAGATGGCCAAGTGGGTAATGCAAATTATCTTGTTGAGAGATAACAAGGCTTCTGCTCCAACAGAAGTAAGCTTTCACGTGGTGCTAACTCATCTCTATTTCTACTGCTAAGTGATTCTATGGCAAAGCTTTCAACTTTCCAACAGTAATAATGACCAGCTTAACCAGAAATTGCAGGACTTCTAAGCATTACTTTTATTTAAATTTAAATCAATTTTAAATCAATTAAATCGTTTATTTAAATCAACTTCCCCTTCAATTTAATCATCTAATTATTTCACATCATTATTTAGGTGGTTCTTACAAATTAAGGATAACCGCAATCAATGGTCGCTTCAACAAAATTTCGTGCTATAAAATCACTTTATTTCCTCAGATTTCAGGAATGGTTTGATGCCTAAAATATCCAAAGAATGAGGCAGAAGTGAATATTTTCAAATTACAAAGCGCTTATTAGTGATTATTAATGATATATAAAAGGATGTGATGTGGCCGATTTCTAATTGCAAATTAGCATACTAATTATATAATTGGCAGTTGGTTACTGATTTTTTAACTACTAATTTTTCGTATTCAGAAATTTTTTGCATAAAATTTTAAAAATTTAATTAAAATTGCATCATTAAATTTAAATTTAAATTGTCACATATCCAAGCAATTTTATTTTAGCCCAAATTAATTAACAAAACATCTGAATAGAAACTTAAATAATTCCAAGAAAATCGTAAAAATCAATTCACCTAAATTCATTTCAACTATGAAATACATCAACTATGAATAGAAAATAAATACAAAAACCAGCAAATTTGCAGTAAATATTTATGAAGCAATAAATGTAAAAACCAATTTATTATTGGCGAAAAAGGAAAAAAGCAATGATCTTTGAAGATCTAATAAAAATTAATTTAAAACATTAAAAATACTTCATAAATTATGAAAAATTTACAATCCACTTCGTTGATTTTTAATTTCGTCTTTTCTTTCTTCTTTATTCGTTCGACAAACTGCGAAAATCTTTCCATTTCGCTCATTGAATAATGGATGAAAAGTCGTTCGAA